GAACATCATACAAATCAGGATAGTACAACGTAAACTAGCACAGAACATCATATCACTTGTTAGGATTGCGCATCATACATCACACCAGCATAACGCTTCATGCAACATACAAGCAACCACATTACACAACAAGTGATGTTATAGATGGCAATACAACCATCCCCAGCCATGTCAAGGTGTTCTGTTTTACCCAACCACTTCTACCTGAACCTGATAAGCCAAGAGTACTTGCCCGATAACCAGGTGTTTTTTTTTACCTGTTGTTTTTTTTAAGCCAACCGGAAACCATCGAATCATTATAAACACTTATTCGAGAATGCGGTCTCGGGTTAAAAAGACATCCCGAAAATAGTTTGAAGCGACCTAGTCCTAGCATTGCGTCAGAGAGAATAGCGAGAAAGGTACGCAGTACAAGATTCCACAGACAAGGAGCTAGGTGACTGGCTATAGTTAGACACACCAGAATAATAAACGGTCCTAAGTCACCATAAGACAGTTTCCGTGATCACACAATGCCCAGATAAATTGATGTAGATTGATGGCTAACCAGATAAAACAATGGGTCACAGCTAGCTTAACCGCCACTTCAATTACTCAAAACTCCTACCATTGAGGGACGCTTAATTAGCACCTAATTTCTCGAAGATTTCCCAAGATTCACTTTTAAAGTATTTGTCCCCAGGTCCTCATTGACCACACAATCCCATCAAACTACCATCTCATATAAAAGACTACCCTTGTACCACATCAAACTACCTTCTCATATAAAAGACTACCCTTGTACCACATCAAACTACCATCCCATATAAAAGACTACCCTTCTACCCCATCAAACTACCATCCCATATAAAAAAACTGGTACACCATCAAACTACCATCTCATATAAAAGACTACCCTTGTATCCCATCAAACTACCATCTCATATTTAAAAAACTGGTACACCATCAAACTACCATCCCATATAAAAGACTACCCTTCTACCCCATCAAACTACCATCCCATATAAAAAAACTGGTACCCCATCAAACTGCCATCCCATATAAAAGACTACCCTTGTACCCCATCAAACTACCATCCCATATAAAAGACTACCCTTGTACCCCATCAAACTACCATCGCTTAAAAAGGATTACCCTGATACCTCATCAAATTACCATCCCATATAAAAGACTGCTACCCCATTAAACTACCATCCCATATAAAAAACTGGTACACCATCAAACTACCATCCCATATACAAGACTACCCTTGTACCACATCAAACTACCATCCTTTAGAAAAGATTACCCTGATACCCCATTAAACTACCGTCCCATATAAAAGACTGCTACCCCATCAAACTACCATCCCATATAAAATGTCCACAATGTCCACCTCATCCCTACCCCCCCCCCCCCCCACTCCCCCACCCCCTCGTCCAGCCGCACTTACCTTTTACCTGTTTCACCACGCGCTAGAATCTCGCCTTGACCTTGACCTTTCCCTAAATATTTAGATGAAAGGTAAAAAAGCCGAAAAGATCGCCTTGATGTTCAATTAAACCTGTCTCTCAAACAACAAACTGACTCGTCTTCAAATTACGTCAAGCAGTTGTGTTTTTCTTTTCTTTGAACATTTTTTTTTTCAAATGCCAATCTCCCTGTGTTTAAAATTGTTATAGTTCCGGGACATTACCCCCCCCCCTTTTTTTTTTGAGTTACCCTCCGCGGTCATTACCTTTTTGCCATTACCATCAGACCAGTTACCCCCTCCCCCACAGTAATTACCCTGTTTCAAGAAAGCCCGTTTGTTTTTGTTTTTTTTACAACAAATACAAAATTGAGAAACACGACAAATAATGAAAAATATCATAAAATAGTTATAGTTAAACTTATTTTGCTAAATGCTTTATCCTAACATAGTTTCATTGAACACAAACAATATGTGTATACTAATATTATCCACTATCGGTCATAAAAACGCAAGGTGGTTTAAATACAATGTTAATCCAAGGGTTGAAGTCTCGATAATTTTTGTGGTTTGATCAGTTGTCTACAATCACGTCAAATGGTGATCGATTTCTTGGAAAACTGCTCTCTTTAAAACGTAATTAGCGAGAGCTCAATATGTATTAAGTTGAATTAAGCTTAATTAATTAACAATCAATAATTAATTAATTATACCTCTTTCGTATATTAAGTTGAATAAAGTTTAATTAATGATAGCTGTAACATGTACTAATTTGCACTAATGATTCTCCTAACACATTCCAACCTAGCTAATGATTGTCCCAACACATTCAATCCTAGCTAGCTAATAATTGGCCTAACATATTAAAACCTAACTAATGGTTGCTCTAAGAAATTCAAACCTAACTAATGATTGCTCTAAGAAATTTAAACCGAACTAATGATTGCTCTAAGAAATTCAAACCTTAGCAAATAATTACCCTAAATTAAAAGAAACGAAAAAAAAACATTGTTTATCTAGATTAGAAAAACACAACTCCGGGTTCCGATATTTGCATATCAGCTGCCCGGCATCCTTCGGTCCTGATATCGAATCCCCCCTGGGGGATTAAAAGAAAGACAGACTTCTCGGTTGGTGGGTTTTCAACAGCTTAGGTCGACTCTGGAATAAAAACATCCGATTGGTGTTGGCGCTCTTGGAGAGATTACTCCCCTGTACCCAGAGGGATGGGGGTGGGGATGAGCAGCTTTTAATCTCTTAAGTGTGAAGCAATGAGCCTTTTAACGCGACTCGGCAGCTAAGTCAGATAGACACAGATCTATCTGGGCGGATAGTGGACAGTACAGGATGACGGTCACGTGGGTTTGGGAGGAAATGGCCATTGGATGGCGGTGACCTAGTTTCTGTCGGCTGCCATTAGCTGATTGAGATCACTGGTTGACCATGGCTTGACCTGGATATGGCGACTTCTGAAGTCAGTCAGTTTTTTGCCAACTCTGGTTGGTGTGATGGGTGGGTGGTTGACGTGTAATATTCGTTTACGGTTTACTGTAACGTTTTATATTGTAATGTTGACTGTAACGTTCTATATTGTAAGTTTTTTAATGGTCTATACAGTGTTTCCTTAGGCCATATTTCATTCATCTTAAAATAGAAGAATCCACAATTATCTTTGAGCATTCAAAAACATTGTTTTAAAAATTATACAATTTTTCATACTGATTTGTTTAACATTGTACTAGTGGATTCTAATATGACTACGGATAGACTTCATGCTCAGAGTGAAGTTATCAAACTAGGAAAAAAAAGTTGATAAGGATTGCGTTTGAAAACTCATTTTTATGGACAGGAAACCTGGATATATTTTCCGACTAATAACAGAATTAAAAGTAGACATACAGACTTAGTGTGACAGCCATTGGACGGCCAGCAGACACAACTGTTGGACGGCCGGCGGACTGACAAACTATCACAGCTGTTGGACGGCCGGCGGACTGACAAACTATCACATCTGTTGGACGGCCGGCGGACTGACAAACTGTCACTGCCAGGATGTACGTGTGTCGACATGACGTGTCACGTGCTACCATTAATTAGAGCCCTGACCCATCTGACGTCACTCTCGAGGCCACCGTCCTGTCAGTCACCAGGAACTCATGAAACTAACGCTGGACGTTAATGATCGGGACCCTCCCTGCGTAGTGGAACCTTCCATAAGCGGGACCCTCCCTGCGTAGTGGAACCTTCCATAAGCGGGACCCTCCCTGCGTAGTGGGACCTTCCATAAGCGGGACCCTCCCTGCGTAGTGGAACCTTCCATAAGCGGGACCCTCCCTGCGTAGTGGGACCTTCCATAAGTGGGACCCTCCCTGCGTAGTGGGACCTTCCATAAGTGGGACCCTCTCTAAGACGAAACCCCTCTCACTGGTACCCTAAGTGCGACCCTAGTTGTGAGAACCCCCTCTAAGCGTCCCCCCCCCCCCCTCCCCACCAAGTGGCGCCCTACTTTCGCGAAACCCTCTTCAGTGAGACGCTGCTTATGCTGAAGCTGCTTTAAGTAGAACTGTAAAGATCCGGAAATAGATGAGACTAATGCACCCTTGTCAAGAAACGGTGTGGTCAAACGGTAGAGCGTTTGGCTGCTAGCCCGAACGTCTCGAGTTCGGATCTCGGTGCGGAGACTTGTGACTGTATGATGTCCCTGAGTCCACTCAGCTCTGATGGGTACCTGACTAACGTTGGGAAAAGTAAAGGCGGTTTTATAGTGCTGACCACACCATCCATTCACATGCCGAGGTCAAGAAACTACTTCACCTTCCAGATGGTTCGCGCTGTATAAAGAGGAATCTACTACTTTACTAAGAGTACACTTGTCACTAAACCCACTGAATCCCCCTACACCTTTGTTGAAACCAGCGACACTTTTGTACCCAACACATTGACTTGATCGTGATAAATGTGTCTTCTTACAATGTATGGGACCACTACATTCAAAGCTTTTGGTACTAACATTGGTATAAACGACAACAACCGGCACCATTTGAATAAAGCGTGTCGATAATTTTATTCACGTCACGTACATACATATGTGACCCGTATTGTGAACTTCTTGCACCGGCTATATCTGTTTCCACAAATACTTTACTAAAAGGAAATTCGGAATACACCCCCACCCTTTTACCTTCTTTAACTTCGAAGAATTTCTGGAAAACCCAAAAGCTATTAGCACTGATTTTATGTGACTCAAGTATTTCTTAACAACGTCATATTTTAGTTCATATTTTCTAATTTGTGTACTATCCTTCCTATCCAACCCCATCCCCAAACCACCCCCTCTCCCTTCCCAGCAAAACGCTGCTAAAAACGAAAGTAAAATATTTCCTCCTTCGGTTTTTCCCGACGACCAAACTAAGATAACCAAATGTGCAGTAACCGCTAAAAACCATTAGCTCCATTCAATGTAAAATTGTCTTCTTCCTTTCCAATTACCAGCCAATCAGAAGACTGATATAGAACACGTGATTAACTTAAGTTGTTGTTTTTTCCTCAGAGATCTCAGCTATAACAACATCCAATACATCGGGAGGAAAACATTGAAGAGCTCTTCTCTACTGAAAAACTTGTAAGTATTGCCTTGGGTTGGGTTGGGTTTAGGGTTACAGGTGACATTAAATCATTTGAAATGGTTCTTGCTGGTTAGGTTTTGGGTTAAAGTTGTTATTCCCATTTTAATTTTGATTCAACCGAAATTTTAACTCTGGACTTTTTTTTTCTTCTGTTAAATTTTGCTTTCACATTTAGCAAACTACAATAACATTTCTGGTAATTGAATTCTATCGTACCCAGCTTACTTTTATTACCTACTTTATTTATAAGCGTAAATCTAAACAAGAGGAAATGTTTACAAATAGGAAGCATTTCTTGAAAAAAAGCAATGGGATTGTTGTTAAAATATTTAAACTAAAAACATTGTTTGCAAAGAAGAAGATATCAAATGTCTCATCACCTGTGTGTTAGGAGAGACTTAACCAATCAATATAGTGTAGCTACCTGCTTCTGGTAATTCTACACACCTTTACCCTTGGTCGGCTTAACTTTATAGGTAACTCTACCCACATAAACATACTCCGTATGTTGCCTTAAGTCTAGTAACATATCACACATTGATTACCAGACATTTTGACCGAACAGTTTTGCTTTTTATTGAGCTTTTAACCTATATGTAAGATTTCGATTGTGATTTTAATTCTATCTTTATTATAGTTTGATAACTTTTGCATGGGTTTTTAGCATGGTTGTATTGTCTGTCGGCCTTTTTGGTATATCTACGAAAATGCTTTCCTGAGTAAATATTGTTTAGTCTGTAAATTACAATGTTAGAATTGTGTGAATATAAATGCTAAAACAGATGTATAGTGTCACAGTACTTGTTATTGTGATGATTAGCGAACGCCTACACCTGCAAAGTCTAGGTAGAACTTTGATTAAGATTTCGTGTACTGTTACATTCTTAGATTTATTCGTTTTTAACTATATGAGAGCGGTGTTTCTATTCTGGGGGCTGATCTGGCTGCCGTGGGGCATCACAGGTGAGAGAAACCAAAAACCTATCTAGTCCCAGCTGGTTCTACTAAAATTCCTTAATGACAACAGGTAGTTTCTGTATACTCTTAGCTACCACACACGGGCAGACTGTGAGCCACACACACGGCTACAGTCGAGCCTAGACTGTGCCACACGCACACACACACACAGCTACAGTCGAGCTTAGACTATGCCACATACACACACACACACACACAGTTTAACTAATAAAGTTAGCATCACATACACGCACACACACAGCTACAGTCGAGCTTAGACTGTGCCATACACACACACACACACAAACACAGCTACAGTCGAGCTTAGACAGTGCCACATACACATACACACAAAAGATTTAACTAATAAAGTAAGCAGCAAACTCACACACACAGCTACAGTCCCTTTTAGACTGTGCCACATACACACACACATACACAGTTTAACTAAAAAAGTAAGCACCACATACACACTCACATACAGCTACATTCCCACTTGAACTGTGCCACCTACACACACATACACAGTTTAACTAATAAAGTAAGCACCACACACACACACACATACGGCTACAGACCACACACTCATTCACACCTTTACCCCGAACTTAACTATGAAAAAATGAACATACTAAGTAGCCCTACTTTTATTTTAAAATTTCCTAAATACCTAGTTATGACTTATTTCTTGCATCAGTTTCTGCTTTTACTTTAAAAAATTATTTATATCTAGATCTATCCTTTAGATCTAAAAGTATTCAGTAACATTTTTTTTAACATCCCTGACTTCATATTCTTCAAATTCTTTCTGTTTATTTAAAGCCGGAAACCGGCCATAAATTCATCCGTTTCCGGTTACCGACGGACAACAGCGACACGGTGGTCGCCATTTTGTTGGCTTGCCGATGCCGGCGACGTCAGGGCCGTGAGTCCCGGGGACCCCCGGGCCTGTAGCTGCCATGTTTCACGTCACTCGGACGTCTGGGCCCCTCGCTCTGATTTACTTAACCTACCATTTAATGGTTTCTTTCCTCGTAAAGCAGTCGTAGGCCGCGTTCTTTGACCGTACCTCGACCGGTACATTTGGCCGGATGAGTTGACGGCTGTATCCTTCATCTGCTTCGATAGCATGTAGATTTGTATGTGTGTATGGATGTTTGTATAAACTTCATGTATTGATATAAATTGCGTTGTTTAACAATATAGAGCTGGGTATTCTAATAGAAAAAACGTCTGATCTACCCTAATTATATTCTTAACGAAACTGAAAATAGGTGCCCTTTATAATACAAATATCAACAGTTTGACATTGTTATTCATTGTGGTGTTTGTTACAAGTAAAGCAGACTACTTCTTCCTTTCTTTGTTAATGTAAAGTACGATTGACTCGGCTTTCTTTACTCAATGTTGCAACGTTTAGCGAACCCTCTATTTTCTTTATCCTTTGTCATGATGTATTACTTTCTATCTTTATATGCATTTCGCTAAAATGTATTTGCCAAGTATAGCCACAACTAATCAGACCTGTGTCTAATCCCTACAGTACTTAAAAATATCATTTACCTCTAGTTGTTTCCCTGTGTCCATAGAGTTGTTTCCCTGTGTCCATAGAGTTGTTTTCCTGTGTCAGTAGAGTTGTTTCCCTGAGTCCATAGAGTTGTTTCCCCGTGTCCCTACCTACCACGAGTTGTTTCCCTGTGTCCATAGAGTTGTTTCCCTATGTCCATAGAGTTGTTTCCCTGTGTCCATAGAGTTGTTTCCCTGTGTCCAAAGAGTTATTTCCCTGTGTCCATAGAGTTATTTCCCTGTGTCCATAGAGTTCTTTCCCTGTGTCCATAGAGTTGTTTCCCTGTGTCCATAGAGTTGTTTCCCTGTGTCCATAGAGTTGTTCCCCTGTTTCCATACCACGAGTTGTTTCCCTGTGTCCATAGAGTTGTTTCCCTGTGTCCATAGAGTTGTTTCCCTGTGTCCATAGAGTTGTTCCCCTGTGTCCATAGAGTTGTTTCCCTGTGTCCATAGAGTTGTTTCCCTGTGTCCATAGAGTTGTTTCCCTGTGTCCATAGAGTTGTTTCCCTGTGTCCATAGAGTTGTTTCCCTGTGTCCATTGTACGAGTTGTTTCCCTGTGTCAGTAGAGTTATTTCCCTGTTTGGACACGACACCTCCACCTACTGAATGTAAACAAGGCCCAACATGTTGACAGAGGGCTAAACGCGGCCGGTGAAGTGGGGTTACATAATTATCTTGATACCAACATGGCTTGTCACCTGGACCGCCTTCAAACGTTCAGTGGTGAAAATCCAAATCAGTCGAGATTAGCGCGGGAAGTCAGATTAGGGGTCGAGTTGCTGACGTCATTATCACTTTTGATTAAGTAGGTCAAGATATCGTTGACGATTTGTCACCTCTTGTTGTGATTAAATATTAGTTTTATTAATTATCTTTTGATTAATTACCTTTTTTTATATAATGACATTTTTTTTTAGAAAAAGATCTCTGTTAAACATCAATGGTAAAAATTCAGAATGTGTCACATTGTCAAATTTTTGACAAGTATAAAACAGTAACCCACCTATGAAGTAAAGTTTTTCTTTTTCTTTGGTGTCGATACATGAAGCGATTAATGGGAACAGAACTCGACGTCTTATTAAAGATGTTTTATTCTTATAGATTAAAGATGGAAAAACAGAATATGGAAACACAAAAAATTGTTTATACTGTGTCTTGACTGTGAAACATCGTTGATATTTCATATTACACATTTATATTATTGATTCAGTCTATTATGTGGAAATCTTTTGAGAACCTTGGATTTGTTTTCTATTTCACACTTGTACTTGCCGTATTACTGTTTTGTATTTCACGCTTGCTGTTTATGTTTTGTATTTCACACTTTTACTTGCCGTATTACTGTTTTGTATTTCACACTTGCTGTTTATATGTTTTGTATTTCACACTTGCCGTGTTATCTATGTATACCCGATAGACGTTGTTTACTTGTGAATTGTGTACTTGGTGACATTTGACAAATGCCGTTTACCAACCTTACACAAACTATCCTTTTTATGCGTCACATTTAACATGCAACATACACTGGGCATTTTTATTTAACCCAATTTGAAAGCAGTTGAGTTCAGTTTGGTTCAACAACAAAAAAAAACTAGCCGGTCTACGGATCCCTAATTAACCTTTCAACATAATAATATGTTTTTTTTACATAAAGATCAATTTTATCTCTCCACAGACAACTGGACCACAATCAACTAATTTGTATATCTGATGTGGCCATCAGGCACCTAAAGAACATGGAAATTTTGTAAGTCACGTGTTTAATTTGTGTCGTCATTTTTCTTACTCGTTAATTACCACAATTAATTTAAAGTTGGAAAGTTAGGAATTATTTTTTTGCAGTGTGAATGATGGATGGCCTATTTCCTTTAATATAATCTGTAAACCATACGTGGTATATGTTTACAATAGGGCTTGTAAGTCTCTTTGCTTCTCTTACTTAAAATTTGAAATGTCGTTAGCCAGGGTCAGGTGAATTCTCAAACTATCATGATCAGTTTTTACGATTTTAAATAACTTAACAACAGCGTAAGTTACTTTTATTTCTTTTTTTACCGATTTAATAAACATATTCACAATTTGTTTGAAAAATACTAGCTAGCTAGTCTGATAAGAAGTTGGTGACCTACTTACAAGCCCTATTTAGCTTGATATGTTTTTATTTTTGTTCCAAATTTTTGTGGGGGTGTGTAGAGGAGGGTCAGGTGGGTGGGATAATGTTTTAATATTTTTTTTATCGTAGTTACATGAGCAAAACAATTTAATTAGACCCCGTAAACTAATTGTATTGCCATCCATTAGCACGATTGCTCTCTTGAACTGATCGCTGTCTTTAAACTGCGCGACACCGGCTTAACGATTCACAGGCGGGGAAGGGGAAGAACTCGGGGCAGCTGATCACAGGGTACGCCAGCCTGTTTGACCCGGGTGACCTTTAGTAACACCTAGGTGGCCGTAGCGTATCACCGCATCCCAGCAAATTATCCCTCATTAGCAAATAGATCCCCCGTGTTTGTTCAGCTATCACAACCCGTTCACGCCATGAGAAAAGTCCACTCCGGCACGTAGCTGTTGTCCAAGTGTCTTCAAGTGAACAGCCCGTATCCTTGTCAGGCGAAATGTAGCCAGATTTTTTCCCATTTGAAATTTTTTTTTATTTTTTTTTTTCACGGTGGCCGTCTGACGAGAAAACAAAGTCTCGCCTGCTCTCCAGTTGTCGCGCCTGACAAACAGGTACGCCACCGGCTAACTGACCGGTACAAGTGTGAAAACACCGGCCTGCCCAAATCCTGACTTGTCACCTCAACAGGTCATTTTTTTAAGCCCGTTCTATATTTAGCGTCCGCTTGTTTTTATCACGTGATCACGCCTTGTTTACTACACATTTGAAAAGATTTTCGTGCTAATAAATTTTAATCAAGCAAATCGTCGCCCCCATATTGGGTAGTTGAAAAATTTCAAGATGTGGAATCCGTGCGACACCTCTGAGTTCATCCAGCCCTTACTGGTACCTGGCTTGAGTTGGGGAATTGTGCAGGGGTACAGCCCTAGTCCCTCTTTTCCCCACCTTATATATGAGTCTTAAAACGTAGCGAACTAGGCAATAGTTCACAAAAGTGAGTTAGGCAGCATAGCATGGTGTAAGGCAATGTACGACCGTGGGATAGGCAATATACAGCAGTGCGCTTAGCAATTACCTTCTTTTAGTTAACCTGTCGTTTAGGAAATATTCAACAGCGAACTAGGCAATTTACTTTAGTGGTCTAGGCAATTTACACCTGTATGTTAGGCAATATACAACAGTGAACTAGGCAATTTACTTCTGTCGGTTAGGCAATATACAAGAGTGAGCTAGGCAATATACAAATGTGGACTAAAATTACACCTCGTGTTTATCAAAGCGGAGCTTGAGCCAACTCATATGGCCAATATCCACCTCTTCCAATTTAATCTCGTTCTATTTTTAGAAGTTGGTTTTGGAGCACGTCTCTCATATTACACAGACCATGAACGTCACATGCAGGTAATGAGACCTGGTACCTGGACCTAATTAGGTCCCTATTCCCACCTGCCCAGGTGCCTAGTCCTGCCTCCATCGCACGCGCGCGCGGATCGACGTGTATTTACCATGCAGTCTATCACGTGTAATTTGCTCACTCCAAATTAGCCAGGTTCTGGGTGTAAACGGTGTGCTTTGAGTGCATCACGTGCCATCGACTGCAGGCTGCCGCACACATTGTAAAACTCAAGGCCCGTCCCGTACAGTGTTTAATGGCGGAGAGAATTTTTTTTTGTTTTCATTCATGGCTTTTATCGTTATATTGTTTGCGCATTTGTGTTACGTGAATTTGGTTTACAAAATCGCAGAAAGAAACTGGCGGTCTCTAATGTTAACATTTTTGAGGATTAGCAAAAAATACTTTGTACACGATGTCCAGACTAACAAAAACAACATAACCCACCTCCCAGATATCACCACCGCCTCCCCCCCCCCCCCTCGTAACAGTTCTGTAGACCTAAATCCTCTTACCCCTCCCCCGACTCCCCTTTCTTTTCATATTATAGATCTAGTTTTATCTAATGAAACAAATACTCGGATCTGAACAAACGAGGTGGGGGGGGGGGGGGGGGGGAGAAAAAACGGGTTTTAGACATCGCGCCCGTGATGACTTTCTGTTAACAGTTGCTTTGGGTAATGTTAACATTTTATGGATGTTAACATTTTAATGATGTTATAGTTAGTGTAGGTTAATTTTAACATATTGTGTATTTTTTCCCCTCAGGACGTTAAGCAACAACAACCTGATGTTAACATTTTTTGGATTTTAACATGTTATGGATGTTAACATTTAATGAATATTAACATTTTATGGATGTTAACATTTAATGGATGTTAACATTTTATGGATGTTAACATTTTATGGATGTTATAGTTAGTGACGACTAATGTTAACATATTGTGTATTTTTCCCCTCATGACGTTAAGCAACAACAACCTAATGTTAACATTTTATTGATGTTAACATTTTAAGAATGTTATAGTTAGTGACGACTAATGTTAACATATTGTGTATTTTTTCCTCAGGACGTTAAGTAACAACAACCTGACGTCAGTGTCATCCAACCTTTTTGAAAACATGAGGTTGCTGCGTATCCTGTAAGTAGTGGTTGGTTGTGATGGTAGGGTTGTGGTGGTTCGGGTGGTATTGGTTGTGATGGTGGGGTGGTATTGGTTGTGATGGTGGGGTGGTATTTGTTGTGGTGGTAGGGTTATGATGGTAGGGTGGTATTGGTTGTGATGGTGGGGTGGTATTGGTTGTGATGGTAGGGTGGTATTGATTGTGGTGGTGGGGTGGTATTGGTTGTGGTGATAGGGTTGTGGTGGTAGGATGGTAGGGTTGTGATGGTAGGATGGTATTGCTTGTGGTGATAGAATGGTATTACTTGTGGTCTTAGGATGGTATTAGTCGGGGGGTTGGGTTGTGATGGTAGGATGGTAGGGTTGTGATGGTAGGATGGTATTGGTTGTGGTGGTAGGATGGTAGGATGGTATTGGTTGTGGTGGTAGGTTGTGATGGTATGATGGTATTGGTCGTGGTGGTAGGATGGTAGGGTTGTGATGGTAGGATGGTAGGGTTGTGATGGTAGGATGGTATTACTTATCGTGTTAGGATGGCATTGGTTGTGGTGGTAGGATGGTATTGGTTGTGGTGGTAGGATGGTATTGGTTGTGCTGTATCACTCCCTACTTTCTAAGACTCTCCAATCTCCAAGGGACCAAAGTATCAGACACCCAATTTTCACCCCCCCCCCCCCCAGTGACCGAAGTATCAGACTTCCAACTTTCCAGGACCCTCCCAGGGACCCCAGTATCAGACCCCTAACTCTCCACACCCTGCAAATCATTAACATGCGTGTCGAATTCAAACAAGGGGGGCCAGTTTTGCCCGGGCCCTAATTAAACAAACTAATTAAACAAACTAATTAAACAAACAATCCCTCTCAAGTCCGCCGCTCACACTTAAGTGGAAGCACGTGCATGAGCAGCGAGTGAGCGCCTGTGCATGCAGACCGTCCGTTCCATCCCACACGAGCTCGACTTTTCTGCCGAGCTCTGTCGAGTTACGCGCTAGGAACAACACGATAACATCAACCAACTGAAGCTCTCGCAGACCCTTACATTCTGTTTACAGGGATCAAAGCTGGACATACAAATATTTAAACGGCCCCCCACCCCAACTTTTTTTTTCGTTGTGTCTTCTGAGGTTTTTTTTTTTAAATCGCTTGACAACTGCTATAGTGACGAAAACATGATTTCAAAGAACATTCTTTTGTATTTTAATTGCTATGTTAAGTTTTCCGAGAGGGGGGGGGGGGGGTAATTCTTTGAATAGAAATATTCTCAAATAAGGAAAATAGAGATACATCATAAAATATAATAATTGTGCAGTGGCGTAGCGAGGTCGGGTGTCACTCGGTGCGGCACTAAATGGTGTCACCCCCCAGAGGCATAGCGACCCTTCCCGGGGACAAACTTTCAATTTTTGATTTGCACCCCCCCCCCCCTCAAACTTTCGATTTGCACCTCTTAAAAGACTATTTAGCACTCGAATTAAGTGGAATTATCATTTTTCTCTATACATTTTGCTATTTTTTGCCTTGGTGTCACCCCCTTAAATGGTGTCACCCGGTGCGGTCCGCACCGACCCCCCCCCCCCCTTTGCTACGCCTCTGTAATTGTGTATTATTTTTAAAAATAAACCGGGAGTGATCTCCCCTAAACTTTCTCGAATATTCTTATATAAAATAACAAGGGATGGGAACTCGGGCTATAGACATGATTTTTAATCCATTTTAAATACTTAAAGTTTTAAAAATAGAATAAAATCTCGTAGACAAATTAATTGCACACCAAGTGAACGCGAAATAAAAAAGCGCATAATAGTGCGCAATATTATTATTACTTTTAAAATTTACATTAGTTTTTTGAGAAATCGGAAGTAGCGTAAAGTACTACTTCCAGTCAACGGAAATGACTCAAAATTTAATAGAAGGTAGAGAATTAGATCTTTTACTTACGTATGAAATTTCATTTATCTATCTGAAATAGTACTCAAGTTATAGGCTTTTGAAAAATTCAAAGTAGGAAAAGTACCACTTCCGGTTATCGGAAATCGCTCAAAAGTTGATACGGATCTACGATTTTGATTAAATACTTATATATGAAATTTCATCAACCTAGCTGTAACGGTACTCAAGTTATCGTGTTTACACACGGACACACACACACACACACACAGACACACAGACATACGGACAAGATTGCAAAATTATGTTTTTCCGTATCAGTGAGATGCAAAACGTCGAGATTTGCAAAAATCTCGATTTATTTTTTTTGCACGATTACAAGACTTTCTCTATACTTCGTATATACGAGAAAGTAAAAAGAAAACCAATGTAAAATTGTCCAACTACTTTTCCTGACAAATGGGTCACCAGGCAACTTCCTGTTTCCCCAGGCGCATCAACGACAACAAGCTGGTGTGTGACTGTCACCTGGCTTGGTTCGCCCGCTGGCTGAGGAAGAACCCCAGTCTAGGGATGTTCACTGAGTGCCACCAGCCGCTACACCTGAGGAACGCTGAGCTCACGGAGCTACAGGACATTGACTTCAAGTGTGATGGTAAGGACATTGTCCTCTTGTGTTTTATGTTAGGGGACATTTCTCCTCAAGTGTGATGGTAAGATACAGGACATTGTCCTAGTCTGATAAGATTTTGGACATTAAAACGGCATTGTTTGATCGGGGATAATCTTGTTAAGTGCGATGGTAAGATACAGGACATAGTCCTCTAGTCAGAAGGAATTACATTGTACATCGTCCTCTAGTCTGATGGTAGGCTATTTGGCATTGAATGTTGGTAAGATATAGAAGATAGAATGGTATGAAAGATAAACATGAGATTAATGATAGATTCCAACAGTCAGTTTTTCTAGTCTGCTAACTTACTCTCTAAGCTTAACATCATTTGTGAACTAGCCAAACGTTTGTCAGCTAACTCGCTAGACTCAACATAGACTCAACATCATCTGTGAACTAGCCAAACGTTTGTCAGCTAACTCGCTAGACTCAACATCATCTGTGAACTAGCCAAACGTTTGTCAGCTAACTCGCTAGACTCAACATCATCTGTGAACTAGCCAAACGTTTGTCAGCTAACTCGCTAGACTCAACATCATCTGTGAACTAGCCAAACGTTTGTCAGCTAACTCGCTAGACTCAACATAGACTCAACATCATTTGTGAGCTAGCCAAACGTTTGTCAGACTACTCACTGTGCACTAGCCAGGCTTTTGTACTCACCCCCAGCGTCGAGACCCCACCGTCTTATCGGCGTCATGACTAGACGCGCGACTCCGGCACCGTGGGGCGTCCCTGGCCAATCCCTTTAGTACCGCGTCATTAAACATCCCTGACCAGCGGTAGAGACTTGAATTTCCGATGCGAGCAGAGATTACCGTTTGACGAGGGGGGGGGGGGGGGTGATACTCAAAGTAAACATTCAACATTCAGCCCCGGGACAGATAATTCATGGTTTGTCTGCCAAATACGAATAATTTTAAAAACATTTAGTTTGGCTTTTTTTGTGTATGCTGATTTCATAGAAACATTCTCAAATAATAATGTAAACAGAGATTTGCTTGATTGTCTCCTATCTGATTTCGTTAACTACACACGTATTAGTTAAATCCACAGTTTGTTAAGTTAATCTCTTCATTAAGTGTTGGCTTTTTTGGGTTGTTCTCTATTCATTGATATGTCAGTAGTTAGCCAGCTTAAAGTAACATTGATTGCTACTATGTGACTCAAATACGTGTGATGCAATTAGTTAACAAATTGGGTTTTGTGAAGATTGAGCCATCACAAACCCGCGGTATTGAGGTTCAAACACTTGACGTACCAGGATTGTGTTTTAAATCTTTTGGGATTTCTAGAAACAGCTCCAGCTTTAATGTATACCTAGCATTAATTGGAAATAATTACAGTTTGGGTGGAGCTAGAAACACAACCCCTGATTGGTTGTTTGTCCTGTCATGTAATAACTTTTGTCATTTGTCATTGAAAAGGCCAGGGCTCAAATCCCGTATAGAAAGTTCAAATACCTTTTTAGAAGGTACTCTGAGTTACGTAAATCAACATTTTCAAATGTGTTGAACCAAAAGATATCGATGGGAAATAAAGATTGTTTTCTGAAGTAAAGAGATAGTCGACGTTGTGACGCTTTAGGTATGCAAATGTCGGACAAGTGTGTCGTTAGTATGTACGGCTTTCGCTTATTGATATTTAAAAAATTATGGACAGTCATAGTGTGAGTGACATAGTACCAGAGGATTTTAATTTAAAAAAAAAATAAAACCTAAATCCCTGGAGTTGATCTCTGCCTATTTATACCATAAGATTTTGATCGACAAATAAAAACTAGTCACGCCACGTTGATCTCTGCCCATTGAAACAATATTATTGTGGTTAAAAATAATTGTTTCTTGTTGATCTCTGCCCCTTTGTATCAAAAGATTTTGGTCCACAAAAAACGAATCGCTTTACGTTGATCTCTGCCCTTTTATACCATAAGAATGTGGTAACAAATAATCGCTTCTTCTTGATCTCTGCTGTTTTGTACCAAAATATTTTGGCTAAAAATAATTGTTTCTTGTTGATCTCTGCTGTTTTGTACCAAAATATTTTGGTTAAAAAATATTTGTTTCTCCTTGATCTCTGCTGTTTTGTACCGAAATATTTTGGTTAGAAAATAATTGTCTCTCGTTGATCCCTATCAGCCACGTTTGAGAACCGGCACGCCGTGGAATGTGTGGAGGAGAACCTCTGTCCCAGACAGTGCCGCTGTGTGGACGGCATCATCGACTGCAGAGATAAGGGCTTGACTCAAATTCCAGAGAACATTCCAGAGTCTGTTATTGAGATGTAAGTTGTTTTTGTTGTTTTTTTTTTAATCTGGCTTTGTTTCGTTTTATCATAACAAGCAAAGTGTGGCTTTGTTGCATTTTACTTTATTAAGAAAAATAAATCATTGTATGTGTATTGGACAAGCGCTATTTCAGGTTCACTGAAAAAAAAAATGTTTGAATAGGAAAGCCTCTTATTAGACCCTGATGTAAAAACTAATTGGATTTCTATCGACTTACACTAATCAAATATTCATTTAACTGATATTGCTGATAAAAACACTAAACCTTTATGTGTTGTACACTATTGATTTATTATCAATACTAATTATGTTAATAAATCGATACCTCAATTAAACGTATTGAATTAAGATACTGATTAATGGCATATTAGCGATAGTAATTATATAGCTAAATAATAAGTAGAAAGCAAATTATGGTTGTATTTAAATGTTTTACATGCAAAATGAATAATTAAGTGGAAGAACACTTCTAATAGTGTTATTCACAAACTTTTGGTTATCAAAAACGGCACAGCAATCAATCAAAAGTCACGTTAATTAAAAATCAATGTAATCAATCAAAAACATTAAATCGATCAATGTTATCAATTTTTAAAAAATCAACTTACTCAAACAATGATGTAATCGATAAAAAGAACATTGTAATCAATCTAAAACAATATAATCGATTAAGATTAAGACTACTAAAATCAATCAATTATCAAAAACTCATCCAAGTTCCCAAATCGCCGTCCGGAAATTATTTTCTTCCAAACCTGCCGTTATCGCCCCATCGTCTTGTCCAAGGGCAACCTTGACCTCTGCATGACCTGGTGTGGTGGACACCCTCACAGCTTGGTGTAATGGAACATGGAGCCAGCCCTGTCAATACAACCCAGGCTCGTTCTGGAAATGATAAAAATCTCTTACACATCCGCTAGACCAGTGGTTCTTAACCTTTCTAGGGGTACCGAACCCCACACGTTTCATACGTTCATTCACCGAGCCGTTCTTAATAATTCTATCGTTCGCATTGACAAAATCCGATCGTGAATCACATGAGTCAGGTGTGTGTCTTGACCTCCGCCGAACCAATGAGTCTAACTCACCGAACCCTAGGGGTTCGATCGAACCCTAGTTAAGAACCTCTACTCTAGTGGCTACCAGGCAGCCATAGCTTTTACAACCTAACCCAAACATGTCCTTAAACTTAGAGTTCCCCATTGTAAATTTAGTCTTTCTTTCAAGAAGAGTACCCAACCTAACCTTAACATTCCCTTATACTTGAGATTCCCCATCCTAAATTTAGTCGTTCCTTCAACTATGGTACCCATGCTAATTCGAACCTTTCCTTAAATTAACGGGGTCCCTACTCTAACCCTGAACAGCACTTAAACTTACGGCTTCCCCATCCTAAATGTAATACTTCCGTCAACAATGATACTCGCCCATACATTTTTACTTTCTCGTATATACGTAGTATAGAGAAAGTATTGTAATCGTGCAAAAAAAAAATCGAGATTTTTACAAATCTCGACGTTTTACACCTCACTGATACGGAAAAACATAATTTTGCAATCTTGTCCGTATGTCTGTGTGTGTGTGTGTGTCTGTGTGTGTGTCTGTGTGTCCGTGTGTAAACACGATAACTTGAGTACCGTTACAGCTAGGTTGATGAAATTTCATATATAAGTATTATATCAAAATCGTAGATCCGTATCAACTTTTGAGCGATTTCCGACAACTGGAAGTGGTACTTTTCCTACTTTGAATTTTTCAAAAGCCTATAACTTGAGTACTATTTCAGATAGATAAATGAAATTTCACATGTAAGTAAAAGATCTAATTCTCTACCTTCTGTTAAATTTTGAGTAATTTCCGTTGACCGGAAGTAGTAATTTACGCTACTTCCGATTTCTCAAAAAACTAATGTAAATTTATTAAGTACTAATACTATTGCGCACTATTATACACACCTTTATTAGGCGTTCGCTTGGTGCGCAATTGTTTTTTACTGAGATTCTATTCTATTTTTAAAAGTTTCAGTATTTAAAATGGATTAAAAATCATAACTATATCCCCAGTTACCATCCCCTGTTGTTTTATATAAGAATATTCGAGAAAGTTTAGGGGAGATCACTACCGGTTTATTTTAAATATATTTAAAAAGCACATGACAATTTATAATTGTGGATCAAATCCTTTAAATAAACATTTTTACTACGCTTCCAACTTTCCTGAATATTTTTACAACTAAATTACACCATAACACAGAAACTGACCCGGCCCGCTAGACTACTAAATACTTTTACTAGGTTTCCAACTTCCTAATAAAATTATTTTTCTACAACAAAATTCCAGTCAAACACAGAACCTGATACCGCGCGCTAGACTACTAAAACAAATAAAAACTAACTTTTCTACAGGTAGACGCCATACTGTAAAAAAAAAAAACTCGTGAAATAATGTTATCAAAAGTAAATTCTCATTTTATCAGGAGACTCTCCTTCATAAATTTCCTCACCTTCCCTCTAACGTGTAGTTATTGATATCTTGTTTAATGGAACAGGTTTGTATAAAAAATATTTCACATGTTATTGAAGGGAGAAATTGAAATTGCAGACATCTAATGTTTCATTATATACATTCCTCAACATTTATGTTACATTTTATGTCGGAGATTTAAACTCCAAGAGCTAAGCTGTTTGACAGTATTAGTTCGAACGTGCCTTAACATACACGTGGTTTCGGTATAGATCTAGACAACAACACGTAGCTTTAATTTAAACCGTACTCTCTCTAAAAAAAAACCAAGACGTTTGTATATATTTTTTCTGATACAGCAAGTACGCTATGTTGTGTACTTTAAAACTGACAGACTGCAGGCTTTCTTTCGTTGTGTGGTGCTGTTAATCCCACAGTATGTACATAATCCAACTGATGGGTCTAACTCGTAAGTGATCATGTGATTCGAGTACAAGTTAAACCGGTTAATGAATCGTGTGACTGCTGAGCTACTGACCAATATCTTACCAAGAGTAACCAAACCGCTGCCTTTTTAAATTTCCCGACTCAGTCGTTTAAAGTCATACGAGTCAGACGTTTAATCCGATTGAATGTGCAACGTTCCTATTCTGAGAACATGGGTCGGGGTCGGATGAGAAAATCGTGGGGCCTACACGGCGGACTACGACCCCTGGAGTACCAGCTGAGGTTGGGTGACCTTTGGTACAGGAACTTCAGATTTCTGGTTCAAGGGTCAAAGGTGAACTGGCGCATCTTCCAGACATTAGCTGCCCTGTGGTTAGACGATAGGAGTCGGTAATGTGTAATATTACACGGTCGGTAATCTGTAATATTACACCTTCAGTTATTTGTAATATATCGTCGGTAATTCGTATTATTATACCGTCAGTATTGTGAAATATTATATCATCGGTAATGTATATAATACACCTTCAGTATTGAGTGATATTAAATCGTTAGTTATGTGTAATCATGCACCATTGGTTATGTGTAATATTACACGATGGCTAATACTACAACATCGGTTATCTGTTACATTAAACCTTCAGCTGTATGTAATGTCTCACCGTCTGTTACATGTAATGATACACCTTTTTGGGTTTATTATTACACCGTCTAATACCTGTAAAATTACACATTTTTTTAGTTTACTATTACACCGTCTAATACCTGTAATATTATACATTTTGTTAAAGGTACTATTACACCGTCTAATACCTGTAATATTACACCTTCGGTTATGTGCAAATTGGTTGTGTGAAATAAAAATCGGTATCAAAGACAAAATAAAACAAAAGTCAATGATGAATTAAGCTTGATTATTATCTCGAATTTTACTAATTATTAGGACCTAATTCAGTATTAGATACCAAGAATACTGCAAATGTATTTCAGGTTCACTGAAAAATATGTTTTTGGGCATAAAAATACTTATTCTTTATAACTGTTACAACTAAGAGATGCAAACCACTTACATATGTGAAAGACTTGAACTCCGATACAAAGGAATTTCTCGTAACATGAGCATTAGACACCCTTTCCTCCACTCATAGATCTACACCTGAGAGGTTGCTTTCTTTTCTTACATTTTTTTTTGTCACTCATCCCACTAATTTCACGCTATTTTTACCATTTAAAATATCGCCATTTTTGGTGACGCAAGGACAGGTGGAGTAGGAAACGCAACCAACTTTTTGAATATCCGACATGAGAATCGATTTTTTTTTCTGCAACATTTTTGCTGTCAATTTCTGTTGCTGCAGATTATTTACTGCGAAAATGGAGCCATAATTCTTCCCTTTTCCGCCTAGTTAGGCGCCCGAAAGGGTGCCACAGCAAGTAATAGAGAAATCAGGGCCTGGGGTTCATAAACTATGGACTCGACGGTTCTCAAGTTGTAGGGTTTGCTTACATAAGGTTATCTTTTCCTTTGGGTTGCTTACATGAAGATATCGTTTTCTAGACGGGTCCTACATTGTTTATATAAAAAAATTAGGTTCATATTTTTTTTATATTTTAGAACAATACATCATCCTTACGAAGTTGTTGTTGGGGGGGGGGGGGGGGATTAAATGCTGATATCGTTGTTAGAGTTAGGATAGCAGTTAGAGTCCACTATAGGTTCAGAATTGGGATTTGATCATGGCTAAAGTTAAGGTTATGATTATGGTAGCGTATTAGTAAAAAAAAATATACTTGAAATTTCATTAAGATGTTTAAATAAGAACGGGAATTATTTTTTTATCATCTCTTTAAATCATCGCCGTAGTTATCTAATCTCCACATCGAAGAGTTTCAATGTGAGGTAAGGCTTGAATGATTTGAGAACCCCTATTTGGATGCTGGGGATATTTTTTTATTGTTCAAAGGCTAGAATGTGGGTGCAGTTCATCGCGAGTACAGAGATCTACGATTGTACCAGATGAAATAAACAGCCAATCAGAAACAGGAAAATAGATTATACATTTTCCGCGGGATTCGCGCAAAATGCGGCTCGAGCGAGAAACACGCTCCCTCCACCGAGATGCTCGCGGTGGCGGCAATAAAAACATCCCGTCATACTTAGCGCACTCAGCTGCAGGTTGAGAGTGAAGAGTTCCTCTGCTACACGGCAGGTGAACCAACGAGCACCGTCGGGGGATCATTGGGGGAGATTCTCATTGTTGTTGTTTTATTTCAGCCGGCTGGAGGAGAACCACATCACTCAAGTTCCTGCGAGGGCATTTGCCGACTTAACCAGTTTGAAAAGAATGTAAGTGTCTGGAGAAGTCGTGCCCTGCACTACAGTTTGGCGCGTAAATTGTCTCGTGTAGAGCGTCTTCCTGTTTGGTTTTGTGTTTTACCTTTAGCCTCAGTTATGTGTGTTGGTGTACTCACAAGACGAATACATCCAGACTATGTAGAATTAAAAATTCACGATGGAAATCATTTTAATGATGTTTATTTCAGCATTGTTTTACTCTGCTTTTAATTTCACGAAACAATTAATATTTTGCTTTTTTATTTTTGTTTTGTTCGATTTTTAAACATAAGAGGCAAGCTGCCCTCAGAATTCAAAAGTTCTTCAAACAAAAATAAGTTCATTTAAAAAAAAACAAGATGGGACAGCCCTTTCCTACTTTACGTACCCCAACAAATGCTGGGTACGTAATAAAGCTGATTGGAACTTTGACTCTTCTAACCAAATAATTCTAAGGTTCTATTTGGAATTATTGCCCAGTGACTCCTCTATTTATAGAACATCGTTCACTAACTCACGACCCCCCACCCACCCTCTCTTAAACTTCAAATAATATACCGCGGTCAGTTTGTTTTAAAACTGTTAGCCTTATCTTGTTTTGGTTGAGATATCTGCCCGGGGTCCCGGTAAAGTGGCGAAACACTGGGTAAACATCTCGCTTTAATTAAATAACTATCATGTAAGAAAATCTTTTTAAAACTTACAAAATTAACTTTATTATGTCCTTTATTAAATGACTACTATGTATACGAAAAAATCTTTCCTCAGCCTGTAAAATCAACTGTATTCTATCCTCTATCAAATGACTATCTTGTATCCAATAAACTATTTTTCCAGCCTGTAAAATTTATTTTATCCATTATGAAACGACTATCATCTATACATCAAACCTCCCAGCTTGTAAAATTAACTTTATTTTATCCATTATTCAACGACTATCATCTATACATCAAACCTCCCAGCTTGTAAAATTTACTTTATTTTATTCATTATTCAATGACTATCCTGTATGCATAAAATCTTCTCCCCTCCTATAAAACTAACTTTACTGTGTTCCAGAGATTTGGGCAACAACCAGATATCCTACATTGCTCCCGATGCCTTCTCGGGCCTACATTCACTAAACTCTCTGTAAGTCTTGTACATATGTGTTTGTTATTAAAGAGTTCCCTCCTAATAAAGCGCATTGCGTTAAGCCAGAAGTCCAATCCCAGAACGAAACGCACGTTTTTACTAAGTTTATTCAATACGTTATACTCTAAAGTTATCTTAAATTTTAAAGAATCAGCGAATTTTTATAACTGTTAAGTACCCTTGTAAGTTTTTTTCTGTATATAAATGAAGTATTCTTGGCTTAATGGAGTAATCCCCTCCTTTCAATACACTTGAAAGTTTTAATCCGTTAAATAATATAAAGTATCAAAGCATTCTCAAGCCCAATTCCAAGTTTTTCACCTGACCCGCCTTTGTTATTCTACCTTAGGGTCTTGTACGGGAACAAGCTGAAGGAGCTACCCCCCGGGCTGTTTAATGGGCTGACTTCCTTGCAATTACTGTAAGTTTTTTAATGGACGTTTCTTTCTGGTTTACAATTGGTTTGAGTGTCCAATTTTTGTGTGAGTGACTCACTTAGAGGGGAGCGAACTCGGTTAAAAGGTTTTAATTTTGTACTTATCTAGGCAACAGGTTCGGTGTATGGGTGTGCTGGAGTGGTGGTGTATGTGTGTAGATTGGTTGTGTAATGTGTGAGTGCTGTTATGTTATTATATCGTGTGTTGTTATGTGTAGATTTGTTGTGTAATGTGTGAGTGGCTGTTATGTTATTATATCGTGTTGTTGTGTGTGGATAAGTTGTGCTATGTGTGAGTGCTATTATGTTATTATATCGTGTTGTTATGTGTAGATTTCTTGTGTAATGTGTGAGTGCTGTTATGTTATTATATCGTGTATGTTGTGTGTAGATTAGTTGTGTTAAGTGTGAGTACTGTTATGTTATTATATCGTGTTGTTGTCTGTAGATTTGTTGTGTTATGTGTGAGTACTGTTATGTTATTATATCGTGTTGTTATGTGTAGGTTACTTGTGTTATGTGTGAGTGTTGTTATGTTATTATATCGCGTGTTGTTATGTGTATGTTACTTGTGTTATGTGTGAGTGTTGTTATGTTATTATATCGTGTGTTGTTGTTTTAAGATGTGTTATGTTATGTGTGAGTGTTATGTTATTATATCGTGTGTTGTTATGTGTAGATTTGTTGTGTAATGTGCGAGTGCTGTTTGATCAATATATGTATAATGCTATGTGGTTGTATCGTGTGTTGTTGTGTGTATTGTTTGTGTGGCGTGTGTGTAATATGTGTTAGCGGTTTGTTTGTTTTTTTATTTTTGTAAATATTATGTATAGGATGTTGAAATAAGGGTGTGGTGATGTGTGTCCGATGTGTGTGATGTTGTGTGGGAATGTTTTCAGGTCTGCTAGGGGATATATTTGGTGTTCTGTTTTGTACTTGGTGTATGTTAATTTCGGTATATTTTATTTCAAACGAAGTATCAAGTATTTGTTTTAAAATACTAGTTATTTGTTGTTGTTTACTTTCTCGTATATACGAAGCATAGAGAAAGTCTTGTAATCGTGCAAAAAAAAAATCGAGATTTTTACACCCCACTGATACGGAAAAACATAACTTTGCAATCTTGTCCATATGTCTGTGTGTCTGTAAACACGATTACTTGAGTACCGTTACAGTTAGGTTGATGAAATTTCATATATAAGTATTTTATCAAAATCGTAGATCCGTATCGACTTTTGAGCTATTTTCGATAACCGGAAGTGGTACTTTTTTACTTTTAATTTTTCAAAAGCCTATAACTTGAGTAATATTTCAGATAGATAAATGAAATTCCACATGTAAGTAAAAGATCTAATTATCTACCTTCTATCAAATTGTGAGTAATTTCCGTTGACCGGAAGTACTAATTTACGCTATTTCCAGTTTCTCAAAAAACTAATGTAAATTTATAAAGTACTATTAATATTCCGCACTATTATGCACATTTTATTTGGCATTAACTGGTGTGCAATTCTTTTTTTCTACGAGATTTTATTCTATTTTAAAAAGTTTAAGTATTTAAAATGGATTAAAAATCATGTCTATATTCCGAGTTTTTAAAAAAAGAATATTCGAGAAAGTTTAGGGGAGATCGCTCCCGGTTTTTTTTTTATATCATTATTGGTAGAAGTTGTATTTTTTTAAACATATATGTACAACATGTGTGTTTTATTTAGTTTTGCTGGAGAATTTATACAAAATTTAAAAAGAAACGCTGGTACTTTGCCGTCCTTACACTAATGAATATTCTATCGGAATTAGCTCCTATTGCACTATCTATTACAGTGTAGTCAGGCGAACGGCGTCGTAACACCAGCCCTTGAGATTACTTTTAGAATCTTTTGACTAGAGTTATCGTCCTTTGTTATGCTTAAATCATATTTATAGTCATTTTTTCTTCCCCTCTTGTTACTATTTCACTATTTTCCCACGTTTTCTTTAACTTGCTTTCTCTGTTTGTCTGTTTTTCCAATCCAATCTTGCGATCGAAATTTCTGGCACTTCCCAGTTAGCTAGCGCGCTGAAATTTTCAGGGAAGCTTTCTTTTGGATGACCATAGAATATTCAATAGTTATTATTACTAAATTGATAAATGGAAACATTTTATTGAGCATTTTAGACCGCTATATAATCTATATATATATAATTCTCCTCTGCGAGCCATTAGAAAAAAAACGAGCGACGCGTACCTCGCGCGCAGTGAAGCGAACGATCCCACTTCGCCACAGGCTTAGGGGCAGATAATTTAGTTTGAACCGAGTTTAAACTTACAGGAGGTAGGCCAGTTTGGGGGAGACGATATGGTCGAGTGGTTGGGCACACGATTGCTATCTCACTCGACACGGGTTCAAATCTATGTGTTCTAGTCAGTAACCAGCCCTCGTCCTAACCGCTATCAACTAACCTCTGACAATCATTCACTTGCGATTGAGACCGAAGAAGAAAGGGTCTCTCGTTTTTTACGAGTTGTCTTTTTACGAGTTGTCTTCGTTTACCCAAAAAAAAAGTGAAAAGATAAAATCGATAGCAAGATTTCAATGCAAACAAACAGACAAAGACTAAAAAGTAGAAAATAATAATCATTAAAAAAGTTTTAAAAAACCCACGTTTTCTGATTGAACTAAAAAGTAGAAAATAAATGTTATACATCACAATAATGCAAGCGATCACTCTACTATAAGCGATCAAAAACGTGGGGCGCCGTGATTTTCTTACAGTTTCTAATACTGTTGACTCTCTACAAGCTCCCTAATAAAAGTCAATAGTATTATCTAATCAATAGTAATATAACTTTTACTTCGGCGCCCCACGTTTTTCATCGCTTATAGTAGAGTGATCGCTTGCATTATTGTGATGTATAACATTTATTTTCTACTTTTTAGTTCAATCAGAAAACGTGGGTTTTTTTTTTAACTTTTTTAATGATTATTATTACCCTACCGTTCTTCGTCATTTTAGTCAAGAATGTGCATTGATTAAAACAATTTTGCTTGTGTTCTGTGTATTTCATTTTCATATAGTTTTTTTTTTTTTTTTTTTTTTTTTTTTTTTTTTTTTTTTTTTTTTTTTTTTTTTTTTACAAATAACTTGGACCAGCGCCCTCTGGTATAAAATAAACCCTTTAAAGTACCATGTCTATTTATTGTGCAGATAAAGTAGAGTTTATCTGAATTAGCATATAATGCTAGTAAAGTAAGTAAGTAAAGTTTCCCTTTCAAACCTGATGGTCTATGGGGCAAGTGAAGTAGAGCTCACTTGTTTCTGTTACCTCGGCATATGAAGAGATAGTGTGGTCAGCACTATGCCCAGCCGCCTTTACTTTCCCTAACGCGAGTTAGGCATCCATCAGAGTTGGGTGGACTGACTTGAACCCGGATTCGAACTCGAGACTTACGGGTTAGCAGTTCAGCTCTCTACCGCTAGACCACTCCGTCCCATATAATGCTATCAATAAGGAAAATACCGGTGTTCTTGTCCAGCTTGGAAATGTTTGAGATAGACCTAAGGTTAACTACACGGTTAGGATTATATTTATAGTTAGATTTAGGCTTAGAGCTAAGAGTGGATTAATTTACAAAACGACTTGTCCTATAATTGCTGCATTAGGGTAGAGTACAATGTTGTTTAAAGTTAGATAGGCTACTTATTTAAATGTTCTACACTGTTTATATTTGACAATAACTGCTAACTTATGAGCGTTCATTATAAGGTTGTTTTTTTTTATCCTGTCGTGTTGAAATGAATTTATTTTAAATGTTTTATCCCCAGTCTTTTAAATGCCAACAAACTCAGTTGTGTAAGAGTCGACGCTTTCAAGGATTTGACAAGCCTTAATCTCTTGTAAGTTTGGCTTGTTTGAACACATTTTTATCTGGCATTGTTTTTCGTTCAGGAAATATTTGAAATTGTTACATTTTTATTAGCCCTGTACTGCTGTGTGTTAGTTCATTATTTTGAAATATCGTCTAGTATAAAGCATCTTTTTTTCATACAGCTTTAATTTAATAGCATAGATTTCTTAGGTATTATTCTTTTCTTTAGTCTTGAAATCAATGTTGTTGTTTATTTTGTTCCTGTCAATTTTATGGTACATCCTATTTTAGTCCATTATTTTATTAGTGTCCATTTTATTATGGTCCAATGTAAATATAATATTTTTTTTTGGATAGACAATATACAGGCATAGCAAAGAGTACTGATTTTTTAAAGAATTTGATCACTCTTAGTAATACCTTTCCAGTTTATGTTTCTTTTTTAAAATGTCGTCCTCATACAGTTATGTTTTATACATGTATTTAATTACTATAGGCCTATATTATATCCTTTGTTCTTTTTGTATTTGTGTAACAAAGTCTATTCATCATATCCCTGTATCTTCCTCTCATATATTTGTATATTTATAATGTCCCCATTATATACCGGTGTATCTTCATCTCATATTTACTAAAAATGTTTTTTGTAGATCTCTTTACGACAACAACATCCAATCACTGGCCAACGGGACATTTTCGCCATTGGTCAAAATTCAAACCATGTAAGTAACCATGGTTAATATATCGTTTTGATCCTTAAATGTAGTTATTGTTGTTTTTTTTTAGTTAACATTCAAATATGGCTATAAAATTGATTTAAGTTGATTAAATATATTTAATTTTTACTAACCCAATTTATAAATTAAATGCCCCTGTAGAATTATAAAAGTAAGCCCATGTTTTACAAAATACTTTCTAAAGAAAACGATGTAAAAAGTTTATATTTTCATTACAAAAGAAAGTTTTAATTCTCGATTTACTCAATTATTTTGAAACTAGATATTTTGACTTTTTTTTTACGAATGTCAGCTTTTGGTTTAGAAACTGTGTCAAAATTCTTACAACTAAATAGTTTAAAGAAAGCAAAATGAATAAAGAATAGAAGTGTGTTGTGCACAGGCCAGATTTTTTTAAAAACTGCACACCAAATCAGTTTGACAATTTTACGAGACGTGAAAACACCTCGCTCCACTCATATATTCTCAAAAGTGACAATTTTAAACTGTATAAAATTACACCCAGACACTAAACATAATCTTTATTGCCGCGCAGACAGACTTGCTCTGTGGCACGCAGCTTCGGTGTAGCTGGGGCTTAGTCAATAAAACAAAGGAATTTTTAGATTCAGCTGAATTCGTTGTGGGAGCTTAGGGCTTGTGTTACGGGAAAACAGTAACTCGGGAATAGCTTCGAACTTTATAGCTAGTAACATGAAAAGTAATTAAATTAATAACAATACTTTCTATTTTTGATAATTAGCTTCAATATGTATGAATAAATATAGTTTTATTAATTATTTTTTAAATTTATTTTATATATATATATATATATATATATATATATATATATATATATATATATATATATATATATATATATATATATATATATATATATATATATATATATATATATATTTAGCCTATATATATATATATATATATATATATATATATATATATATATATATAATTTATATATATTTAGCCTATATATATATATATATAGTATATATGTATGTATATACTAGTTTCAACATCAAGCCTATTACCACTGTGGGATGAAATAATAGAAATAATGTACAATGCAACAATGCCCGTTCCCGTTTAAGAAAATAATTTATGGAACGCAAAAGCCAGATGACAAACGTCCATATAAACAGGCTCCTGTTACATGGGGGATTAAACAAGGACGCGGAGTTAAATTTATGGCCCCAAGTTCAGAGAAAATTGTCTTGGGTTTTATTAGGTATTTTACTAAGCTGAGCCGTATATGTGATGTTATTAGATATGGCTAGAACTCAAGGGAAACCGGGGCTGTATGCGAGGCATCTTTAAGCACTTGAAGCCTGGGTTTGAGATTATATTCTCGTCTTTATGTTAGATGGGAAATATAATTTAGCTGTTATAACTACAGACGAGGTGAAGAGTAAGTCGAGCGCCCCCTCGAGGGTCGGTGTGTTTTAGGGAGTGGACCGGCCATAACTTGGCCGAAGTGGGCCCAGGTTGGGGTGATTTCCCTTGAGAGCCGGACATTCACTCCATGCAAATGAATGGCCGTGTTTAATGGGGAAATGAAATGCGAGATTTGGATCATTTCGTGTTGGGGGGAGGGGGTTGAAACTTGGGTGGGCATTTTTGGTGAGTTTCTTTGAATAGTAGTAAAGTTTAATTAAGTGTTTGAACTCGTGCATGCTAATATGCGGGTCAGGGGTTAATTCTTCAATGGTTGTAAAATTATATTTGTGCATGTCAGAAATTAATGCGATAAATCCATGGGTTTGTGTTAATTCAGTAGAAAGAAGTTAATTGGATTATTTCACGTCAGATCCGTTTCGGGGATAGATTATCTCTAAGCCTAAAACACTTAATCCACTATGACATCTATCGTCGTGTGAGTCGAGCGATGCATTATTATAAACACTCTCTTTCATAACTTTACGGAATGTTCTATGGAAGAAAGCGTTACCATGACAGTGAAGTCAGATGGGGAAAACATTAGCAGAGGTCGTGTGGGTAAATGAAAAGTTTTTCACGGCTAATTTTTTGTTGCCTGCCACTTGCGTATTTATTTGTGTTGCTCAGGGAAACAGAACTCCGCGGAAGGAGAACAGACTCACTTTGTCCCGGCGTCCTTAGTTGCTGGGGAAGATTTTCAAAACGAAATACATCGAACAAAATAAAAGTTAAAAATAGTAAATCGAAATATCTAGGAAAAGCTTGCTATGACAGCTGAGGGTAGTAAATATGTAATTTATGTCAAGAAAATTTAAATAGTTACACAGAAGAATCTTTATTTTAAAAAGTTAAAGGTTTGGAAGATAGGAATGAAATGAAAAGCAACATCGCATCTTGAATCTATCCCAAAATTCACCCAGCAGGTATATTGATTCCAGTGTCATTTGTTTTAAAATTAAAATAAATAAATAAAAACCTTCTAATTCTGCATCTTGTAAGAAATCTTCGGGCTTAAACTAAATAGACTAATCAAGTGAATACTGTATTTATGCAGCTACGATTTATTTAATTCGTATGTGTTGCTAGTTCTGCAACATTAGTTCCTTCTGTATACAGTTTAGTATGATTTATTTCATGCGTATATATTGTTCTTTCTGCAGCATCGCTTTATTTGTATACAACTTAGCGTGATTTATTTCATGTGTAGGGTCCGTATATTGGTGGTTCTGCAATATCGCTTTATTTGTATACAACTTCGTGTGATTTATTTCATGTGTAGGGCCCGTATGTTGATAGTTCTGCAACATCTTTTTATTTGTAGCCATCTTAGTATGATTTATTTCATGTGTATATATTGCTAGTTCTGCAAATTGCTTGAGTTATACCCAGCTTGGGTCTGCACTAGTAAACAAAACCGTACCAAAACGGCGTGTCCATTTATCAGTAACCAAAGGCTCATAAATTAGCCATTATGCGGCATTTAATTAACCATATCTGTACTAATTAGCTTTTCTTATCGCCATTTTTTGACCATTAGCCTGTGGTGTGGGGGAGTGTGGCTAATCGGTGTCATTGACACTAGACTGGTTGGGGAATTTCCGAACGACTGAAGATGTTTGCCCGGGAAATGTAGCGCGTCGATGTCTTTAGTTACTTTCGCTTTGTAAATAAAGGATAGAGCACATAATGCGAGGCTCATTGTTCTGTGGGATGAGGGTCTAAATTTGATAGATAATACGAAGAGGGTGTTCATGGCTTTGTGATATAACGTTATGTGGTATGGAGTGGTGGGTAAAAATGTTTTATTTATATGTTAAACAATATGGAGGACTATCAATCCGAGAGGTCTTGTCAGAATGAGTAATTCTTTTTTCCCTTACTTTGTTTTCGTATGAGCCCGATACCTGTCCATGAACCATCGAAATGTTTCACCAACTCTAATTATTCTATGACCCAGCCGCATGGCCAAAAAAAAACTAAACTTTACCCTAACTGTACATTTTCTATGAACCCACTAAATTTTATCCCCTCTATATTTTCTCTGACCCAGCCATCTGGCCAGGAACCCACTAAATTTTACCCCAACTCTATATTTTCTCTGACCCAACCACCTGGCCAGGAACTCATTAAATTTTACACCAACTCTATATTGTCTATGAGCCAGCCATCTGGCCAGGAACCCGCTAAATTTTACCCCAACTCTATATTTTCTCTGACCCAACCACCTGGCCAGGAACTCACTAAATTTTACACCAACTCTATATTGTCTATGAGCCAGCCATCTGGCCAGGAACCCGCTAAATTTTACCCCCTCTATATTTTCTCTGACCCAGGGACCCACTAAATTTCCCCCCAACTCTATATTTTCTCTGACCCAGCCACCTGGCCAGGAACCCACTAAATTTTACCCCCTCAATATTTCCTCTGACCCAGGAACCCGCTAAATTTTACCCTAACTCTATATTTTCTCTAACCCAGCCACCTTGCCAGGAACCCGCTAAATTTTACCTTAACTCTATATTTTCTCTGACCCAGGGACCCACTAAATTTTACCCCAACTCTATATTTTCTCTGACCCAACCAACTGGCCAGGAACCCACTAAATTTTACCCCAACTCTATATTTTCTCTGACCCAGCCACCTGGCCAGGAACCCACTAAATTTTACCCCAACTCTATATTTTCTCTGACCCAGCCACCTGGCCAGGAACCCGCTAATCTGTGACTGTAACCTGAAATGGCTGGCCAACTTCCTGGAGAAGTTTCCCGTGGAGACCAGTGGTGTCCGCTGTCTCTCGCCCCGGAGGGTCAGGAGGAAGAAGATAAACCAGCTCCGTCCAGAGAAGTTCAAGTGTAAAGGTCAGTTTTTTACCTGTCTACCTGTGATCTCAGTCCCATAAGGTAACATGTCTAATCTCAGTCCCTTAAGGTAACATGTCTATCTGTTATCTGTCCCCATAAGGTAAGCTGCTTACCTGTGATCCAAGTCCCATAAGTTAACCTGTTACCTCAGTCCCATAAGGTAACCTGTCTACCTGTGGTCTCAGCCCCATAAGGTAACCTGTCTACCTGTGGTCTCAGCCCCATAAGGTAACCTGTCTACCTGTGACCTCAGTCCCATAAGGTAACCTGTCTACCTGTGGTCTCAGCCCCATAAGGTAACCTGTCTACCTGTGATCTCAGCCCCATAAGGTAACCTGTCTACCTGTGGTCTCAGCCCCATAAGGTAACCTGTCTACCTGTGGTCTCAGCCCCATAAGGTAACCTGTCTACCTGTGGTCTCAGCCCCATAAGGTAACCTGTCTACCTGTGATCTCAGCCCCATAAGGTAACCTGTCTACTGAGGTCTCAGCCCCATAAGGTAACATGTCTACTGTGGTCTCAGCCCCATAAGTTAACCTGTTACCTCAGTCCCATAAGGTAACCTGTCTACCTGTGATCTCAGCCCCATAAGGTAACCTGTCTACTGTGGTCTCAGCCCCATAAGTTAACCTGTTACCTCAGTCCCATAAGGTAACCTGTCTACCTGTGGTCTCAGCCCCATAAGGTAACCTGTCTACCTGTGATCTCAGCCCCATAAGGTAACCTGTCTACCTGTGACCTCAGTCCCATAAGGTAACCTGTCTACCTGTGGTCTCAGCCCCATAAGGTAACCTGTCTACTGTGGTCTCAGCCCCATAAGTTAACCTGTGACCTCAGTCCCATAAGGTAACCTGTCTACCTGTGGTCTCAGCCCCATAAGGTAACCTGTCTACCTGTGACCTCAGTCCCATAAGGTAACCTGTCTACCTGTGACCTCAGTCCCATAAGGTAACCTGTCTACTGTGGTCTCAGCCCCATAAGGTAACCTGTCTACCTGTGATCTCAGCCCCATAAGGTAACCTGTCTACCTGTGACCTCAGTCCCATAAGGTAACCTGTCTACCTGTGGTCTCAGCCCCATAAGGTAACCTGTCTACTGTGGTCTCAGCCCCATAAGTTAACCTGTGACCTCAGTCCCATAAGGTAACCTGTCTACCTGTGGTCTCAGCCCCATAAGGTAACCTGTCTACCTGTGATCTCAGCCCCATAAGGTAACCTGTCTACCTGTGACCTCAGTCCCATAAGGTAACCTGTCTACCTGTGATCTCAGTCCCATAAGGTAACCTGTCTACCTGTGATCTCAGTCCCATAAGGTAACCTGTCTACCTGTGACCTCAGTCCCATAAGGTAACCTGTCTACCTGTGATCTCAGTCCCATAAGGTAACCTGTCTACCTGTGATCTCAGTCCCATAAGGTAACCTGTCTACCTGTGCAACTAAGCTGTTAATGTCCTTGTGTTTAACATGAGTACCATGCTACTCATTGAGAAATACTTTTGCTGTTGCTAGTGCTAGCCTCGTCAGGTTAACCCGAACACCTACACAGCTGACAGGGGACAACTGGGGTCTTCAGATAATTACAACGTCCATATCTAACTAAAAAATTTTAACATCACCTGACCACTCCCCGCGGCCCATCAAGACCCCTCCCAGTATCCGGGCAGTCCATCCCACCACTGAGTGCTAGTCTATCGACGTGTACTAGAGCGCCTATGCTACTAGTCAACGAGTTTAATCTTAAAATCTTTTGTAAAGATATTTCTTCAAATCATAATCAATTTTATTTCCCATCAATACAGCAACAACCGAGGTATTTGACATACATTACGTCATTAACCCTGTACTGGTTGATTGATTAATTAATTAGATGAAATTGCTTGCCATTCCTTTATTTGTTCTCTGCCCCACCAGGGTCAGAACATCACCGGACCAAGAATGCCGGCACGTGCATGATTGACCGCGAGTGTCCAGCCGAATGTGTGTGCATGGGCACGACCGTGGAGTGCTCAAAACGAGGCTTGACGGAAATACCCGAAGATATTCCCATGTACACCACGGAGTTGTGAGTCTCGTGTTATCTTTACAAAACTCATTACAAAAACACATATTTTACCAAATAAAAATCTAGCGAAACAAAAAGAGGTAACTTAATAAAGTTAAATAATGTTATTATGAGTTCGATGTGTTAAAGCTAATCTACAAATTAAAATGGGAAATAACATAAAACAAGACGTTGAATATCAAGTAGGTCTACTTTTTAATTATATTTCATAAGTGTATCAATCCATAATCCATGATAAACTGTCGTGATTCGGGACATAGCCAGTTGTTAACATTATAAAAGTAACAGGAGAGTTATAAGTAGCCCGTATCTTGCAGGGGGGAGGGGGGATTCAGACGTTATTCCCTACTCCAATTACATGCATAGAAAATTCAGACAACGTAAATCTCCAAATAGAGTGAGTGTGTTGATGTATAGACTTGATTTATAATTATAGAAAAACTTGATTTTTAATTTTCTTTTGTACGACTTTGGAATTTAAAAAAAAACGCAATCATTGTCACTAGCATTAAAAAAAAATTCTCACACGGTAAATTTTGACAACTTGTATTCGTCATGCAGAGATGAGATTTTTTATGACAATGGCTTGCGAATAAGTAAATCTTTTCATTACTCCTCCACAGAAAGCTGGGATCCAATAAGATAGCTCGCGTCAAGGCGGATGGCTTGTTCAAACGTTTGCCCAATCTCCAATTGTTGTAAGTTTCTCGACTATTATCTCCTGCTGGCGTAAGGGAAAGAACTCTAAAAATCCTGGTATTCACGCCTTGAGCAAGTTTCAGGGCTAGTGACCTTGGGTGCTTAGTGGAGTTTTCAAAAGAGAAAAAAAAATTGTCCGTCTTAAGGAAGGATGTAGAGGCTTTATTTATTAGATTTTATTAGATGCATCGTGCAGGATTAAACTAGAAAAAAATTCAAGTGTAATACAATTTTTAAACTACAGGGATTCATTCATGAGAACCAACTATAGGCCCTGTATATTATTTTTTCAAATAGTTAAGCTAGAGATTGAGTGGTCCGTCAAAAACGGTGTGCGAAAGGGGGGAGGGGGGAATTGATCGTCTGACTTTAGTGGGGGGTGGGGGTGAGAAAAGAATTGTAGAGCCCAACTAACTGACATTGCGTGATGTCATTTATGAATGAAGCCTCTCTTTCTCACGGTCTCCAAACCCCAAGCAGAGCAGGGGGCTTTATTTGGGAAATCTAAAATTAAGATTCCCATTTTAAATGAATTTATTGGTGCATTATATGAAGCATTCATTTGAAATTATTTATTTGTTATCATTTTCGCAAATGCACTTTAATTTTTAAATTTTATTTTTAAACATGCCTAAAGAACAAAAACAGACCAATGTAAATAAAATTGTAATTCATTATGTTTTAAAAGCTTTGAAAAATTTAACGCTATTTTTAGGGGTGTGGAGGTTGTAGGCTGAGGTGTGACGTCATTTTCGGGAGGGGAGGTCTGGGGTTATTTTTTGTGACCACGTAAAGGCGGAGGGGAGAGGGGAGGTAAAAATCGTTAAAAAAAGCGTGATGTCATGGATGACCCACCTGAAATCTTGGTATAGAACATTATTTGGTGGGGTTTTTGCATAATGAATCTAATCTTGAAAATGTTTTAGCGTCATGTAACTTGTTTAAAACTAGATCCGTGACAATCACAAATGTATAGTGAAAATGTTTAACAATGCTTTTGTTTTCTATCAAAGGGACTTAACTGATAACGTGATACATGAGATTGAAGATGCAGCCTTTGAGAAGGCTGACATGCTCAGTGATTTGTGAGTACACTTTTGTCACAAACATTACTCCCCTTTAAATTTAAGTTACATTTTAATAAAAGTCAAATTTATTTTATGCTAGATTAATTTAGGTAGGTTTATTTTTTAAATGTTAATTTTGAATTGTTTCTATTGTTATATAGCCTAAGTTGGACTATTTATTTTGAAGCAAAAAAAATTAAAAATAAGTTACTAAGTTTATGAAATAATTTTTTTTTTCTTGGAATAAGGAAGCACATGTGAATTTATGTTTTCAACTCTGTATGTATTTTAAAACCCTCTTTGACTACTGATTATGTAATTCAAGCAGGCATGCAACAAATAATTATTTGTGTGTTAATTTCTGGCTTTAGACAACTGTCCAACAATGATCTGTCACAGCTGTCAGGGAAAGTGTTCCAGGGCCTTCCAAATGTGAAAACTATGTGAGTCTCTTAAAATTACATTTTAAAACTTTACCCAAATGGTAACTTTATTCCCAGAGTGGAAATGATGTGAGTGTTATAACATTACATTTTAAAACTATTCAAATGGTAACTTTATCCAATTGATAAATTTGTCAGGTATTGTCCCAATGTGAAAACTATGTGTCTTATAACATTACAATTTAAAACTTTATTAAAATGGTAACTTTGTCAGATATCGTCCCAATGTGAAAACGATGGGAGTCTCTAAACATAAACTAGAAAAAGTAGGGTCTATTACAACACCTATTTTATTTTCAATAAAAGAAGACATTTACATTTATTGTTGAAAAAAATTCTCATTTAGAAGCAATTGTTTTAAAATTTAAAATCTTTCTTTTTGTTTTGTAAGTCTCAGTTGTTTTTCTAGTTTTTAAACCATTGAGTAGGAAGTTAAAGTGAGCAACAGAAACTTTTTTTATTTTCTTCTTACCTATAATTTATAAAATTTGACTTTTCATTTTCAGTATGCTGCGTGGAAACAAAATTACATGTATCAACAATGTGACCTTTACTGAGACGCCTCGCCTGAGACTTCTGTAAGTCACTTGACACTTCATATTTTTATGAGAGAAAATATAATTATTTTTTTCTATAGCAGTGTTTAATTTTCTGTATTCATAGCTTTTGTTAGTTTAACCTAATTAATTAATTGCTGAATGACATTTTATGTTTAAAGAAATTATTTATAGCTTTAAGACTGGCCAGGACACTGTATGCTTAATGAACACTTTTTTGTTGTCTTTTAAAATCATCATTAATTATTTTTTAAAAAGAGTTCTTAATCACTACAATAAACAAACTTTAATGAAATAATGACAATTTTTTCAGCTCTCTCTATGATAACCAGATTAGGTGTATCATGAAAAGTTCTTTTGATAGACTTCATTATCTTTCTACACTGTGAGTTGTCATTACTATCTATATTCAGTTGTGTTTTTTTTTTTTTACAACAGGTGTTAGCGTAAATAACTTGATTAGAATTTGTGAATGTTATAGCCTATATACTAGAAAATGGCACCATGTGGTGCTATATCTTAATTACTTCACCCCAGTATCCCCCTCTTAATAATTATCAAAGGTACGTAAAAATGTTACCCTTTCAAACCTGGTGGGGCAGATGAAGTAGAATTCCGCAGTTTAAGTAACTTAGCATATGAAGAGATATAGTGGTCAGCACCACACCCAGCTGACTTTACTTCCCTTTGTGTGTGTAGTTACCGTGGGATGTCATGGTTATAAAACAAAAACAAAAGAATTAACTTAGAACTTTAAAATGCTGTTTCATATCTAATGTAACTCATTTCTATAAAAAAAGAAAAAAGTTCTGTTTTATTGAACAAACTTTAAAAAGTATATTTTTAACTCTCCAGCAACCTGATGGCCAACCCATTCAACTGTAACTGCCATTTAGACTGGTTGTCAGACTGGTTGAAAAAGAGAAATGTTATCACAGGGTCGCCCACTTGTACGGCCCCCAGTGCTGTGAAGAACACACCCATACAAGACCTTTCACCTAAAGATTTTGTCTGTGAAGGTAAAGAAAATTTCATTTTACACTGAAATATAAACATTGTATTCGTGGTGGAGCATTGACAGTGTCAGATGAATTTGATAGATTATTCTGTAAATAAATGTATAAGATTTTCTTTTCAGTAGCATATAATATCAGGTGTAGATTCATGGTCAGAAATTAGGGTTTGGGCTATGGTAAGACTTGGGTTTAGTTAGCATTGACTTTAGCAAGTTCTTTTAGTATTTTGTTTACTAGCATTAACCTACCATCATTTGTTTAAGAAGAGTGCTTTTTTTAGCATTACTTCACACTTGTATAAGAGTACATGTATCCCTTCATTATATCTATAGGTCTTTTATGTGTTGTTTAAATAAGTTTACTGTTCTTAAGGACAATAATTATCCTCAAATAATTGGAGGCCCACCTAAATGTAGGGTGCATTACTTATAAGTTTATAAATGTTATAAATGCTTTATTAAATTTAACACAATTTTCTAAATGTTTAAAAACATTGTCTCATGTTTAGAAAACAATGAACTTGGTTGCCATGTTGGAATTCAGCCATGTTGTCCAGACAGTAACATGGGTAAGAATAAATTGGAATAATAAAATTATACACAAAACAAATCATTACCATCCTCAAGTAGGTTAGTTGTTCATTTTCTAGTACTGTACTTATAAAAAGTAATTATAGTATATTTATCTGAGATTTTTTATCATTGTCTTGTGTTTTTTTTAAATTAAAGTTTTTATTTGCTTTGCTTTGTTTAGTTATTGTTGAGAACAGCTGTGACCCCAGGGCCTACTGCCCCCCAAAATGTACGTGTACAGGAACTGTTGTCAGATGCAGTAACCAGCAAATACAGGAGGTGCCAAAGTACATTCCACTAGATACAACAGAACTGTGAGTAACACCCATAGATAATATATGGTTCTTTAATAAAATGTGAAGGATTATTACATTTTGGATCACAAAACATTGTTATTGTTCATCTCAGGTATCTTGATAAAAATGGAATAACAAAAGTTCCTTATGACATTGGGCTCTTAACTAATCTCAAAAGACTGTAAGTAAATATAAATGTTACAATTTATTTGTTTAGTTTTCTTTTTATGAACTACATGATTTAAAAAAAAAATGTATCTTAAGAAAACAATATTTTAACTTAACAATAAAAAAAATGTATTATTAAATGAGGTTAACCTTTTTTTTTAAAAAAAAAAAAAACCTTTAAGAGCTAATTTTATTTTATTAAGGCTGTCATGATTGTTGACTTTAACTTTCATCCTTTTATCTGAAACCGTACAATGTTTTCTAATGAGATTATGTTTCTGTCATCAGAGATCTAAGCCACAACAAAATAGTGACACTACCTTCTCAGATATTCTCTAACCTCACCCAGCTGTCAACACTGTGAGTGAAAAATATTAGTTTTGTTTTGCTTCCTTTTAATGGTATCTGTTCTGTTTGAGTATTTTTTAAATAAAGAGCTTTATTATACTTCACTATCCATCTGTAGATCATTCTACTAAATTAGTATAATGATAGCATATTTACTGTTTAGTTAAATTCTAAAATGTCTTTTTTGTAAATGTAAAAAATTATTTCTATAAAAATCTTTTAAGTAAAGATTTTTGCATTGTTAGACTATTTATGCCAATTGATTATTTTTATCAGATTATTTTTACACAATAAATTTAATTAACTGATGTTTATGAAAATAGTGTTTTACCTGAATTAGTATTTGATTTAATTCCAGAATTTTGAGCTACAACAATCTACAATGCATTTCTGAAACAAGCTTTTCCAATCTTCAAAATCTTCGAATTTTGTAAGAAATTAATTTACAATTTTTTTTATTTATCAGCTTAAAACAAATTTTATTTCTTTCTATAATTTAAATTACCTACCGTTTTAAAATTAATATTTTATAAAACCTTCCTCAACTTTAAAATCACAATGCACAATTCAGTATTATTTCAAACAATGGTTTAAAACATCTGCAGATCACTACATGAAAATAATGTATCCTCCATACCCTATGGAGCATTTGACAGCTTGAAGTCACTATCCCACATGTGAGTTATGTTTTTTTCTAACTGTTGATGCATTTAAATGTTAGTTAAGAGAACATTTTTCAAACTCGCAAATAAATCTATATTTTAACCAATATTAAAACAAAAATTTTAATTGTGCTTATTTTATAGTATGCCTTAGCTTGGTGAACTTGATGCTCGGATGTAATAGATTATCTATAAATCCAGGATGAAAAATCAACCTTAAAGGCTTAAAATTTAAACCAAACAATAGTCTTATAATGTATAATATACATGAAGATACCCATACAGATACTTGTATTGGTTACCATGGGGGTAAACACATTAGGCCAGGGTAAGATTGACACATGAGACTAACCCTAGAATCATTGAAATTAATTTTGCTGAGTCCTCTACTTTACAGTATTAATTTAAGTATCCAGATTTTGGATAACAGAGTGGTCTCCCATCAAATTTCTGGCTAGCATCCATGATGATCCCCCTTTAATTTATATACTTCAGTATAATAGTCTACATCTCCCTTTATAATCTTATAATTCTCCTTATCACTTCCAGAGCTCTAGGAGGCAACCCCTTGTTCTGTGACTGTAAACTCAAATGGCTGTCTGACTGGATTAAAAGAGATTTCATTGAGCCAGGAATCGCAGTGTGTAACGGCCCACTGGCTATGAAATCTAAACTCCTCCTCAGTTCACCATCTTCAGATTTTGAGTGCCGCGGTGAGAAACATTTTACTATTTACAAAACCATTCAAACTAAAAATGATCAACAGATATTCAATACTTTCTTTCCCTTTAACTAATTTTTTTTTTAGTTATGCTAGTATTATTTATGTATTCTGTGTAAATGTAAACAATAAGATCTAACTTTTATACTACAGATGAGGATGATTACTAGATATATAAATGTATATTTGTTTGGGGGGGGGGGGGGTTGAGGCTAGGCCTCCCTTTGCCTCCTGAGATCCACCTTTAACTAAAGTAAACAACATATAAGCTCATTAAAATTTAATTCTTTTCTTGTAATTTAAATAATATTTTTTTCCCAAATTTTTGTCCACCATTTTTGCGGTAGCTAAACCTCTTCATCCCAGCCACATTTTAGATCCACCTATGTTAATCGTCTACTTGCACATCAGTTACTTTATAAGCAGAGTCTCACATCACTATCCTTGTCTTCGTTTTACTCTGTTCTACTGATTACAAATTTTCAAAAACATTTTAACTGAACTAAATAATATTTACAAGACCTAACAAGCAATAATCCCACCAACCACAGGGGACCCTGATCCTATTGTTGCTCAAAAATGTGACGTCTGCCTCACCAACCCCTGCAAGAATGGCGGCAAATGCAGCACTGTGGAGTTCAAAAATTTCAAATGTGAATGTACTCCTGGTTACCATGGAGATGTCTGCGACCAGCAGATTGATGCCTGTTTTGGAAACCCATGTAATAATGGTGGCAAGTGTGAAGTTCTGGAGCACGGCAGGTTCAGGTGAGTTTTGGAAACCCATTTAATAATGGTGGCAAGTGTGAAGTTCTGGAGCATGGCAGGTTTAGGTGAGTTTTGGAAACCAGCACATTAAACTTATTGTTTAGCACAACTATAGGAAAACAATAATAATAATGGTGGCAAGTGTGAAGTTCTGGAGCATGGCAGGTTTAGGTAAGTATTTCAGCACAGTACACTTAGACTTATTGTTTAGCAGAACTATAGGAAAACAAGGTTCATTTCAATGTTATCTTTACATGACAATGTTTAACTTATTGTTTAGCACAACTATAGGAAAACAAGGTTCATTTCAATGTTATCTTTACATGACAATGTTTAACTTATTATTTAGCACAACTATAGGAAACAAGGTTCATTTCAATGTTATCTTTACATGACAATGTTTAACCTATTGTTTAGCAGAACTATAGGAAACAAGGTTCATTTCAATGTTATCTTTACATGACAATGTTTAACTTATTGTTTAGCAGAACTATAGGAAAACAAGGTTCATTTCAATGTTATCTTTACATGACAATGTTTAACTTATTGTCTAGCTCAATTATAGGAAACAAGGTTCATTTCAATGTTATCTTTAAATGACAATGTTTAACTTATTGTTTAGCAGAACTATAGGAAACAAGGTTCATTTCAATGTTATCTTTAAATGACAATGTTTAACCTATTGTTTAGCAGAACTATAGGAAACAAGGTTCATTTCAATGTTATCTGTAAATGACAATGTTTATAAGAAATTTTTTCCAACACCCCAGATGCCAGTGTCTGAAAGGTTTTGAAGGAGACAGATGTGAAACCAACATTGATGACTGTGTGACAAACAGGTGTCTGAATAATGCAACCTGTGTAGATGAAATAGAGACTTATTCTTGTAGATGCAGAGAAGGATATACTGGTATATTTTTTTACAAATTTCTTTTGGTTCTACAAAATTTAGTTTTAAAACTCAACATCCCATTAATGTTTTGAGTAATAACTATTTCTTCTTTTTTCTTCTTTGTTCTTAATTTGTAATAATGAAAGGGGGTTTCCCCAACATAATAAAATATTTCATGTCAACTTGTTATGCGTCAAATAGGCAGTTGACTCTGATTTCAGCTTCCTTTTCTTTTTTGATTTGCTCCCATAGCCTTTGTCCAACCAAGAACAAACTACAAGGCAGCAGTTGTTTTAAATATTCATCTTACATGGGACCTTTTGTCCCAATTCTAATTTAGTCATAAAACTGAACAGTTAATCTCCATCTCTTAATAAACCTATTGGCCTCCACTTTATTACAAAAGACTTGCTGTTCCCAGCTATCGAGTATCATCTGCCTGGGGTTCGAACTCGAGACTTTCCTGTTTAGCAACCATGATCTTTACTGACTCAACCATGCCACCTCCTTATTATGTTTAATTTATCCATATTTTTATTTCCTAAATCAATGATATAAAAACTTTTGTTTTAAAACAGGGAAATGGTGTGAAAGCTCTATACCATTCTGTAAAGAAGGTTTCAACTATTGCGTTAATGGTGCAACATGCGTGGCTAAAACTGCTGGTTATAGGTAACAATTATTTGGTGAAGCCAGTTCTCTATCCTGACTTTGATACATTTTACAAACTTTAAGTAGTTAATTGCTCCAAATTAATATGGGTTAGATCTTCATTAAAGTGTGGTACTTTATAAGGTATAAAAAGCATTGTATTTTTGTTGAATTTTGATAGTTGAGAATTATATTAATAAGTAGGCTAATTAACAACAGAGCCGGCGTTAGGGGTACGCGGGGCCCCTGGCCAACCATCCGCGCGGGGCCTTATATTTTTTCATTGGTGTATAATTAAAACGTGTACAGTGAGGCGTTTTTTTTCTTCTTCTCAACGCGAATTAATATTTATAACGATATATATGGTATTTTTAAGCTGCTTATCAATGTCGTATTAACATTAAGACACTGATTAACAAACAATTTGTTTACTTAGAAGTGCTTTTGAAACGCTGCTTGTTTCTGTTAAGGCTTTTTGTTTGAAAAGTAAAAAATAAAACAGATATGAGTTTAAGACACGCTTTAAAGAGACGATGAACGTCAGCTTCAAACTTGATTTTTTTTTTACATTTATGTTTATTTATGAAAATCTTACCAGTACGTTCACAAACGAAGATCTACTTTTCTTGCCTTTCGTGAGGAAAATTCCATTATTATATCATCATAGTCCAAACTGGAGGCTATGTCTTTTTCTATTTTTCTATCCTCGCTTTTGATGCACCTTATTCATACTTGTGAAATCTATCTCTGTCTCTTGTAGCCATGGTGTAGAGGAAAAATGGTGAAATCACTTTGAAGCAACGTTAAATCGGTCCACAGTGGCGGGTGATAGTATCGATATTTTCTCAATTTATCGAGTGTTAACAGTGGCATTCAAAGTGTGTGGATGCCGGGGAAAATAGCAAAACATTGATAGATTTCGGAATAAGCTCGAATCGTGAAAAACACTGTTTACGGCTATAGATATCCAAATGAAATGACTCTCAAATGTAATCACGGACGCTCGGTAGGGTGGAACACTGGGGGGGGGGGGGGGGGTGACAGTTGGTGGGGTGAGGTAAAAGGATAACTGTACATTTAAATCTATGGGATGCCAAACCCTAAAAAAATCAGTTCGGGTACTACGTTACTGGATCTCTGACCGCAGCAATTCAAGAGAAGGTGCGTGTTTATAGAGCGCCCGCGTATTACATTACAGATTAAGACCGCGTTATCACAAGAGAAGGTCCGTGTCTATAATTAGAAAGTGAACTATGTGACAGCCAGCTTCATGTTATTTATGAGTTTCGCGATGGCATGCTCGGACTGCCGGTAATTTAGACGTTTTAGAAATCAGGAGAACTTTACCATAAAACAGTCTCGGCCCTATGTATCAACAGTATAGACTTTATAATTTGTTTAGTGTGTCACCGGGTGACACCATTTAGGGGGGGGGGGGGTGACACCAAGGCAAAAAATAGCAAAATATATAGAGAAAAACTTGAGGGGGGTGCAAATTGAAAGTTTGAGGGGGGGGGTGCAAATCGAAAATTTGAAAGTTTTTTCCCGGGAAGGGGCATGTTCCCATCCGCTCTCTCTCCCCCCCCCCCCCTCCTCCTCTGCAAGCCATCATCAGGTCACTGACTGTTTACTACAGGCACCCCCGCCTGCTCACTAAAAAAAACGTCTTCAACGGTCCGCAAACAATAGGGTATCTGTTTACGTTTTCCCCGATTTTACCTCCCATGTCAGGTCGGGGGCTAATTCGCGACCGCCATCTCCAGTCACCTCAGGACAATTGCGAGTCGACCGTGCCAGCGATGTGTGACACTAATGTCTTTCTTTAGAATAACGGTCTGTCCCAGTCCATGTAGAGGATAACTCACTAACATCAGCCGTGGCCTCCGTTTTAACATCCAACAATTTCGGCCATTTAGTTGGGTTTTTTTTTTAAATTTAATTCAGCAAAGGTTATTTAAGTTTACAAACTAATTCAGGCAACAATGGCGTTGCTGAAGCGCGGGGCCCCTTCAAGCGCGGGGCCTGGTGCGACCGCCCCGTTTGCCACCCCCTAACGCCGGCTCTGATTAACAAAAGACAAATAATTACAAATTATGTGCACTTTTGGTGCTTTTCAGTTGTGAGTGTTCCCCAGGCTACACTGGCAAAAACTGCTCCGACAACATCGATGATTGTAAGTCACATGCGTGTCTTAACGGCGCTTCATGTGTAGATGGCCTGGACTCGTATACATGCATGTGCTCCCCCGGCTACTCTGGCCGCTTTTGTGAGATAGCACCAGTACTGGACTTAGTACCGCTACCCAATTCCCAAGAAAGTGCACCGGCCTGCCGGCTGCACGAGTGCCAGAATAATGCAGTGTGCTACCAGCCGGCCGGTTCGCCTGATTATAAGTGTAAATGCCCTCCAGGTACATGACTAGCACTGCTAATTTTTATGTTTTGTTTACACACATGGGCAGTGCCACCAAACCCTACCAAATTAAATTATATTGCAAAACTATTTTTATTGTTTTAAAAAAACGGTTAACTGGCACTGCTCATGTTTGCTAATTTGAAGATCTGATTTTAAATATTTTTTAATGTGAGACATTACAGGAGTTTTCATTTTTAGAAAAGAGATAATTTTCATTATTACAAAAGAGATAAAGTGATAATGTAAAGTTAAATTTGAACAAGAACTAAAATAATGGTAGACTGTAAAAAAATTACTTTCATTTAGCTAAATATTTTAAATGGAAGTTATTATAAACTTACCTTGAATATACATAGAAAATAAGAGAATATCTTGTAGAAATCAACCATGCTTGAAAGTAAAGTAAAACAATTAAAGAGTAAAAGTTTTTAGTTGTTGATCTGCTGAACTATATAAAATCTATGTCAAATCTTAATGAAATCACTCTTTTTTTCAAAAGTAACAATACTCAATGACAATTTATTACAAAAATGCTCTAAACCTATTGATAATTCATATAACCAAACACTTTTTTCTTTTCTTTCAAGACCAGTAAGTAAAATGTAAAGTGCTGTCAACAACCCATCAGTGCTATAATAGCCTAGAAATAGAAGATTGAAATAGCTTTTTATTTTAATTTCAGTTTTTTTTTTATTCAGCTTACTTACAAGATTAAGACCATAGATTCTGCCACTTAACTAAAACTAATGCTTCAGCATAGACATACATGTTGTAAATGTGTTTTAATTATGTTGATTAGTTAAATTAAGTAAGACTGTTGTCTTGACAATGTTGGTGATACACATCTTGCACAGAAACATTTAATTACACAGCTATTTACATTGGGTTAAAGCATTGGTGATAAACTTGAGGAAGATGGTGGTGACTTAGATGGTTTAAAGAAGAAAAACTTAGTCCACATTCCCATGCATGATAGTATTGTCATAACTTCATGTGTACCAGTCGTAAATTTAATAATTGCATGACACTGACTTGCAATTTTTACACAAATATTGGTTAGGTTTTTCAACTTAGACAAAACAGAAAGATGATGTTGGTAATAATTGGTATTTTTAAAAATCAAAGTAAGCCAAGATTAAGGGCATTGGTAAATCAAAGTGTAACATGTTTCATTTTTTCAATGTAAATAAAAAAAAATTTCCACTACACATAAAATTTTGTGGTCAACATATTTATTGTAACAATTGTAATTATAGCAATTTTCACATCACAGCTTATTTTATTTTAACAATCTTGAAATGTTTATCTTTACATTAGATTTTTATTCCAGTAATTGCATTACCATTCTGCTGTAGGACTTTTACAAAATTGTTTTGTAAATAAATTCTTATTACATTTTGAAATTATCTGCAGGTTTTGATGGCAAAAAATGTGAAAAGTTGTCCAGTGTGTCGTTCAAAGAAAAAGATTCCTACGTTAAGTTGCCGAGGGTAGATTTCCGCCAGGAGACAAACATATCCATCACATTTTCAACCAAAAGCCACAACGGCATCCTGCTGTATGCCGGGGAACAGCAGCATGTTGCTGTTGAGCTGTTCCGGGGCCTGATCAAAGTTAGTTTTGACATAGGCAACTACCCGGGGTCCACGATGTTTAGCTACGAGAGAGTGGACGATGGCCACACCCATCAGGTCACAATGATCATCAACCAGAAGAATTTCACCATGACCATTGACAACAATAACGCTTCTCGTACTATTATCAATGAAGGGGCCATCACTCACTTGGATCTTCATGACTCACTCTACCTGGGGGGTCTGCCAAGTATCATCAATGCACAGGCTTTCAAAAAGTGGCACATTAAAGACAGTAGCAGTTTTATAGGTGAGTGCCTTTTTCTTTAAGGCCTTCTTCATGTATAACATAACTTTACATGCTAGTTAATTATTACTCAAGTTAACTATAGCTTAATTACAATATTTTTAATTACTTAAATACTAAGTGATGTGTATGGGAATGCATAGTAGAGCACACACTTTTTTACCCAATAATCTTTAGCTCAGTTTCCATGCTCAATTTGATATAGTGATCTGGGTTCAACCAGTCCTTATTAGCAGTTTTACCTAACTTGAGTCAGACAGAGTAAAGTGATGCAGCATAGTGCTTAACAATCCTTTCATCTTCATACACTGCAATCAACAAAACAAACAAAGGCAATAAAGGGCAAATGAAGAAGGGTTTAATTCGTACTGGCAGGGCACTTTTCTTTGTATTTAAATAAGGTGTTAGAACATGTTTAAAATTTCCAGATCTTGTTGACTGCAGTGCACATGCTAATCATATAAATGTGTTGTGTCTTGTGTCAACGTGCAGGCTGCTTCCTGAAGGTGTATATAAACAACAAGCAAGTAGATCTGCTGTCTGCGCATGAGCGCTACAAGGTTATCCCCGGCTGCGACTCTGTCAGCCAAGACCCGTGCCACAACAACCTCTGCCAGAAAGGGAAATGTAAACCACGCCGCAGAAAACCAGGCTACCGATGTAAATGCAACCGTGGCTATTCCGGTACATACTGTGATAGAGGTGGGTCATCCTTATCAGCTGGTGTCAGTTGTGTGTTTAAAATAGTTAGCTGAATGGGAGTTGTATATTAACTTGTCCACTTTGTACTGTGTGAGGTGACTTTTTTTCTAACCCTTAGAGGACTTCATTTCTAGCTACTAATTTTAAAAATTCAACGCTGAAATATCAATCTCTCAAAGATTCCTAACTATCTACTAATCATATTTTCAAAAAAAAAACTATCTCAATTGAGATAGCATTTGGCTACTAATACTCTATATTTAAAAGTATACCAACAACCTCTAAGGTTTGTTTTATTTTCACCCCCAAAGTACAATTTGGTAGAAGGCAAGAGAAAGAAGTTGGCAAAAAACGCCTTAAGACTTTTGGGTTCTAACTGTGGCTGTCTCCATTTGCAATAGTAAGAGTTGTTTCATTTTTTTTGTAATATTCATTTTCAGAATTATTGTATATAATTGTATAACTGCACTGTATTTCTTTATTATGAAACCAACATTATTGCGATAGGATAAACATACTACTTATGTATAGGTATTTTTTTTTCTAATTGTAGCTTCACTTTCCTCAACGCCTGCCTGCAAGATTGTTGCTGATAAAAATTATTTCATTGACCCCACCACGAAATGTAAATCAAGGACAAAAATAAAGTTTAGAACCTGCGCAGGATCGTGTCATACAGGCTACTGCTGCAACCCCAAAAAAATAAAAAACAGGAAGGTGCGCTTGTATTGTGATGACAGAAGCAGTTACATGTATGAATTGCAAATGATTCGAAAATGTGCTTGCAAGAAGTGTGTCAAAAAGTAATAGTCCCATATCAATAACTCTTATGGTGGTCCATAAAAGATGTCACGCTTTTTTTTTTGTCATTTGTACTAGATAAATTTAGAACTTTAAAAAAATTGCAGCAGGTCAATATAAGATTCAGTGATAAATTTGCATAATTTACACACAAAAATCATTTATTTTCAAACTAACTGCTAAAATTTAGTTTTTTTTTAAAAAAACAACCTTAAAATGAAAAAAAAATGTTGCATTTCTTTAACCCCCACTCTCACAGGAGCGTGATTCACTTTATGGACCACTACTTATTTGCCAAAACCTTTATGTTTATTATATAAACACAAATAACTAGATTGATGCTGAATTGAATTTCAGAACTTCTAATTTTAATGTGATTATATTAGTATTCAATTGAACATACAAATGGTTCAAATGAAAATACTTTTTAAACAAATTAAAACCATTTCTCAAAGTCTTTTAATTGTTTTGATATAAGGAACAATTCTAACAAGGTAATAACTTTAGTCATCAGCTATTTTTCAGTGCTTATTTTCTAATTGATGTAAAAAGTAAGAATAGGAGCAGAGCCTCTCTGGCATTCTCTATTTTTTGTAAGTCTCTTTTACATTTTGTAAAAGCATGAGTTATTCAGTTAGAAGTTGATAGGTTTTTTTTTATTTTACTAACATTTTTATTATAAAAAAAAATAAATCACATTTCAGAAAATCAATTTTTCATACAAGAGCAATTATCCCCATTAAAAAAGTATGTGTTCAAAGAAATAGACATAATGTGCTAAGACAAATACACTACCTCAAAATATGCTGCTTATTAAACCAAAGTAATTCTTGTATAGAGCATTTCTTTATTCTTTTTGAATTTACATTTATGCCTGTTTGAAAATTATCAATTAGCATTATTTAAACTGCCTATTTTTTTAGTTTTAAAATATTTCTTTTTGACATTAAGAAATAGTGTAGTGAAAATACTCTTGAACTCTAATCTTTGCCTTAAAACCTTAAAAATAGTTAATAGAATAGATGCTATCAATATTGATTTTAATCTTAATAAAATAAATGTTTATTAAAATGCACCTTACTGTTAAGATTTGCTGCTTAGTTTTAGCTAGGAATTAGGCTAAACTGAGCTTGCAATATTTGACAATAACATCTCAAGTGCAATCTTAATGGTTTTATTACCAACTAATTGAAGTCAGTAAATTTGTTTCATGTTGACACTGGTTGTTTGTCTTATGTCAGCCAATATAATGATCTTTATTACTAACTTCTTGTGGTGCAGTGATTAATTATCATTCTATACATTGTCCAGCATTTGAATTATTAAATTAAATGATAAAACATTTTATATTTTTGCTTCTTGTTATAACATAATTAATGAAAAAGCACCAAAAGGAGGCCTATATTAGGAAAGATATACAATAATTGTTTCTACAAAGTAGGGTTTAAGTAACTGCAGTTATAAAGATTATGCCCTCTTGAGTTTTGTTTACATTTCGAAGCTAAACATTTATTTACCATTATAGAAAAGATTTCCAAAACTTGGCTAGATTTTAAAATACATAACAATTCCTAAAATATGTTAATCAATCATTTGTACAGTAAAGAGTGAATGTCTGTAAGCTGTCTAGTCTACACACCCAAAACAAATTTAAAATTCCTTCACAAGATTTGTGATGGAATGTCTTCTTTCATTTATTTGATTTAGGGAAACTGGCAAGCTGTTATTCAGTTTTTCATGTTCATATTTGTCATGCCTACAGAATCCCTCATACAAACATTTCAAATAAATGTTACCATTTAATGAAAATCAAGGTAAACTAAAATATTGCATTTAATATTAGGAGATGGTCTTACAGAGTGTACAACTGGCAAGAAAAAAAAATGTTTTAGTTGAAACAATGCCAAAGTTTGTGTTGAAATACAATACATCTGTAAATACATGTAATATGTTTTTGTACATATGACATAAGTCATACATCAGCTAATTATTTGTAGATTTGGTAATTGTCATGTATTTATTATATTGTATTTTTAGATAAATTTAGAAAAAAATAGACTAATATGTATGTATGTGCAAAAATGTGTTCATACATATATGCTGTTTATTTAGTAATATACATATGTGTATAATATAATTATTAAATGTGATAAAACTAAACCATTCTGTGTAAACTGTTTTTGACTAAGTTGTTTTATAATGTTTTGAGATCCATGTGTGTTTTGTGTTTCTAAATAAAATGATTGTTTGCTTTAAAACAAATATTGTTAATGTATGGATCCACAAGGCATTCTTTATTTTCAGTCATCACTTATATCTACAAAACCTTGAAATACTAGTAGTATGGTATTCAAGTAAACAGATCATATATTTAAAGTAGACTATCCAAATAAATGAAAAACAGTTTTTTAATTAATATTTTAGCTCTTTTAAAACAATATTTATAAAACTTTGATTTGGATAACTTTTCTATTTACAGGTTGTATGTTTTGAAATAAAATATTAAGGTTCTGCTTTTTTATAAAACTTCTTTGTGAAAAGGAATATGAACGTAGCTATTTTGTGCTTTGTTTGACACTTTGTAAAGTGTGAAAAATGTCAAGTTTCACATTTTATCATAACTAAAGTTTGACAGTCATGGTATGTAGTTTATTATGTAATATATTTATTTTTAAAGTGTATGAGTGGTGTGTGTATATATATATATATATATATATATATATATATATATATATATATATATATATATATATATATATATATATATATATATATATATATATATATATATATATACACATTTTTAGTGCTGCTGCTTTATTTGTTCATTGAAATTAATCATGTACATTTCTCACAATAGCTGTATTACAAATTAGCACAGCTGTATTTTACAACCAAAAAAAAATAAATTATTACAATTGTAAAAAGAAAAATTTGTTAACAATTCTACTGAGCTTATGCTTGAATTTTACAAGTTTTATCATGTATCATTTTGACATTAAATTGATTTCAAACTATATTTCTTTTAATACATTAGATTCTTTAGCTATCCCTGTCTAATAATAACCTTGTTAGGTAAATCAGTTTAAAATGCAGAATATAATTTAGTTGATTAAAAGATGAGTTAAAAGTACATTCCCATTTTGATTACGTTTGTTTCAACCTTTCGGACATCTTTATTTATATTTTAAATAAGAAAATTTAGATTATTTTCTGTAAAATATTGATAAAAATTTAATTAAGTAAGTCAAACACTTGATATGTTTCTAAATATGTATAATGCATATCCAATTTTTTTAAAATGGCATTAAAATGTGTATGGCCCTGATGGCATAACTTAATAACCATTTATATCTGCTCCCACGACTGAATCTTAAAGAATATATTGTTTCTCATGTCTACATTTTTGTCATGGTAAATAAACATTGTTAAAGCAATTAAATTTTTTTTTAATTTTTTACATAAAGGAAAGCAGGCTGAAGTTGGGGGGCCATGGTGCTCACGGGGAGCCTGGGGTGCCAACTCGCACCTTCCTGGGTTGGTGGAGGATGCACATTATTCAATTTAGTGAACAATTATAGTGGCTGATTATATCCGTAGTGTATTGCACTCTTTGAAATGAACATAGGTGCCATAGTGCTCAATGGGGATCCTGTAGCGCTCTGAGTTACCCAACTGCCACATAGATAGATATAGATCTATCTATTAAAAAAATCCTAACATCGATCTGTGCTACTGTCATCGCCCGCTGTCGTTAGCGAGAGGAAAATCCCGTCTGAGTCGACATTAATTTTAAAAATCAAACACGCTTATGTTTTTACAAACGTGAGCAGATCATTGTGAATTGGTATATCTTGTCAGCAGGAGAGATATTCTGCAGCATGTATTCATGGATTGTTATACTTGCAAAAAGTGTAAATGTATAAACAATTTTTAAAAATGTAATTTATTTTTTATAAAGTAATTTTAATTATAAAAAAAATTTACAAACAAAATCTTCTAAAATAGTCCTAGCACTACTCAAACATACCTCGTGACACTATCTTTCACACACAGTACATCCAACCCAGTTCATAAGACTCCCATTTATACATTTTTCTTTGGCTACTTCTTCCAATCCACATTCACAACATGTCACATTCTCATCACAGTTGGCCTCCTCGTTCATCCCACACACAACACTGGCACTCATGTTATCATCATCATCCGCACGCACATCTGTTTTCCTTTTTTTTTTAAATTTGTATTTTTTATCATTTCTGTTGTTTTGGCAATGTCTTGCTCAATGTCTTTATCACCAGCCGGATCTACATCAGCAGGGAGTGGACGTTTATGCCCTGAAGTCTTATACGGTCGCTTCCTTGCAGTCTTTCTGAGTTGGTTCAGATTTACTAACTTTTTGTTGTCAACTGTCAATAATCCAACTGCCTGTCTGGCCGCCACGATGTGGTAACAGTTACCGACGGCCGGACAGGAGCATGTTTCCCTTGGGAAAAGGGTGACAACCCTGGGGTCTGTTGACCCTTAAATGGTGAACACACTAAGTTTAGTATTTGATGTTATTAGTTCATTGTCAAGCACAAATTGTGCACTTTCTGCAACAGTTGCACTGGGCAAACAGTCCTTCCCTTTGGGTGCAGTTACATAGACTACTTCCTGTTGTAAGTTCTCACCAATTCTCGCAACAATGTCATCAGGGTTAAAGCAGGCGGAATTCTGGTGTGCTCCTCATTATATGAGTAACAAAATCATGTTTAAGGAGCCAATTCCCATTAGCCTTCGTCCTCTGTAAATTTCTGGCCAAGCCTGAAGAGGCTCAAGACCATAGCGTCAACAGGTGCTTCCTTCCAGTGTTGAATTCTTTTAAATACAGCATTAAAAGATTCACTTTGGTTCGCTAAGACACAAAACACGAATATGAACAGAATATGAACAGAATGAAAAAAAAAATGTGCGTCTCTAGATAATCTGAATAAAGTCTGCTATTGACAAAATGACCATTTAATAGCTAAAATAACACCACCACCAAAACCAAACAATTCATATGAGTTCAAATTGATTTAAAAAATAATAGAAGTTGGTCCATAGCATACGACATAGCACGAGCAACTGATAATGTCGGTGACGTCACTTTTATTTTTTCCCCCAAACAGCCAGTAAGTGAAAAAAAAAACTGAGGGGATTGTGAGTTCATATAAGCTTAGGAATTTATATGGTGAAAAAAAATCGTGGGCGGCGGTAATAATATAAAATTTCTATGCAACTTCTTCTTCGTTCTTAATTATTAGTGTTGAAGGGGATCGAGATTTATCTGCCAGTGGGTTTGAGACTCGAGACTTTGTTCGAATTTATCAAACACGAGCTATTTGCCGACTCGACCACGCCTCCAACACAATTAAGCGTTACGTGTCAACTGGTTATGCGCCATTGAGGCCATTGACTCCGATTTCAGCCTGCTTTTCTTTTTTGGATTTGCTTCCATAGCCTTTGTCCAACCAAGAACAAACTACAAGGCAGCAGTTGTTTAGTTTTGGAGTTGTCTCTCCTAGAAGAGTGGCTGTCCCCAGCTAACGAGCCTCATCTGCCCGAGGGTTCGAACTCGAGACTTTTCGATTTAGCAACCATGAGATTTACCGACTCGACCACGCCGACCCCTCTATGCAACAATACAAACTATGTTTGCGGCGGCAGCTGCTTCTGGCACGGTGATCTTCAAAGCCGATAAATCAGGCAAGCCTCAGTGTTCCACACAAATGAAAGAAATTGATCTATCAAAAGATGGGAAAGTTGACAAATCATCAGTATGTTTAGCGACGGAAAAATCGGAGTTTTAGTAATGTAAACTAAACATCTTTGAAGTCTGCATCAAATACAACTGTAAATCAGGTGCGGGTAAATTTTTTGCAGATATCTTCGCATTTTAACACCACCCAGCATAAATATAGGGTGGTGGTAATATGTGAGACAAAAATGTCACGTGACCGACTGTTTTCGTGCCCTTCTCGCAGTTTACCACCATTTTGCTTTTCGCGCCTCGCAATTTCCCAACACCCGAGTTACTGACCCAACTCTGGGACATTTGACTGACTTGAACCCTGATTTGAACTCAAGACTTTTGAGTTAGTCTAGCTTTCTACCGCTGGGCCACACTGTCCCATAGTTTCCAAACTTGAGACTTTCGATTAGCAGTTATACGCTCTAACAATAACATCCAACCATTAGGTAAATCTAAATCTACTCAATGTCATTGAGATTGAAATGTCATTTAACATTTAAATACTTTTATTTTTATTTCATTGATGTTAAATAAATGCAGAAGATACACTGCAGACTTTTAACATTTAAATATTTAAAATGGAAAAATTATTTATAAATTTATAACTTTAATATCATTGTTATAAGTTAAATAAAAGTTTATCCATAACAAAAAAAATATGATCACCCCATAAATAAACTTACCCTACAGTATCTTTTATTGGGGTCTGTTTTCTGTATAGATTATAGAACTGCTATACCATGGTTGTTGGAGAAACTTATGTCCATTGACCATTGCCATTATGAAGACTGTTGACACTGTTGTAGCGTTTTGTCTAACGTTTAGAGAAAGATCAGGTTAATTTATGAGTTGCAATTTCAAAACTGGTTGACATTTAATTCATTCAAGCTACCATTAGTGACTCGTTACTTCGATGAGGTATTAACTTTTTAAACTGCCCGCTTAACCAAATGACATGAACAGTGAACTGTTTTTGGTGTGTGTTTGTTTACACTGGTGACTAGCGTGTACTTTAAAGCATCACTCTCTACACACTTAGCAGATAGAATAGAATTGGCCTACTAATGGCCAGGTAACCAGATTAACACACTATGCTGTCCCCATCACCTCACCCCCCCCCCCCCCACCCCAGAAATCATCAACACAGGTCTGACACTAAAGTGTGCAGTGGATTGTGTGTGTTAAGTCATGGACAAAGGAATAACACAATATTGAGTATGTCCTGACAATTTCCCAAAGCATCTTTTTCATCTTTATAAAAGAAAAAAAAATTATATACACAGTAGCTGCAACAGACACAAATGGGGTGTGAAAAAAAATAACTGTGACGTCATTTAATTTTCAGCCTTTTGGGGTCGTAACCGGACATCAATGACGTCATACCATCTTAGCAAATACTCCCAACACGTGGTGTCTATTCTAAGTCGACTGGGAATAGCCGAATTAGGGCTACTCACAGTCGTGACTGTTTTTTTTTTATAGATTTAATGTTAAAAGCACCCAAATAAGCATGAAGTTGTGTGGTCGAGCGGACTTCCCGACACAGCAAATCATCATCTTAGGCAAGTGACAAAAGTTTTGACACAAGATCATAGAAATTACTGTAAACAAATGTAAATTGTAATGAGCGGCCGTGTCAATTAAAAGAAGCTGCCATAAAATTAATAGAGTAGGGTTCGTCCTTTTAGACTATATTAAGATGTTTAATTAGGGAGAGAGAGGGGGTCTAACTTAAGAGGGTTTGCGTCTTGGGGGACATGGCCGGACATGCATCCATTTTAGTTCCAGGTTCGATCTATCACGATGGTGATAAGCGCTGCCCCCTCCCGGGAAAGTCGGGGGTGGGGCAATTCAGTGGCGTAGCGAGGTCGGGTGTCACCCGGTGCACTTAATGGTGTCACCCCCTCCCCCCTAGAGGCGTAGCGACCCTTCACGGGGACAAACTTTCAATTTTCGATTTGCACCCCCCCCCCCTCAAACTTTCGATTTGCACCTCTTTAACAGACTATTTAACACTCGAATTAATCACTTGCTATTTTTTGCCTTGGTGTCACCCCCCTAAATGATGTCGCCCGGTGCGTTCTGCACCCCCCCCCCCCCCTCGCTACGCCACTGGGGCGATTTACGAGTTACCATTCTTTAGTTTTTTATTTTATCACACAATTGATGTAGTAAACAGTTAAACAACTCCGTAAAACTAATTAACAGTCACAAAGCAATTTTTTTTCTATCCACCCCCCCCCCCCTTGATCGGCGCCCGTCTGCCGTCCCCTAGTTAATCATTTGAGAAGGGTAGGGTCAGGGTGAAAGGCTGTAAACCATTTTAAAAGTAATTTGTGTTGGGGTTGGTGGACTGGAACTTGTGATATCCTTGAGAGTTGATGGCAGTGTTTCTTCCAGACTTTTTTCTCCGGGAGGGGGAGGGGGCGGACACTGTTAAAAGTATATATTTTCTATATAAATTATATACATTTCGTTCGGGTGGGGGGGGGGGGGTAAAAAAATTCGGGGGGGGGGGGGGGGGCTTCAAGAGATGCATGGAAGAAACTCAGGTTGATGGTAAAAGTCGGATAAAAACGCCCTCTTTAGTGAAAAGTATAGAAACTCGTATCGTATTTCTGTGGATTGTAGGATGGTCTATCGAAATGTATTGTTCGCCTACATTTTACATTATGTTTAATACATCCTATTTGACTAGTTGTAAGCTAGAACACGAAAAACTTTTTATTATGTGCACAATCCCTACTGGTCTAACGAAAGATGTCATGCATATCCAATAGACACGGACACACACACACGATCAGTCATTCGATTTTTTGCATTTATGAACTAGATCTAAATCTAGATCTAATGTATGACATAATGGCGTGGCTCTTTCAAAAATGCAAATTCTATTAGAACTGCTCTGATTGCTATTACACATAGAATCTAGAGATCTTGATCTAGATTAGTGGTAAATTATACCAAACTGAATTTTCCTTAGCTCAGCCTGGATCAAAGCAAAATAAACATGGCCGATCTTTCTAGGAGACGCCTCGAATAAGTGTGAAAACCCACAGTAAGTTGTAAACTCTAGATCTATAAGTTGTAAATTGTAGTTTATTAGATTGATATCCCACCTAGTGCATATTATGACTGCTTAACGTCTAAAGAAATGTTCATTTGATAGAAGAATAGACATTCGTTTAAAATATAGAATCTAGATCTAGATATCTTAGAGATCTAAATTATTCTAAATGATATGATTACTCTCAAAAATCAAAATTGTCAAGTTTTCAAGTAGTCACTCAGATCTTTCATGACAACTTCACTACTCCTGTCCTATCATCACTACTGACTTGCAGCTGTCACTACTGTCGTCGTCAGCATTATCCTGTTACTGTTATACTTTTTTTTTACAGTGTTAGTAATAGTAATTCCTTGTCTTGAACAAATCCTAGTATTTAACCGTAGTGTTTAGTTAGTAACTTAGTAAGTTTAGTTAGACCTGAGTAAAGTCCAGTCTAAAGTAGTAGATCATCTAGACTAGATCTAGGTCTAGATCTGTCTAAGTGTCTTGAATCTAGATCTAGTCTAGATCTAGAATATCTACTAGATCTAGATCTACTAGATCTACTCTTCTAGAATCTAGTAGAAATCTACTCAAAATTAGTTGTTACAGTGCAATAATCTATACACTATAATCTACTAGATCTAGATTCTACCTTCAGCTCTCTTACTCTTAGTCTTACTCTTGAGTAGACTGACTGACTACTCACTCACTGCTAAGTTTAGACTAGTAGAGTAAGTAGAGTTTTAGTAGAGGGATGTTATTTAGAATCGGCGACCCTTTAGTTTGTATCCCTAGCAGAACCAACAACCAGCTTGGCCTCAACCCACCCGTGGGCTTGTTGCATGGAGTTACGTAAAAGCTCAAAACAATAGGCCCTAATGCCTAATAGCACAAATAATAATTATTACTAGATCTAGATCTAATTCATAATTGTAGCCCTATCGCCTAATGTTTTTGCAATTGTTTTATAAAACTATTAATTTCAGATGGCTTCTGTGGCCAATGCCACTATGTGGCTGTTGTTTGGTGTAACACTTTTGTTTATATCATTTGGAGGGTTTGCTTTGATGCTTGGTCTCTATGTATTGGCTTTTATTGCTGGGTAAGTAATATTTAAATACTTTATTTCACCCACTAGATTAATTTACTTTTTATTTATACCTACTCTGTTTACTTTGCAATTAATATGAATTAACGCAAGTAAATATCTAGAGATTACCTAGGATATAGAAATACTATACTTTAAATCAAATAGAATTACATTAAATAAGGCGGTATAAATGAGATCATTTTAAAATGTTTTACTTTTTATTTTCAGTGGTTTGTTGATAGTTTATCATTATGGTAAACAAGCTGCTTGCTTGAACCTATCTGAGTTGCATCAAAGTGGACTAGTGGGGAATGGAGGGATTGAGAAGGTTAGTGTTAGATGTGTTCCCATTAAAACTGAAAACTGCTTGAAGTTACACCCCACCTCTTACATTTTCCACAGTGTCAGCCAAATTAGTCTGTTCCTTTTTTTTAAAAATTAAAAGTCTCACTCTATTTAAATGAAGGATATTATTTTTTACAAGCTTTTATTGTTGTCTATTTCTTGTCCATTTTTCTTGCAATCACTAAATTCTACCAAACTGATTAGGTTCAAACTTGGCATGTGTATCAATGATGAATTTTTTGTTAATTTAGAAGTTAAAATGCAGAGGCTAAAGAATGTTTTTAATTAAATAAGGATAGCTAACTAATGGAAGAAAAGGGGGAAGGGGAATAACTGATATTTAGTCAGTTGATCCTCACAGACTGTTTCTTTTAAAAATGTTTTTTTTTTCTGTTTTAAAAGGGGAGATCATTCATGGATTAGTGATTGATGAAAATGAATAATTATAATAGTTATGTATACAAGTTAATTAGAATCAACTAGTCACAAAAGGTCAAACTTTATAATTTTTAAAACTTACACATCAATTTGTGCTATAATAAGTTTACACTTAATGAATTTTGCAGTATAAAAAATATTGCTCACCTTTTCAATATATTTAGCAACTTATTTTTAGCTGCTGAAGAAAATTGATAATTTAGGCCAATACATACAATTGTTATTAATTAATGTAATGTTTAACTAAAAACATTGTTGCAGTATGCAGTTTCAATAAGTCAATTAACTTCTTCACATTCTTATTTTTTCTTTCTTTTATTTAATCTTTGTTAGGTGAAAGCTGCAATGGAACAAACAACTAAAATGAAAAATTTTGACAAGCGTATGACAGGAGCCTCTGTAATTGATGATGTATTAAAAGAAGTAAGACTTAGCAATATGCTCACAAAAAGTAGTTAATATCTAGTTTTTCTAATTGCAATTATTATTAATAGTAATTCAAGTTGCAAAAATAAAGGATAATAATTTAATAGCACCCTTTCTTATAATTGGGATGTACATTTTTTATTTTCCTTTTAGGAAATTGCTGTGTGATTCAACATGTTGTGAACAATTTTTCCCTTTGTTTCTCATAGGTTTTAGAGTATACAGTGAAGGATTATATTAAAACATGGTATAGACAAATAAGCGACCATGATAGCTTTCTTGTTGATATTTGGCAATGTGCTCAGAAAGTTATTATCACATTTTCTAACAGGTTTGTGTGCTAACAGTGGTAGACTAATTGTTTTATAGTCAGCTTCTGGTTACTTATCGTCGATTTATTTATTATTCATGTTTAACATAATTTATACTGCCCAAATTTTTTTCAATTAATTCACATTGTTTTTTACACTTTTATTCTTTTAAAAAAGTTTTGTACTTTTTATTTAGACAAATCAAGTGATTATAATTTTTAAATTACAGATCAAAAGATATAGACTGGATGCCATATTTTACTCAGCGTTTGGTTGATGATTTTGCATCACATATTCGACTGTATAGGCGTGCAGCAGAGAGAACAAGTTCTGCACCAAATGAAGGTAAGTTGCCTTTAATTTCACACATTTCAAACTGCATAGAAGTTGTTACTTGAATATTTTGACATCATCTCTGACTAATAAATTTTATCTAATTCCATTTAGTTTAAACACAAAAATGATTCAAAGTATATAAATATTAATCAAAACCTTTTGGTTCTGTATTTTCCAGAAAGTTTTGCAGCTCTTGAGAGTGCATTTTTCGACATGGAAGTTGAAATGGAAAACAATATGTGTAGAGATCTAGTTTGTCTTGATCCTAAAGCTGAAAGGCGTAAGCTTTTATTATTTGTAATGTTCTACAATAGTTTTACCGTGATGTTAAAAAAATATATTAATCTTTTTCAGATTAACAATAATTTAACATGACATAGACTTAAGTAGATTTTTTTTTTTTTATTCTTCAGAATATCTACAAGATCTCAGTGAAGTTTTGTTATATTTATTGTTACCAAAAGAAGATTTTCATAATAAACCATTTAGGTATATAGTTCGTGTAAGTATTCTTCCAAATGTTTTCAAAATAATCCATTTAGTTGCTTAATTAATAACAATCATGATGTCATATAGTTACTGTAATCAATAACCATGACACCTTTTTCTCTAAGATTATCTTTCCAATTATGTATTGATTGTAGATAATGTAACTCTATAATCTTTGTTTTTCCAGGAAGTTCTAGTCAATGGGATCTTCCTCCCAACAATTGATTTATTATCTGACCCAGACTACATCAATATGTACATAGCATGGATGGTAAAAATAATTTTCCTGTATTTTTTTTAATGTAAATGGTTTTTTTGTTCAATTTTTAATAATAGAATCTAGTTCCTTTACTGGACATTACACTTAAACCAGGATCTTTCCTGCATATTTTACATATTCAAGGCTTTTTTAGTTACAGCAGCACTACTCGTACAAAACTTAAAACTTTTTGGATGGCTTTCTTTAATTTAAAGTTAATAATTCTTTAAAAGAGTCATAAACCTATTATATTTATTTTATTACTGAACATAATTATTCTCCAGCTATTATCAATATTTTATTTCAGTGTTACGAGACATCTTTTACCCGTGAAACTTTTTTGACTGTGATCCGTTCTAGTGACTGCATGGAGGAGTTGGAGGCAGTGAGGGACATGGTAGACAGTGACATAGCCAAGTGGCGCTCAAAAGATACTGGAGGAAGTGATGGTAATATAGACATCGTTTTTCCTTTTTCTTCCTTGTCAAAGCTTTCCACCTTCCATGGTCTCATACCACTCTTCAGTCTCTTTAGCAAACAATGTCCCCATGTCTTCTTGGGTCGCCTTCTGTGTTCTTTGCCCTAAGAGTACTAAAACTCGCACAGACTTAGTCTGAATTGCTATTAGAAACTATGACCTCCAGTTGAAAACACTCAACTGTGGGTGCAAGGTTTTTTACTGAACTTAAAAATGTGTATCAACTGCCTTGATGACAGTCCTATTCTTCTACAGATACGACCATCAAGCAGAATCTTAACAGCTTGATGTTTCTACGTGACACATGTGAGATGAGAATAAGACGACTCAAAAGTGGCTTGGGCTATTCTGAGCAGATGATGGAGGTTATTATACTTATTCATATACTGTCTGTGTTCTTGCCATAATAAAAGAAATACTTTGTTTGAATATTCGTTTGCTTTTAGTGATACACACATCTTAGCTTAAAGTTAGTGTAATTTCTAATTCTACTATTTCAACTATACATTAACAGTTTTAAGTAAAACAATTTTCTATCATCTGAACATCTATCAACAGGAGCCAGAGAATTTGAGGTATCAGAGCTTGTATGTCTTAACATTGGATGATATTTTCAATAACAATGTCGCTTTACAGTTTTTCATTGGTAAGGTTTTTAGAACTACTAAGATCTTAGTTAGGAGTAAATAGTATTGGCAGTAAGTTTATATTAGAGCAGCTTTCGGTATTGTTGATAAGGCCATGTCAAAGTTTATTTAGTATTTTTTTAAATAATTATGTACCCAAAAAAAATAATTGAAATTGCTTGTAAATTTTTGTTAACTATGTATTTATTTATTTCTTTTACATTTTTAAAACCAGAATATATCAGCAGCAAAGGTGGAGAACAGTATTTGTTTTTCTATCTAAATGTTGAGGTGAGTATTTGGTCTTATTCATGCTTTGACGAATATCATTTGTCTTCAAAATCTTTCTTCAATTTACTCAACACCAAGTAAAATAATCAGTTTTCTAATGTTGGAAATAAATTTGGAAATTAGTGAAGGGCAGAAAAGCATGGGCGATGTAGTAAATTACCTATGCTGCTATGAAAAAAAAACAGAAAAAAATTCAATTTATATGATTTTATTGAACTCTAATTTTATAAGTAATCTGGGTTAGTAAGTGTTGTGTTTTTTTTTTAAGAAACATGGAAGAATTGATTAGCTTTAAATAACTGCCATGTAGAATGATAATTGTTCCTGTCAGTTGTATGTTTAAGATTAAGATAACGGATTGTTTGTTCCTCAAGGGCTTTCGGGCTGCAGCTGAACAGCAGATCTCAGAGATGCAGAAACTAACTCTCACGTCTGTCACAGCCCCTGAACCAGATCTGGAGTCTTTGAGAAGAGCTGCTAAAATTATTTTTGATCAATATTTATCTGAGAAGGTAGCTGGAATGTATTTAATTTTTTTTTTTAAAGTTGTTTAAAGAAATGTATGTTTTGGAAAAGTAGGACATTTTGTGATGTTTTTCTTCTTTCTAAACCATAGGCCTCATCAAAATTAAAAATAGAGCCTGACTTCATCAAGTATACAGTGCAGAAAATGAAAAACAAAATGTTGTCTGAGGATATTTTTGATACTGTACAAGCCAGAGTGAGTTTACCTGTTTCTACAAAGTTGTTTTATTTTATATTTTGGATTATGTTTTAAAATTCTAACTAAAAAAAAATTACAATTTCACTGATAAACAACAAGTACATTACTATTGATCTGTAACTTCTTTTAATAGAAAAAAAAATTGATACAAAATTCATTTATGACACATTGTTATCACTATCAACTTTAATAGTTTCTTAATTATGATATGAATGAATGTAACGAGAATTTTATTTTGCTGTTCTTGTTGTAAAACTTCTCAGGTATACCAAATCCTTCACTGTGAGTACTATGAGGACTTTGTCCAGAGTTCTTCTTATATCAAACTGTTACGAGAGCTTGGGCTTCTCACTAGCAAGGAAGATGGGGATCACTTAGAAGATGGTAAAAACAATTATCAAGTTTTACAATGATAATAAATCCTTAAATCTCTGTATGTATGGTTTTTTTTATACCAATACACTTACACAAACAATCACGGGTAGAAAACTGTAAATTAATGATTTATCGCTGACACAGGCATTCATGGAGATCTGTTTGCTGTCATGAGTTCCCGCTAAGATTTTGACATGACAATATTAAATATATCAAATATATCAAACATGATCGAAACAACATCATAGCTTTTTATTCATTTAGAACTATTAGGAAAAACTGGATTCGTCTTTTCCATACTTGCATGGTAGGGATCTATTATCTCCCTTTACGTTTCAGTTCCAAGGATATTATGGTTTAAAGTAGGTAGATCTTTAATTGATGGCATGGACGATTTATAAAGTGGGTTTTTCTTTAAGCTGCAAGCTGCTTTTGTAGAGCTGTTTTTAATTGGTTGCAGTTAAACATTTATTAATTACAGCTAGGAGATACTTAAAGATCTATAATGCATATTCACATCTTAAAAAGAATAAAAATAATGCATCAGATAATATTAATTTTCAATTAAACATTATGCTTTATAATAAAATTTATTAATCACTTCATTATATAATGCAAAAATGTTTTTAGTGTCTAACACAGCCTAATAAAAAAATTCTACGCTGTACTTTGAAATATTTAATTTTAATTTCTCATTCAACCCATCATATATTTCATTACAGAACATTCCATATAGAAATTGTGTTCCTTTTAATAAAACTTCTGAAAACAACCACAGAGAACAATCCACTACTAAATACATATCTTTTATTTACAAATGTATGTTTCATATATTATGGGGATAGTTCTTGCTACATTGTTCTAATATTTTTGCTTGGCTTTTTTTTTTATTTGATACAATTCCTTATTTGTTTTTTTTAAATAGTTTTTTTATGGCTTGCATGGTTTAAAAAAATCTACAAAATATAGCTTGTCTTGCCTATCTTTTTTGTTTTGTAAATTCTCCCTTTTCACTTGTAGATGGAAGTGCTGCCACTGTGTCTGAGGGCTCATTGGGAAGTGTAAGTTTATTGTGTGACCTTCTCACCTGCACTCTCTTTGTTTTACAACCCCACTCATTTGAGAAACCTTTATACAATGTTTTATGCTAAAAATGTAAATGTGAGCACATCTTTAAAAATTAACTTTTTATGAAACTTGACCCATAGAAAAGTAGTTTGTGTTATGATGTTACTGTGCGTGCCCCGCATTTTATCTAATCTAAGATATTTTTTAAACTATTTATTTTTAGTTTAATAATATAATGTTAGTCTTGACAATTAATTGTATTAATTACTTGGTAGATTGAGTCCCAGACCTTAACTAACTTCAAATGTTGAGTACCAATCTTGTCATTATTTGTAGATTCTATCAGTGCAAATTTTTATTTCATTTTCTTATGTGGCTTTGTTTCTGAGTACGCTTGTTGACATAATCAAATATTATAGCGCTATAGAATGTGTCAGTTGATTTGTAGTTATTTAACTGCTTCATATTGTTGTAGTTATTTATAGTTTAACAGGTTAACCATATCACTTAATTATTCACTTTGATTATGTTCGAAATTATGCTTATCCTCCCAAGTACAAATATATCCATTACTTGTTAACAGCTGTTCTAATGACTCCTTGCAACTAAAATAAATATCAAAATATTTTTTACAAGTGAAACATAACCTTTGTTAGTAATAGCTTTCTTAGAATATTTTTTTAACAAAACATTACCCTTTCAGTTTATTATTTTAACAAAACATTCCCCCTGTTAGCATATTTTTGTTAACAAAACATTAGCCGTAGAATATTTTTTTCTTGCTGCACTGGCATGTTATCAACAACACAGTAAAAGTGTCATTCTTTAATAGGTTTTTTTTTTTAAATTATTTTTTAAATCAAGTTATAAAGTAATTATTTTCTTCTATTAAAAAAGGTATTCTATGAAACTTCAAAAAATGAGCACAACTAAAGTTTCAACTTTAGAATTTCAGCAGATATTGTTATTTTTTATAATGCTGTCTTTTTTTAATGGTGTTTTTTTTTTTATTTCATTTGAAGCTGTCTGAACTAATGTAATTTAATTGTTTAATTAGGCTGATGATTTACAAGATGCACAGTATGAAGATACTGGATCAGACACAATGTCTATAGGCTCGGCTTCATCAGCAACATCTGCTGGGTCACCATCTGGTGAGACATACCTCAATGCACAGATCACACACTCAGGTTAGTTATAGCAAGCTACATCAGCAACATCTGCTGGGTCACCATCTGGTGAGACATACCTCAATGCACAGATCACACACTCAGGTTAGTTATAGCAAGCTACTTCAGCGTTAACTCCTACTACCAGTATACTTAAAATTAGCATATCACCTCTGTTAAGGGGTGGAGGTTTCTGCTGTTATTGTCGGGGTATTTTGTTTAATTAGCCAACTGGCTGTGAGGTGTTAGCACTGATAAAACCTTTGACCTATAGTGTGCAATGTATTCCTACCTTCTTAAACTAGAATACACAGAAGGTCACAACTCTACATGAACAGTATGGTCACCTGTTCTCAGATTTATTTGTGAAGATATATCACACCACTTTTCTTTCACTTCAACAATCAAGACTAAACTCCTTGACCCTAGAAGACATGCTGATGATTAAAATTTCTAATGAGCACTGCACAAAAATGTAAGAAAAAAAGTTTTATGTGTATTTAGTTAGAGAATGTCTAGCAGGTTTATATTACCTTGTCAGGTGTGGTGAAAGAGCCAGAGACAGGCAAGTCGTACGCTGTGTTTGCCATCAACGTACACAAAAAGGACCCATACTCAGAAGAAGAGGATGTATGGGATGTGTACAGGAGATACAGTGACTTCCATGATCTTCACATGATTTTAATAGAAAAGGTATTCCACCCAGTCCCATTAGTTTTATTTAGGAGTAACTAATCAAACTGGATGGATACCAAAATCATAATGGCTGTTTGGTTTCAAATGTTCAATTTACGTAGGCCTTATAACTTAGTGCCTTTATGCTATCAAAACTGATACATGTTGATCGGTATTTTATTTTTCTTTTAATTAAAAGCTGATGTGTGAATGTTAAAACTATTTAATTTTTAAAATTTTAAGTTTCCAGAGCTTACCATTCCCAATTTACCAAGTAAAACTGTGCTCAAAAACATGAGTCAAAGTTTTCTGGAGAAACGGAAAAAAGATTTGGACAAATACCTTAAGGTAAACACTTAAATTGTTATGTACCTATAAAATTAATGTTTTCATATATATTCATAGTTGGGGAGAGTCTTTATTTTACAATTTATCACACCAAACAGTAACTGTGATTAAACATACCAACTTAATTTTTACTGTTAGGTTACTATCTTCATTACTCTCATTCTTCACCACCTAAGAAAATATTTTCCTAAAATAACTTGAGACTTTTTATTTATATGTCAAGTCAGTGAGTCTACTACCTCTTTAAATGACTTTTGTGATTGTTAAGTAAGAACCTGTACATTCTATATATTTCAGAATTTGATGAGAGCTGACCTACTTCAACATTATCAAGGACTGGAAGAATTACTCAATCAATTTCTACACAATGGAATCTGGGAAAAACATAAATCAGAATTTTCTAGAAAAGTTAGAACTGTTACAAAAATTAGTTTGCAACTTTTAAACTGTCCCTTTAATATTTTGTATTCGGATTTATATCTATTTTATGAAGTTTTGTTAATTAATATTATTTTTATTTTAAAATAAATCGTATTTTTATAAGTTCATTTTGAGAAATGTGTTTACAGATGGATACTATTGTACATCCTTTAAAAAGTGCATCTAAAAGTATGGGAAATGTGGTGAAGAGTGTCCCTGATGGTGTCACTCGCATTGGAGATGGTCTGGGTAAAGTGTTTACCCAACAAAGAAGTGTGAGTATATCATGCTGAAAACTCAGTTCTTTATTTATTGTATGGAGTTTATGTAAAGGTTTTTAAAAATCTTTACACTAAAAATGTATTGGAGAAAATAACAGTCAATTTTTAATATTAATAACCTAAGTTCCTATTTGAAAATATAATTACTTCATTAAGCTGTTTGATGTTTATAAATTGTTAAATCTCATTTCTTTCGTAAAAAAAAAGAAAGAAAAAAATTTATTTTATAGTTTCTTTTTATTTCAAATTATTAATGATCATGTCAGATATTTTAGTTTCACTTTATACCATAGTAGCTTCCCTTTTAATGGACAGGTAGACCAATCAAAATCTAGAGAAATGATGAATCAACTTAAAGTAGGAGCTGGATTAGATCCTGAGGTAATGGTTTGATGTACAATCTCTTCACATTCAAATGTTACAGAAAACACCCTATGATATTTATGTGTACTGAATAAATTTAGGCTTTTAACCCCCCAATTTAGCTGTAATCGAAGCCCAACGTATCAACCAATAATGTTCAGTTTGATGATTGCAGGCAGGAGAGAACATCCCCCTGCGTATTATGCTGCTGATGATGGATGAAGTCTTTGATCTGAGACACAAAAACCAGTGGCTGAGGAGGAGAATTGTTGCTATTTTACGGCAGTTGATCAAGGCCACGTTTGGGGATAAAATTAACAGGTCAGACTCAATTATTTTTACCCATTACACTTTGTTAATTTCTTGTTGCTTATTTAGTTAGCAATATTTTATTCCAATTTTTATTAAACTAATGATTTTTATGAATAGCTTAGTTTCTCAAGCATTCTAAGAAAAAGAGTAGTTTTAAAATCATTGCAGAGTTAATAATTTTACTAAGTAATACTAAACCTTTTTTTTTAAGTATATATGCACACCTGTATGCCTCACATTATTATTAAATTATTTTTCTTTAGAAAAATAGTAGAACATGTTGATTTTATGACTTCAGCTGAACAAATGGCAGAATATATAATAGCCTTTAAGTAAGTATGGATCATCTTAAGGGGGTAGGCTCCAGAAAAAACCAACTTCTTAAGTAAAACCTTTTATTGATTCATTTGTGTATATCCAACTTAGGGTACTTGAAGGAAAATATTTCCATGTATCAGGGACTTTTTTGAAAATATGGTTGCCATGGCAACGGCGGCCATCTTGAAAAAAACATCATTTTCTGGAGTTCTAAAATTTCATAAACTAACATAAATATCGGCTATATAACCATTGATCCTTCTTGTACTAACGCTAATAGAGTCAGCTGGCTAGTTTTTGTAACAGAAATCACTCTAGAAATTTTTTTTTTAATTTTCAAAGTTTGGTGTGACGAAATTCCAATGAAAATAATGCTAAATTCAATGGAATTTCACCACATATTTTTTTGAAAATTTGAAAAAAATATTTCTAGCTGTTTTTTGGTTACAGAAATTAGCCAGCTGACTCTATTGGTGTTAGTACAATAAAGATCAATGATTATATGGGCGGTTTATATGTTACTTTAGGAAATTTTAGAACTCCACAAAAGGTAGTTTTTCCAAGATGGCCGCCGTTTCCATGGCAACCATATTTTCAGAAGAGTCCCTGGTACATCCAAATATTTTTCCTTAAGTACCCTAACTTATACATACACAAATAAATGAAAAAGGCGTATTACTTAAAAAGTTGTTTTCTCCGTTTTTTTCGGGAGCCTATCCCCTTAACATTTATAGACTAAATGGCTTTTTACAAAATCCTTGATGAAGGACTCTTGGAACTGGTTGCACTGAAAATTCTTTCAAAATAGTGTATATAATTGTTATATTTATATCTGCTGTTTCCTGAGAAATTTAGTAACTCTACCTTTTCTGTATTAGAAATTCTTTCTGGCCAAATGGGGCATTGGCTGAACCAAGAAGCTCAAGAGATGAAGCAACAAAAATGAGGACCAAAGTGTTGTGCAAAGCTAAAATGTTAGGCAGTGTGCCAGGTAAATTTTTACTGATGTTGGTGAAACTTAAAAATAATGGCTGCTTCTCTCTAGCTAGAATACGATAGGGAAAGTCACAAACATTCGATAGCTTACCATGTTATTTTATTGGTTCTTCTTTGAAAAGTTTTAAAAGAAATCTTATTGCCTAGAGCTTAAATTTATTTTAAAAATGATTAAAGAAACAAATTTGTACTAGCATTATTTCATTTATTTTTTTATTACAATTACAGATGAGGTGAGGACACTGATGGGAACAGACGCTGTTAGAAAAGGTGTGGCAAGAGTCTTTCAAATGTTCCAACACAAGACACTGAACAAGCGCATCCTGTATGTTGTTCTTGAGGGGGTACTGGTTACACTGTTTCCAGAAAACAAATTCCAGGCTATATTTAGAAAATTACACTCGCGCTCCGAGCGAGCAGAAAAAGCTGAGGAGAAACAAAAGGCGGCCGCCGCTCAAGAAGCTCAGCTGAGGAAGAGGACTGTGAAACGTTGAATGTCCTAATATTCAAGGAGTGTCCTGATAGTGAAACGTTACATGTTCTGAAGGTGAATGTTGAATGTCCTGATGTGCATCATGGAATGTCTAGATGGTAAATCGTTGAATGTCCTTATAATTAATTATTGAATGTCCTGAAGGTGTAGCTTTGAATGCCCTGAAGGTGTAGCTTTGAATGTCCTGCTAGTGAAATGTTGAATGTCCTGCTAGTGAAATGTTGAATGCCCTGAAGGTGTAGCTTTGAATGTCAGACTTTGAATGTCCTACTAAAAGTTTGTAATTTTAGGAAGAGGATTGTGATACATTGTATTTGCCTGATGCAAGTCTATCACTTTTTTCATGTGTTCATTTTTGTGCAGGTAATAAAATGTTTCCATCTACATTGATTTTATGTATATAAGCTCAAATAGGTGAACTATTTCCAATTCAAGCCATATTTAAGTATATTTAAATTGATTCAAACAAACTTTTTATGCTGGTGCCGTGAATATTTTGTTGCCATTTTATTTTTAGTCCAGTGACCTGTGTAAAATTGCTACACCTCTGTCTGTATGACATTACTCCTCATTTACTTGTGTTGTATCAAAGAAATTTTTATTGTCCAAAAAGCAGTTTTTAAAGTAGCATAGATATTCTTTTTTTTATCAGTAACAGAAGTCTCTTGATACATCGTGTATTAAATTTCATATAATGTCACATTTTTTATAAGTGAGCCTGAGAGCTCTTTTTTTTTTTATTTTTAAAATGCATTTTTTTTGCCATTTGATGATTAGAGTTTAAATGAAATATGGAGAACAAATGAAAATTATTAAGTGGCATGAAATTTCTTTTAGTTACTGTTTAGCAAGATTAAATTCAAAATATTATAGATTGTTAACTAACCAACTGTGCTAAAAATTTATTTACTCAAATAGTTCTTTCAAAAAGGGGCATTAATTATATTTTTTTAAGGAGTGTAAAAAAGCTTAAAGATTAATGTTAAAAATTTATTTAGTAATTTTTTTTTTAAATTATGAAATTCTCCATCTCTAGCAATGTAATATAGAATACTGGTTTTTTTTTAAATTAAGTTTTGTGAGCAACTAATAACTTTATCAAAAGTTTTACATTTTTCATCCAGCAATTCTGAATCAAATTCACAAGCTTCTCGTAGCACTGGCTCATTGTTTTCATTTGGGACCTTATACCATTAGTGCATATTACAAATGTTAATATGTAACTGTTGTGATGTACATCTATCTACAGTTAAGTAGTAAGTGTAGAAATGGACATTAGTGCAATATATAATATGTATAAATTGGGAGTGGTGTCATTTTTTATCAAATTGATGTAACTTAAAACTTCCCCAACTGCTAGGTAGCAGTTGCTGTAGTTAGCTTTGAAATCAGTAGATGTCAAATAATTACATTCAGATTTTAACAAATATTCAGCTAAAATAATTTTACATGCCACCTGCTGGAAAGGTTGTCATGTTTTTAATCCAATTTTATATTGTACAAATCAGACAGTAGTAAAACCTTTAATGGTGGGAAGTCATGTGACCAGTCAGGTGACAAGCCTCTTGGCACTGTTTTATCTCACATTTCCAATGTTCATGTTTGTTTTTAACAGTGATTTTTTTTTCACTGGTGAAATTTTAAATAAAATTATTTATTTCATCAACAGTAATATTTTGTTTTTTTATGCTGTGACATTCATTATCTTCCTCTCTAGTTAAGTTAATCCACAAAATCTTATGCAATTTTAGCCCGTTAAGTACCTTTTTATACTGTATACATCACAAATACCACACTTGCACTGACCTTCAGAATATTGAATAAAGTTTTCCACAGCCTAAATAATAAATCAATGGCCTGCTTAAAAAAAGGCTTAAGAATGGTGTGTGATCATTTTAACCTAGGAATAGAATTCTACCTTTTTTCTTTGCCTTATTTGTTTTAAGAATTATTTAGAGTAATAAATACAACACCAATAAAACAAATAAACCTTTAAACATAGAAAAATTCTAACAAGTAACCAAAGTTCTGTATTAAAACATTTTATTATGAAAATAGTAAATTTGCAAAGTGTTACAAAAAATAATGATCATGAAATAATGCTATCAGTCAACAATTGTTCTAGATATAACTCTATCACCCAATGGTTTTAAAGAGTTTCAGTTTCATCATCCTCTAGAAGAGACAGATCAAAGAGATGATGGAATATAGGCCTGTGGTGCAGACACAATGCTGTGGTATCTGGTAACTGTTCAACCATTTCCTGCACATCAAGCTTAGTTTTTCCACTCACATTCTGCTGCATCATTCTAACAGCCTCTCCCTAAACATGAACACACACAAAATTGTCAGGCTTGTAATACATAAGTTCTGTAATTTTATCATTTATAATGAATGATGAATGGTTTTATTCTGTTGCTATTATTTTATTCATTTTAGTCAGGTTGTAGTTTAGGTCATGAGAGATGGATTCCCTGTCTATTAATATGAGAAATACTAAAGGTAAAACATGCCTTACCTGTAGGAAATAAAGCACTTTAGTGGGTCGAGTAGTTTCAAGTGTGACTTTAAAATCTCTGTTTATCAATTCTAAAACCTCAATAAGGTCAGACACACAGTAAGCAGGAATTATATTAGACAATCCTACTAATTCTGCACTTAATTTGTTTTGCAAATCTGAAAAATAAATGTAGGCCCAATTAATTATTAATTAATGCTAGGAAAATCTTAACGTATTTTTTTATTTTAATAACAATGTTATTAACATTAAACATTTTCGACATTTAACTGCCTATAAGACAAATATAGCAGAGTTGGTTGGTTTCTCAAAACTTTATATAGAAAGTGGTTTAGGCCTAGTGTTATACAACATGTAAATAAACAGAGCAATCTTAAGCAGCACAATGACAGATGTTTTACAACAGATCAAGTTTTCCAGTTTCTTACCAAAGTGACACTTGACACTAAAACCATTGGCAGTCAGTCGCTCATCAGTGATAGAAAAAAATGTGTTGCCTGTTCTACTTGACAGGGCTAAAAGTTTGAGAGTGGACCAAGTCGATTCACTGAACCTGCTGAATACATTTAACAGTTTTCAAAATTCAGTTAATAAGGTGCTCTTAACTGTCAGCTTTTTAATATTGTTCTGATGGATTAATTTAAAAAATATTACATTTCTATGCATATTAATACTCTTGCCATTTATACATAAGATGTAGCTTTTTATTCTTACAAACAATAATAATAGTATACAATCAGAGTACCAAACAATGTCAAAATGAAAATATTTAACAGAAACTTACCTAGAATCAAGAGCAATGGGTGATGTGCAGGGATTAGCCTCAAGTCTAAACGTCTGTTTCAGTTTCTGATACAAAAGAACTTCACTGAGTCTGTGTATATTGACGATGTGAAGATTATTTTTGAAACAGGAGAACCAAACATCACAGGTTTTAGTTTGTCCAATGACTGATGGAAGCAGGGAGACAATCCTTTTGGGGAAATGTAGGTTATTTAATTAATTAAGAATATTTTAAAATTAATTCCAATTCTATAAAAGTTGAGTATTTTTAAAAAAATAAAACAAGATGTAAGAATATGTCTGTAGTAAATATAAAAACCTTTCAGATTGAGCATCATTTCTCTCAACAGCTGCTCTCAAATTATGCATGGCAAAATTAATTCTGCGCTCAGCACAGTAATGCTTTTTTTTCAATTTGCGCTTTGGTTTGTTTTCCTGGCTCTGTGATGCCAACACAGCAACTTGATCACGGGCACTTAGCTAGCATAAAAGAAAAAAAAAATTCTTCAGATATTTAATATTGTGATTGCTAATAAATGATGAAAATGTGTATGCAAAGTCTATGTTACCTTTGAGGTTTTTGATAGTTTTGGTTTAATTGCAGAGGGTGCACTATCAAGTCTGTAAGAAATTAATAAAATTAACAATGTAACAAGTTAAATGCTAAATACTTTCCAATCTTAAATTAACCCTATTACGTTTTTAAAAATGATCACTTGTTAATTATACCTTTTAGCTTTTTCCCTTTCTGTCTCTCTGTACTTAGATTTTTCAACTTCATTTAATTTGTCCCATTCCTTCTTCAACAAAATGTCCTCATCCCCTGGATTCTCACTAGCACCTTGTTCTAAAACTGGGCAAAAGGGCAGACAATATAGATAATAAAGGGTTATTAATACTATATTCAATTCAATACATTTTAAAAACAATTTAGTGGTGTCCAATGGTCTAAAAAAATAAATGTAACCCTGTAACATACTCTTTTTTATGGAATTATAAATTATAAATAGTCATATAAGGTAATGATTTATTGATAAATATATGCTTACAAGTTATTCCTTCATTTACAGTTTCACTAAGCCATACTAATATTTTTTGTTATCTTTCAATATGATACAAAGACATACTTTTTTGACTATTCTCAACACAGAACTGTTTATATCCAGGTATCCCTTCAGATCTGCTGAACATTGCATCTAATGTTGACTGGTTAGCATCAATATGCTGTACAATAAAAGTTAAGTGGAGAAAAGAATTGTTAAAAAAAACTTATAGCAATAAGTGACATAAAAAATATTACTTTTTAAATACATGAAAAAGCAAAGAAATCTCAAATTTATTGCTTACTTCCAAAGAAAGCTTCTTGCGTTTTGCTGAAGTTTCTAAGCTGTTATCTTCTTGCAGCAGCTGATGTTTCCCAGGATGATGTTTGGATGAAGGAGCTAAAAGTTGCACAGGCTATTAATTCAATTAAAATACATGCTTTAATTAAAATAAAAAGAGTAATTTTTTAAAATACCTTAAGTAGTCAAAATGGTCTCTGTTTGAAGAATATTTTAATCTTAATGCTTAACATAATTGAGAATAGCAATACAGCTTTAAGTCAATGTACATTTAAATGAAACAAATAAAGTATAAATATATTTTAAATGTTTTTTGCAAAAAGGCCTAGATCAATTTTTCTTATAATAATTAAAATTAATAAATTTTCAGACTAAACAAAATAAACTGATTTTAAAATGATAACTCATTCATTAGTAGATATCCTACCTGTACTGGCTGACCCAGAGTGTCAACAAACATACTTCCTCTACTCCAGTCACTTGTGATACTTGAGGTTGATAAACTGTTCTCCATTACGCTCAGCTCACAGGTTGAGTCTGTCTTTGCACCTTGAATTTCTGTTCCATCCTTTCCATTTTCAGAGTTCCTGTTTACAAATTCTGGAACTTTTTCTTCAGTTTGCTTTGTACTGCACACATTTTTATCGGGCTCTAAATGTAAACACTGTGTAGTTTCCAAGCATTTCTCAACAGTGCTGGTCCAAGAATCATCGGAAATCAGATTCACAGAATCTACTTGGCAATGCTCAACATTTTTTTGAGCAGTGAAGTTGGATTGATGGCTCTGCTCTGGCTGGTTGTGAAATGTTACACTGAAGGTGGGTATAGCGTTGTTTGAAATTTCAACAACACTCCCTGCTGTTTCCCGGGCTGTTTGAAAACTGAACTCTTTATCTTGATCAAACAGCTTTTCTGCTGCACTTGCAGCTGACATATAATTAGCTGTGTCTTCTATACTGGTATCTAAACTGTCAAGTGAGGCATCAGTTTTAGCCTGAATCAATACATGACAAACATTGGTTATTTCTTTTTTCACAATTTTGGAATAAAACTTAAAACTTTTATTATGAAATACAAGCTAAATGATAGTTACATAAAAATCTAGCATTAACCCTTAGGTGAATCTAGCTTTTAAGTTTTGGGAATGTGAGATTTTTTTAATTTGCCCAAAACTAACAAATATTTGTTAAAAATATGAAGAACAAAACAACTTTAGCAAATGTATTCAAAAAATTAGAAAGTAAAAGATCTGTTAACTTCAGAAAGGCCTATATTTTCCCAAATTTTTTTTAGAGCTACGGCATCCTATCCCGAGCTATCTTTTAGATCAGCCTATACACAAGTATTTTATGTTAAAATAAAAATTTCTATAAAAAACAATTACCATTTTCTGGGTATCATCTTTATCACTTGCACCATTAGATACGTCTTTCTCACTATAATGCCAAGGTGGAACATTGTCTAGTGGTCCATACACCTTCAGAAGTAATTCCTCTAAAGAGTTTTGTATTTCTTTCTGTTGCAGTACAAAAAAATGTTTCAAATATTTAAATTAATTTGTATGTGCTCTCCCAATTATAGCTCCCCTAATAAGAGACAGTGCATGATTATAATAACCAGAAAGTCTCATGCTCTGCTCATGTGCTTGTCCAATAGATATTCATGAGTCCATCTTGCTCTGATAAGTTACTGACTGGACTAAGAGAAATTAAAAGCAGCTGGACATGACATAAAGCACAATATCCTTCATGTGCTGAGGTCAGAGAAGCGGATGAACTACTTCATCAGCCTTGTCAACTGTAAAAGGGTCCTTTTACTTCATGAATAAGCGACCGCACACAGGTGTATTTTTCTTTTATTTGCTACAGAGTGTAATATAACTAAGCTAAGAATAAAACTTACCAGGGAGTGTAACAGTACAGTTGTCTTGTTAGGATCAATGTTAACATCCACATTTGAGCCAGGTAATGTTAGGTTTATATAACACACAGGATAACGAACTGTTTCACAAGGGTGGCAGTTGTTGTAATAATGCTTAACCACCTAAGAAAAAAATATATTTAGTACATTTTTTTTTAAAATCTAATTTGTTCAGTAATGTTCAGTTTAAATTTCCAGTGAGAATTTAATCTTACTTTAAGGAGCTCCTTTATTTGCACAGGACGATCATTAACCACTAAAATAGTTCTATCTCCAGTAGACCGTGACATGATCTTAACATCAGATCCAGGTTTGGGCACATAGGCTGATATTTTACCCTGCACAATAAATGTAATTTAATTAGAGAACATTTTTATAAAAATCTTTAAAATTCACAATGAAATATCAAACCTAATAATGGTACCTCTCTTGGTAAACAGTGAAAAATATTTTACAATACAATAAAACCTACAGACAGTCCATCTATTTCAATATCTTTCTCTTGGTACAGCAGTTGTCCGGCAATCTCCCTGCCAAATACAGCTGAAATAACAGCTTTGGTTTGATTTAGAGGCAACTTCTGCAACAACAGGTCTTTATTGTGTCGAAATGTTATTCTCAGCTGAGGTTTGATTATACCAAATGCAATTAATAGATCCTCTATTTTTTTCACATCTTCTCTTTTATGCTGTGATGTGGCGTAGTACTGTTTTCTAACAGGGAGGTTATGAAATAATCTGTAAGCTGTAACAGTGGTGCCTAGAATATATTAAAATTATAATGTATTGATTATTTTGCAAACAAATGTTGACAGAACAATATAATCATGAAGATGGCACCATACTGATTAGTGTTATTGTGAAAATTTTAAAAATCAGATTTTAAAATGCATTACGTAATTTTGAACCTAGATGTCACATATAAATGATGACATTTATAATGCTTCTGGCAAAAAAATTCAGAAATATTTTTACATCAATTTTTAAATGGATCTTTTGAATTTTAAAAAACACAAACTGCTTGTTGTATACTACATCTTTTTAAAGCACCAACTCCCATCACAAATATCAGAGTAGCATTATTTTGGACAGTTCCTTATGAAATATGAACAGGTAAAATGACACACCTTTTCCAAGATGGCAGGGTTTTTTATCCGATATATTCCCTTCATGATCAATGGAGTAAGTGTAGCTGATATCATCGTCTTTAGTTTTTGTGGTAATTGTTACATCAGATACAGCACACAGTGAAGCTGTTTCAATAAAAAAATAAAAGCCTGAAGTACTCTGTATAACTTATCAGTAACAGGAGTAGAGTGATGATTTTATATGAAGGAAAACAAACTGCTAAAGGTGCTAGTAATGAAGATGTGCTAGACCAATACTGTTAACACATGTAACAGAACTATAGGATTCTTTCAATTTTCATTCTTTGTTTTGGTTTTTATGATATTGTTTAGCAGGTTAGAACACACATGCTGTGGCATGCTGATACATAGATAGTTTATGTTAAAGTTTACATGTGCTCACGAATATCAAAGTACTAATTAAATATATGATCAAAGCAACTTTAAAAACAGAATAGACAATCAAGACTTTCAGGTTGGCCGTCTAACCCTCTACCTCTAGGCCAAGTCATCCCATAATTTTTGTCTTAATAACTTAATCAGACAACTTCAAGCCTAAAACCCTGAAATTGTAGCCATCAGTATGTTTGCATACTGAATTATAAGATGAAAGATGGTCAAAGATGAAAAACAAATTCATAAATTAAATTTCATTTCTTTTCCTTACCTAGTGCTTCACCACGAAAACCATATGTTGTCAAAGACATCAGATCCTCTGTACTTGTTAGCTTGGAGGTGTAGTGTCTTTTTGCAACATATGGAACATCAGAAACTTTAATACCACTACCGTTGTCGCAGACTTCTACTTTATCCAAGCCATAGTTTTCCTACACGATAATTAATTATTAATTAACTGTGTTGGCATACTTTTGCTCTCCTCCACTCTAATGACCCACTCACAACAAAACAATGACACAAAGTTCCATTTCCAATTACTTCTCCCACTCTTATGTAAACTAAAATTGTTGATTAATTTATTTTTATGCTCAACAAGGAGTAAATAGGACTGATTATTCTTTTCAAACAATAGAGGCCTAGATCCATGTTTTTATTGTTTTTATGTAACATCAACATTTTAAAAATCATACATTAATAATTATTAATCAGCTTAGCTATTATACATCAGACACAAAATTGCAAAGGCATAGCAAAACATGCCGGAGGAATTACACATATATAGAGGGACGCAATTTGCAAGACATTTTCTTTTCATGCTTTATAGTTGTTTTTTTTAAGGGATAAGAAGAAGAAAAGTTTTTAACTTAACAAGTATAGATTGATCACGAGAGTTATGGGCCTATGTTTTTTTGTTTTTAAATCTAGATCTATTCAAGAAATAGGCCCGGCCCATTCTAAATGTCCTTGCTCCAATGATTGCCCGATCACATTTTCTTGTTAGTGGGAGAAAAATCCCGACACAGTTTAGGGGTCACTGCGAGTTCATAATGGGTTTTGAAACCATCAGTCCTTTGGCATATGTCATAGCATATTGCTATCTGAGATCGTCAGTCAAACACTTAAATTTCTCTGCCACCCAAATAATAGGAAAATTGTATTTTGCCTTTGGGTCATTGGGCGTTCACATAAGCTTGTAGGCCTTCTACCATGCATGTGAGATGGGCATTAGCAGCTCTATTAGTTGTAACTATTGACAACTATAGGCTAACTAATAGTTAATAGCCTAACTACTTACTAAAACTTAGTTAATAGTTGGTAACTTTGGTAACTATTAACTAAGTTTTAGTAAGTAGTTAGGCACATTTTAATTACTGTTTAGCATTTGTAAATATAAATTAAATATAAATGTAAACAAAGTGACTTAACATTGCCTAGACAATCATTCATTCATTCATTTTTACTTGCTGTTAGTGTGCCTGCAAGGCCGAGGCAGAATGAGAATATCAAAGTTGAATAAGGCACAAGGCAAGGTCAATATGATTATAATTACAATAAGATGAATAAATTAATATTTATAAAGCCAAAGTCAAAGCTAACAAGTATCAGTGTGCATTGGACTATTAACTATTATTTATTAAGTCACTATTTACTATTTTTTGGGTTTTGAGTAAGCTGTAAGCAGGATTTCAGTTCAGATTTGGAGTACTGTAAAAAAATAATCAACAACAAAATAAACGATGATTAGTAGACCTACAATTTTTATATCCAGAGAAGTTGCACCCGAGTCCACAGAATTTTCTACTAGCTCTTTAATAACGCTGTAGACGCTTACGATAACTTGGCCACTGCCTATCAAGTTTACAGTAGCAATGGGTAGTTGATTCAAGGCACATCCCGCCATGATGTTTAACTATGTTCATAAAAAACTTAGACATAGTAATGGAGTGGTTGTGGAACAATATTTAGGTATATATATATATATATATATATATATATATATATATATATATATATATATATATATATATATGACATTTATTTCCTTATTTAATAGCTATGTACTAGAAATCTATGTAGTGGCCGTTCTTAAGTGCCTAATAAGTGGCGACAAGCTTATTATTTTCCAATTTCAAAAATGTATCCCCTTCTTTTACTACTTCGAATCATCATACTTTGTCACAAACGAACATTTCAACACTGACAAAACTCCTAAATTGCCAATATCTTGAAAGTTGTAATTGAAACACAATCTAGACCAATAATATTAATTTATCTAGATCTAGTAACTGGTTTTTTAACTAATGATTTATTACTTATTAGGCCTGTGTGTATACTAGGCAGTGTTTCTTCCAGACTTATTTCTCCGGGGAGGGGGGGAAGGGGCACTTGATATTTTCGGATGGGGGGGGGCGGACAACATTTTCCGGAGGGGGGGGGGGGCGGTCACTGGTAAAAGTATATGTTTTCAATATAAATTCCATTGCGTTCGGGGGGTGCGGTAGACTTGTAGTTATTGGGGCTATAGGACTTTTAATTGTAATTAATTTAGGAGAGGGGTCTGGTTTTTTGCCTCGACGTGTGACGATGGAGGGACGGAGGTAAATCACATTTAATAGGTTGGCGTTGAGTATGGGCGACTCATATATTTGACTGGTAGGCCTAAAGGACTTGTTTGTGTACAGTAATGTTATCTAATATTTTTTTTCTCCGGGGTGGGGGGGGGGGGCACTTCAAGCTTTCGGAGACGGACTAAATTTTCCGAGTGGAGAGGACACTGGTAAAAGTATATTTTTTAAAGTATAAATTCTATTTCGTTTGGGGGGGGGGGGTAGACGTGCCTCGCCTGGGGGGGGGTGCCCCAAAATAGATGCCTTAAGAGCACTCTTTGTGCCAAGGCTAGGTTAATAACAAGACTTATTTATGGCTTATCGGCGTCTAGAACTAATTGTAGATTTTTTCTAAAAAAGTCTAGATAGGCCTAGATCTATGTACTTTTTTTTCGACAACTTGCCGATTATTCAATTAATAAATTATTCTCAATTAGTTTTTTAAATAATTTGTTCACGGTTTTGATCAAGATCTAGATGCTTTTAGAAAACATATAGATCTAGATCTAGATTTAGATAAAGATTCTAGACTAGATTTCAGTAAATTTTGTTCGAGTAGATCTATATTTTCTATTAATTTATTTTCTTGGCCTTGGCTAATTTAAACTGAATATGCGTCAAAAAGCCACCGGATACAATATTGGTTTTGCCAGGAGGAAAATTTGGCATTTTACAAGTTGTCACTAGCATTCGGAAAATTTGTAACAACATCACACAGAAAAAGATTGATTTCCATACAGTACCGTATTTACCGATACAGGTCTAGATTCTATAGAATAAATCTAGAATCTATACCCATAATATTTTGTAAGTGATGCGTTTAATTAATAATTAGAGTTCATATTCGTAACAAAGTGACGTAGTTATGTAGAAATACTGAAATAGTAGACTAAACAAAAAAATTTAACATTCCAAGGCTGACTGATGACATAAAATTATTTAATATTTAAAATAAAATAATAATTTCAAAATTACGGAAATATTAGGGACTATCATTATAATTATTTAATAATATAATTATATTAACTCTAGAGAAAAAGCCTAAATAGTAAATACTACAGTACAATACATTACAATGACCAATATGAATACAAAATCAAGATTTATTTTTTATAGGCCTACACTCCAGAAATTGACTTGTCTTACATTACAATTACATACATATTACAAATTACATTCTGATTCTCTTCAGTCTTCATGAGGCTCTTAGACTTAGTCTGCCAATCTTATTCTTTCTTTGTACATCACACAACTCCTGTCCTTTGATTTAGGCCTAGGCCCCCCTATATACTTCTAGACTATATATTATATAATATAATATTCTAGGCCTAATAGGCCTAATTATAATTCTATGTTAGGTGCTCAACCAATTGGCCTACATACTATCTGCCGCCCCTATCCAGTATCTAGATCTAGTATTAGTATCTATAATAGTAGACTTTATAGTATAGAATTAGAACTATAGCACACTTTAGTATATTTTAGTTCTAGAACCTATTTACTAGATCAAGTAGTTAAAGTCGATAGCCTATCGATCTTGATTTACTTACTAAACTTGTTAGTGGAATCTAGGTCTAGTAATATTACAAGACTGGACTAATATATTCAAGTCTAGTTTTAATAGTACGTAATAGGCAGGTTGATTTAAGTCGACCCTTTAATTCCACTAGCAGAACTAGATTAGATACCTGCTGGCTGGTTGTCAAATTATCATTTTTAAATTAATAAAAATGATGTGAAAGAAACATGCTAGTTTCAATAATTTTTTAATAATTTTAATATATCAAATAGCTTTTGATAATTAAAATTCAATAATCACTTATTATTCATGTTTCCGTCTCAATTTTCTAAAAAAATTTCTCTCTTCGCATTATCTGCAAAAAAATAAGTACTTAAGATCCCTTATTTTTTCTTTGTAAAAATGCTAGTAATCATGTTGCAAGTATATAGAAATAAAGTTGTCTTTCTTTGCCATTATGCTACTAATTTTTAAAAAAAATGAACTAACCACAAAGCAATAAAAAATAAAAACCTTGAAGATTCATATGACTCAGTAATTCAAAAAAGGTACTCCACTGGTCCAGACCCTTGATTTACCGGTTGACATTCATGCAATTCATTCTACTACACTGCACCTAACCATTTTCTCTTTGTATTAGGGACATTCTTTAATTTAAATCTATTCCTAACATTGCTGATTGGGTATAGGGCTGGTAAGTAAATCAGCAACCAGTTCTATGGCTCATGCAGGTTTTATTGAGCCGTAGAACTGGTTGGTGACCTACTTACCAGCCCTATATGGTCCAAGCCTTTCCCAGCTGACTGGGTATAGGTCCTCTTTCTTTTTACAGTTAGATAAATTGTTTTCTTATTTTTGGTGCAGGTAAAATCTTATTAATATTCCAAAGGACTAACAAATGTTCTCTAGGCCTCTATTTAATGTTTTGTGTTCATCCTCTTACATAAATTTAAGCTGTTTTAGCCATCACACTACTATTTTTTGGTACATAGCTTCTCTTCTTGTAGAAGTAACTCATACCATCATCATCATTATCATCTGTTATGTTCTTGTGCTAATTATGTATCATTTACTTAATTAAGACATTTAATTTTATTTGGTTTAATATAATTTTGCAATAGACGTGTTTTGGCTTAGTTTAGTAATATTCATGCTAGAATAGTTTGCATAGTATTTCTGCTGCCCTTTGACTTTGATTTGGAACGGTTTTTTTCTGGGTTTTGGAAACTCAAACTGGGTTCTGTGTGATTTATATTTTCAATGCTGTCAGGTAATAATCAAAAGTAGGCCTACACTTCTTTAAATTATTTTTAATTTTTTGCTTTGCCTAATTTTAAAAAAATGTATTAGGTCTATTAGAATTGAACATTTTTACGATGTTGTAGGCTAGGGGATTTTTCAGTACAGGTTACATGAACTTTTAACTCCTTTTAAGGCCTGATAGTCTTGATTTCTGAGAAGTTTCAAACTTAGTAATGTTGATGCTGTAAATATTGAGGTCTTCATTCTTCACTTTTAAAAACATACTACCTGAAATATACAGGTATGTTTGCCATAATATCAATTGTATAGCAGATCAACTAGTTTATTTGAACTTGTTTGGGACAAAGTACACTCTGAATCCCTACTATAATAAATATATTCTAACTGTATAATTTTCAAGATATTTATAGCAGACCAGTTTGTAGTTTCAGAGAAAAACTATAAGCAGTTAACTATGTTGAATATTTTATACTAAGCCAATTTATGTAAATACTAATCATGAGGGGCCTATTTAAATATATAATTATTATTGACTTCCTTCAGAAGCTGACATCGGATAAAGGCATTTCCTAGTCACTTCATTATGAACGTGGGAGTGGCACACAGTGACAGCAACCCAACCCATTCATACTTCAATAGTAAAGGGATATGGCTTACATATGTGCTGTTAGTCTTTGGTGTTCACCTATTGCTTCTCTCTGTGCCATTTTTTTCTGTGGCAGTGGCGTGGACCTTGACCAATGTTCTTCATGATGTTGTAAGTACATTTGTTATATTAAATACTTTTTTAAACTGTACATAAATTGATTTGATTTAGTGTTGTATTTTTACAATGACTTGTTAAACCACAGTCGAAGCATGAGCCTGGTAAAGTGATTTTAAAAAATGTTCTTTTTAAAGTTACTGATATAATTTTTTTAATATTTTTTTTTTATGCACTACATTTGTATAAAGAACTGTCTACATGGTTTGTCATAAAATAAAGTCATTTTGTAATTTTCTCTTTGCCAGTGCATGTTTGTGATGCTTCATGTTACCAAAGGCACACCCTGGGAAACATCTGATCAAGGAACCTCTCGCACTGAAACACAATGGGAACAGATTGATTATGGCAAACAGTTCACTGCTACAAAAAAGTTTTTGACTACTGTGCCAGTAGTTTTGTAAGTGTGCTTTAGCTTTAATAACTCAAATTGTATGGCATGTTTGGTTATCTAAATAAAATTATAATTACCTTTTCTGAACTGATTGTCACTTATGTAGTTGAAGTAGAATTCACCTGTTCATATAATGAAGGGATAGTGTAGTCAGTTCTGTGCACAGCTGCTTTTTCTTTCCCTAACTTATCAGGTAACTCATCAAATGGGTAGACTCAGGGAACCAAACTTAAAACCAAGTTAAGCAGTTATGCACTCTACTTCTTGACCACACCATCCCATGACAGTTGTCTGAATAACACTAATCAAAATTATCAGAATTTTATCTTATTATTTATAGCTCAATATTTGTTAGTTTTGTTTTTGTGGGTTTTCTGTATATTAACTTTTCTTGTTCTTTTTTCCTAGGTTTTTCCTGGCAAGCTTCTACACGCGTTATGATAAATACCACTTTGTTATAAATGCCAGCGTTCTTGCCCTCAACTTGATCCCGAAGCTTCCTCAGTTACACAAAGTGCGGTTGTTTGGCATTAACAAGTATTAAATTATGAATAGAGCCATGGTTTGGTTTTTTTTTATTGTTAACCAAACATTTCATGTGCAAACATTCTATAAAACTTATTATTTTGTACATATAAACCATCATTTCAAAATTTAATGTTGAACTGAGTCAGTAAGAAGTAATTATTACATAATATATAGATAATACCCTCCAGAAAGTAGTAAATTCAATATTATAATTTTTCTTTAGAAAAACTGCTTTATTTACCATGAACTAACTATTGTTTTTCAACATTTGGTTGTTGTGAGAAATGGTTTGTGAAATCTCTTATGGTACATTCCCTTAATAATCATTTACTTCAAAATGGTTGTAATTCCATTTCTATCTCTAGTTATAGATTTTGCAAAAACTTGCCCTTATAATGTTACGGTCAATATTTTTTCCCATTGCAAGACAATTGTTTGATTTTTGTTATCATCAGGGATTGGGTCGCATATTGTGTATCATATCTCTTGAATATTTTCATTACTATTGAACTGATGTATAGCTTCTAGAATCACTGTGTTTTGTGTCCACCAATATTCAAATTTTGTGCATAGCTATTTCTTTTGAATAGCTATTTCTTCATGAAAAACAAAAAAACTTTTTTTACACAGGTTGATGGTTATCTTTGGCTAAAAATCTTTCTCAGAAGCCCATAATTAAAGATAATCCTAGAAAATTAAAAGCCCTAAAATTGACATGGCTCTCATTTCAAGAATGACATATGTTATACCATTATTTTAATCAAATATGTAATTTAACTTAACTGTATGAATAGTTTTAGAAGGGAAAATATTTTAAAAAGCCTATACTATAATTATGTTACTATAATTTGCACATTATCATTCTGAAGATAACTTTTTTTAAAACTAACATTTTTTTTTTTTTTAATTTTTTTTTAGTAATAGAAATCCACTGTCTAAGAACAGGATACATTTACTTTGTTAGTCCCATAGTTCAGTAGTTTACAAAAAATAGATTGGTTTTAATACTTTTCTGTGTTTTGTTTTTAATTTATTATCATCAGGTAGCCAGGTCATCTTTAATTTAAAAACAATACATTCTTTTAGCCTAATATCTGCTAAAGATGTTATATACTTATATAATTCTTAGCTAATCTTGCAATGTGAGGTTAGTAAATAAGGATAAAAATAACTTTTTTATAAGCTCACTTATTTTAATCTAATTTTTGTTCCCTCACGTTAACTCTTGTGCTCTACTAATTAATGGTACATGACGAGTATCTGTTTTAGAACTCTGATGTGGCATAAGAATTTTAGGTTTTTTGTTGTCGGTTTTTTTTTTTCGACTAAATTTTTACATGGTGAAGCAACAATTAAAGATATGAATTTGGAGGACTGTCTTTATTTCATCTTTTCACACAAGATATTTATTTTTCCACAATATGGAATAATTTGGATTTTGGAATAATTAAAGTACCTTAGATGAGCTAATATAGTTTTTGTGCCACATCTTAGGTCAGTGCATTTATTTATGCTGTAAACAGTATAATATAGAACTTGCTGTAACTTTCACTTATGATTGTTGACTTTTTCCATACACTGTTATACTTTGTATTGGTTTTGTATCAGTTTTTTTTAATACTCTGCAGTATTTTCCTTTCAGTATTCAGGGCAGATTAAATCTAGTGCTATTTTATTCAAATCATTTTTCCAAATTTCAGTGATCATTTTTTTTTGACAATACTTGTGTAATGAGAATTGGAAATCACTAATTAGTGTGCTAATATTTTTCAAGTATTTTTTTTTTTTTTGTTTCTGACACTTTTTTGTCACTGCAGAGTAAAAAACAAACTGATTAAAAATGTCATATCTCTGTTTACTTTTTATCCTGACTATATGCCAAAAATAAACATGCTTGAGAAAAATTATTTGTACTGTTCTATTTAAGTGTTCTCATTTAACAGCAAGTGCATTACTTAGAACTAATCTTTTAAAAACAATGTTACAATTAAGCAATCCAGTAAAACTTAAGGTGATTTTTTTTAAAACTGATAGATGTCATTTTCTTTTTAAAAAATGTTAATGTCTATTATTATATAATCACTAGAAAACTTTATAAAAAGTATTGTATATTCACATCAAATGGCAGAGTTACTGTTTCATTTATCAAGACATACTTAGACAACTAAAAATCAGTTGATCAAATATGTAAGTAAATGTAAAATTCCCTTTTCAAACCTGACAGTCTATAGGGCAAGTGAAGTAGAGTTCACTTGTTTTCTGTGACCTAGGCATTTGAAGAGATAGTGTGGTCAGCACTATGCCCAGCCACCTTTACTTTCCCTAACATGAGTTAGGTACCCATCTGAGTTGGGTGGACTCAAGGACAATCTACTAACTTGAACCCTGATTCGAGCTTGAGACTTACAGGTTAGCAGTCCAGCTCTCTACAACTAGACCACTGCGCCCCGGATCCAATATGTATTGAGTTCTTATTTCCAAAATTTGACTTTAGCTGGGTGCTTCCTGAAGTATTTTACTTGTGAAAAAAAAAATTAAGTAAAAATATTTAAATCTGATTATGCCTTGTGGCTGCTACTAGAATGAAGCCACTAATTATAATCATTTATTTAATACTTTTACTTCACAAGTAAAATACCAGAATGAAAAGGGGTGGTGGCTAACCCATTTAGGATCTTGACTGAGTCCACTCAGCTCTGCTGGGTACTAGAGTCTAGACTCCAGTTAGAGAAAGTAAAGGCAGCTGGCATAGTGACGACCACATCATCCCTTTATATGCCATAGTCAAGAAACAGATAAACTCTACTTCATCTGCCCTTTGCATTATCAGGTCTAAAGTTAAATGAGGAAATTTACTCTTTACTAGAACTAACAGTTAATTCAACTATTTTAGCTTGAAATATAAACATATCCAGGAATAATTACATCTACTGTCAGTTTACTAACAACATTGAGACCAGAGTTTTATCTATGAGCTGAGTCCACGTTACCTGGTTGGATTTGGGAAAAGTAAAGGGTGCAGGGCATTGTGCTGAATGCACAATCTTTTTATATGCCAAGGTCAGCAATCTTAATTTATGTTTAAATTCAAAATTGATTTAAGCTTTTTCAATAGTGTAAAATAACATTGGAACAGTGTAATCAAATAAATTTTGTTGCACTGTTATTTTAGTTGGTTTAAAATTCAAAGACAAATACCTGTTATAAACAGCTGGTATATATGTACAAAAAAATTTCAGTGTTAAATTGGTAATATTCACCTAACTGAATATTGTATGATGAAGATATTGTAATTATACAGTGTTATTTATAGTTTTTTTTAATTCTCATTATGGGTAAAAATTCTGATTTTCAGAATGGTAAGGTTGATTGCTTACTGTACATTCTTTTCTTTTTGTAGCAGAACTGGAATGTTTACATGTAACTAGTGAATAGTAGCCCTATACATATACAGTATCAAAAATCCATGGAAAAAATGTTGGTACATTTTTAGTCTGTTTTTAGAAATATTCCTCTAAAGTTTCTATGAGGTTTTCAAGAAGTCTTAATGTTAACGTTTTATGTGCACTCTAAAATTTTAAAATAAGCATAAGGTCCTACCTATTCTACTAAAATGTGTTCTTCATTCACCAACAAAAGGACTTGGCACAATATGTGACAAACTTCAACTCTAATCCATAGCAATAAAGATTATCAGTTGTTTGTTTAATAGGCTCACTACCAAACATTTTTAGTACCAGTACCCAAGTTTTATTGTGTTAGTTTTTAAATAAATCATTCAGAGTTGAATGCCAGAAAAAAGGTATAAAAATAAAACAAAAAGGTTAGAGTCACAATTTTTGTTCACAAGTTACAAATAAAATTGGGGATTTAGAGAGTATTTTAGTAAAATGTACACATCACAAAAATAAAATACATTTCACATTAAAAATATTCACTGGATTTTAAATGTATTTACATGTAAGAAAGCTTGTATAAAGTAAAGTAATAAAACTGTTCATGTCACTCAGTTTTTAAAAAGAAACATCTGAGAGTGAGAAACAATATCTTTCAGATTGAAATTTAGATGAGTTTTATTGTCATTTTATTACAAAATCAAATTTGAGGTTTGGTTTAGTGTGGTCTAACAACCTCACCTGTTCAATTCACCTCCATTTTTTGTTCTACTCCCTAAGTGCCAAGTTAAATGTGTGAGGAAAATTTAAAAGAAAAATTGTAGAAACCATAAATAGAAGTTGATAACATATAACTTGTAAATAAAAAATTAATTTTTTTAACCTCAATGTCAACAAATAACAATGATAAAATAGCACAAATGGCATACAATGTACTTAAAGTGAAAGACTAAGCTGTAAAGACAAAACAAACTTTAAAAAAACTTTCTAAAAAAACCCACCGTCATTTTTAATACCTTTAAAGAAAAATATGAAAATATTTGCTTATATTTTAAAACATTACATATTTACAGATACATTTTTAATTATATTATTTAGAGTATATTTATGTAGCATTTCTTTCAATTATAGTAAAAACAACAACAAGCTTAACTAATTTGACAAACTGTCCATTTTACGGAGTGTAGGTCAAAACTGGAAAAAATCCAAAATTAAACGCCAGAGCCAAAGCTTCATTTAAAAGCATGAAGAGAGTTTTATCATCCAAGTCATTCTCAATTCCCATCATGACTGGCAGCTCTCGGCTTGTGCAGTTTAATGATTTCAACTTGAGTTGTGGGCTTAAGGTGCCAACATCAGACAGAATGCCTGAAAAATCAACATCATCCCCAGGCTGCAAAGCCAACAGTCTGCCATGAAAATTATAACCAGCTTCTAGGTTTAGTAATGTTTCCTCTATTCTAACACTAAGTGTAAAGACTGCCTGATTTTGATTGCTTAAATGACAGGTACGCCCTGTTGATTTAACTAGCTGGCAGTGTTTAAAAGAAATTTCTGACATTGTTTCTTCATCGCAATCAGGAATTTTTTCCCCATAAATACAGTAAAGGGGATCTGAGAATACAGAAGGCAAAGATTTAATGACATTCTCTGCTGTATTTTCTACCTTAGTTACTTTGACTTGATCAACTGTTCCTTTCCAGTGTATTTTAATACCAATGAAATCTCGGCAACGGATTTGATAGGGGGCCCAAATATCTCCCTTTGGTATGCACAAGCTTTTATAATCATCCCAGGTGAGCTCCAAAGTTTTTTTCTCTGACACAGAAGGCAGACGTACAAAAAGAAGGGGAACTACTCCCAAAACTGCAAAGCTTATCATAAGAATTTTCTTAAATTTTTCCGATTTTGGGGAAACATTTTTGTCTTTCTTGCTCATCAATGATTTTGATTGAGTTAACAGTAACGGAATTGCAAATAAAACAACAGTAATTAAAAGTTTACCAACTACATCGGTCTGTAATAATTTGTAACCACCATAAAAAAATCCAATCACAAACATGAAAACACTTAACGGGACAACTACAGGCAGTAATAAATACCCAACCGTGGCTCTAGCTAAGCCTGTCCACGTAGTTAAAGGAAAAGTAGTAATTGAAACACTGAACCAAAAATAACAAACAAGATGGGGTACTAAAATTTTGTAAATTCCTGACCAAGAGTTACGCATGGCCATGCCAAATAGTATGACAGGAATTATCATTTGCACGATGGATGGTAAACCTAAATTAAAAGAAATATTTAACCCTAAATCCACAGAAAGAAAAGGATTGGCAATACAGCCAAGTACAGCAGAAATCACAGGGATTTTGGGAACATGTTGTAAAAAAACAGGAAGTGATGCAAAAACATGTGCAGCCAATGCAAGCAAAGTTGGGATATCATAGCTATCACTTAGCCCAAGGAAGCAAAATCCTGTCATGATGAGACTGATAATAAATAATTCACCACAGGGAATATAACTTTTGTTTGCTAATGAGAAAGAAGCTACCATTATTGGTAAAGCAGTAAAGTAAACAAAATAAGGGGTTAGTGTGTTCCAGGAGTATTGGGATTCAGTGCTCTCTACATCAATGTCAACATCAAACTGTTCTTGCAGTAAGCTCACCAGGGTTGTGGCTTCTTTTTGTTTGCGTTTCTTATAAAACATCTGTAAGTGAAATAAATTCTATTGTTAAAATAATCTTTTTACACATAGTGAAGTTCAGTAAAATGTAACGTTAACGTTAAGAAGTAAATGCATTTGATGCTAATTAAGTTTAATTGTTAATTATTTTGATTTTGATTTATAACCCCTCCCCTCGAAAAACATGAAAATTTATTATAAACAGCAAGTCAGAATATTGTTTTTGAAATTCTTTGAATTTATGTATTAAAAGCTGAAGCACAATGGCTTTCTGAAAATTTGTTTATATCTTATTCAATGTTTGGCATTAATACAAGAAAATAAACACATTTTGTTTCGAACCAGTTCTGAGAAAAAACATATTTTTTTAATCCCAGGTTTTCCCCATATACAAACACCAGGCAATAAAATGATGGATAAATAATGCTAATAAGACATAAGGCAGAGGTTCAAATTTTAAAACCTTAAGCTATTAGTCATAACCTTATTAAAATTTTCAAAAATAAAAATTTAAACATACCTGTAATGTAGAAATAATCATGATCAACAATGAGATGTAAAAAACCAGCAGTGGAACAATGAAGAGAAAAAATGATGGTGTTAAAAAGCTGTAAGCAAACAGCATCAGCAGCAGATAAATCTGATTGGTAGGAATCAGAGACAGAATTATATTGAGGCCCTCTTTGCTGGAGTACTCCAGGACTGCGTCAAATATCAGCAAGGCTGTTTGTCTGGGATATTTCAAGACCTGTCAAGAAACAAATAATTACCTTCAACATTAAAATTGTCTTCTTTCATTACTTTACTCACAACCTTTTCATATTTTCTGTGTTAACTTGTAGTTTTTCTAGCCTTATAAACCTAAACTAAAATTCAGTTTGTATGAGCCCATAATAAAAAGTAATAAACCAAGCAGCTAGCACTTCAGTAAAAATGGTGACTGAAATTTTACATTCAAACTGTTGTATTAATTTACTTTCAGACACTTTATGCGCTTTCAAGGTTAAACACAACTTTACTCCCCTAAAGTAAAATGTAAATATTTATATACAGAACTATTATCCACTTTTACCTTTGTTAACGCACTTGATGAATCGTAAGCAGCAGATCTTTCATCTGATTCAACTGAAGTCAGAGTTAAGGTACCATGAATTTTCTTTGACAGTGTCTTAATAAATTCATTTTCAGTAATAGTGTTTCCTATTTTTCTTCCTGCAAAAAAAATGTATATATTTGCCTTCTGTGTGAAACTTGAATTATTTTTTATTAATGCAATAAAAAAAGGGGGGGGATCTAACCTGCAGCAAGTAAAAGCTTTTTTTCCTTTTCATTGCCTGTGGTAAGAGTATTAATGGCCTCAACGTACTCATCTTTTGATAGGGACGTTTTATGTGCAGCATTCAACTTTGCAAATAAAGACTTTGCAGCATATCTTATTTTCTTTTCAGATGCTGATGTATTTATACACCATTTCACATCAGCTTTATTTTTTTCATCCATACCTATTTAAAATAAGATTTTGAAATTTCATTACTAAAAAGAACATAAGTTGAACATTGGTACAGTTTGCTTAAGAAATACATTTGCATTTAAGTTATTTGAGATTATTTACATACTAAGATAAGTCAAAAGCAAAGCTCATGAGGCTGCATGAAAAAAAATTACCAAGATTTGTTTCTGCACAATGTTTTAATGACGCAGTTGCCTCCACATTTCCCTGCTTGGATGCAGCAATGAGCCATCTTACAGACTTGCATCCATTCTCTTCTCTACTGATGTTCAACTCTGCTAGCTTGAGGTAATGTAAGGCAAGCTGAAGCTGATGCTTAGCTGAGCCATTTTCTGCCTCTGTGCAATGAATAACAATTTGGTTTAAGAATCTTTAACGAGTATTGTTAAATTTATTTCTTACCTCCCTTGTCCCATTTATGACCCCTCCCTAATTTTCCAAATGTAAATATCAGGAATGAAGAAAGAATTATTTCAAATATGTAAGTGAATAGCTACCAACAAGGTACTTGATGATAGGTGAGTGTTAGATGTAAAATATAATACTACTTGATTGACAAAGGTGAAGGTGTAATAGCATTCACTTTGTGTACTATCTTTTTGTAAATAAACACTGTTAGTTAATGATAAGCTAGGCATCTGAGTTCTTTAATAAATTGGAAAGAAAAACATTTTTTAAATAACAATTTGAAAATGAAAAATTCTAGAAAGCCTTAATAATAACTATTGATACGTTCAGGCAAGCCAACCACATTGATTCACTATTGATTGAAAAATGAGATCAGTATTGATAAATAATCTTTGAATTGATCTATATGTCAATAAACATTGTTACCTTTGTGAAGAAAGATCTTAAGTGCTGTGTATTGGTAAAAAATACAAAAGAAGTATTCTTGTTGCAATTATTTTCAATGTCAATAATAGCCAGTTATATGCATATATAATTAACCCATAGATGAACACAAAGACATATTATTTTTTTACATTTCAATGCTCTAGGTCTACCTACACTTAAGGAAAAGAGTTGTGAGGTGGTCTGTACTACTCTATTTGTAATGGGTTATAAAATTTTATTTTCCAGTTAATGCAAAATTCCATGTAAACATATATGAGAAACTAGCATCAACATTAAAATACCTCAACGCAAACCTAACCTGAATCATAAGACATCAATATTATTGATAAATGGGCACATTTTTCATTATTATGTACCAGTCTATGATAATGTCACTTAAATGGAATTTTTATAAACACTTGCACTGTGCATGGACATTTTTATTTCATAAAAAATTATTATCCCTCTGAGCAGCTTGGGATATGTGTAAACTGTTTACCTGCACAAATACATGGGACAACCACACTAATGCAAGCTCATATTGATTGGGAAATAAAGGTTAAAAAAAATAGATGATGTGTAAATGTGGCTGGCAAACAATGCATTTCCTGCTAATTAGTGAGGAATATGATGTATTATAATATTCTGCCTTAATAAGCATGTCATTGATTTTCAAATAATAGATATATATGAATGCTAAGCTAGTGCAAGCAGGTGAGTCGTCAGGAGTAGTGTGTTCAGCACTATGCCCAGGCGCCTTATCTTTTCCTAAGGTGAGTCAGGTACCCATACAAGCTTTTTGGGTTGGGAGTCATATGCTGTAAAATCCGACCAAGCTGTCTCAGATAAATTTTTAACCTACATACATTTAAACAGAAGAACTTGGATTTTTTTTTTTTTTAAAGTTTAGTAAGCAAATAAATCATTGCATTTTTATGAAGTTAACTGAAGAAGACAGAAATAACATCCAAGCATGCTGTGATTGTCCTGTCTAGAATATTTTTTATTTAATCAGAAGCAAAACCTTGATAACTTGATAACTAATATGATTACAGATAACTTATTCATTACTTACACTACACTGTATGTCTATAGGGCTGGTAAGTAGGTCACCAACCAGTTCTACGGCTGAGTAAAACCTGCATGAGCCATAGAACTGGTTGGTGACCTACTTACCAGCCCTATAGGGCATAGCAGACATGTGCCTTGCATAGGCCAAGCAAGAGCCTACCTTTTGCCAAAAATTTAATTTTTTAAATTTTCAGGCTATCTAGAATTTTTTGAAACAAACAACACAGAGCAAATTTGCCTAGCATGCCTCCTGCCAAGCATTTAAGTGGTGCAATATCGACCCTCCCAAATGTTACATAGGTCACATGTGATCTAAAATTAGATTTCAAGAGTTGCTGCAATTTTCAGTAGTAGTTGCTCTCCTTTCACACACCCGCAAAAATCTAGATTAGATGACTGTATGCCCTTTAATTGCATTAAATGTTACATGGTAACAGTATGATAACCCTGACTCTATCCTCAGTGTCCTTAACCTAATAACCCTAGATCTAGCAGCTTCTATTAAATAGGTTGTCCCTTGAGCTACTTTTTTAAGCTGTTGCCCAGTCATACTGCAATTATTTTTATCAAGCAAATTCTACAAAATACTGACTAGCGTATAATGAATTTTTGTTGTTTCAAATGCACTTTCCATCTTCGATATATTCGTTCATTACAATGATTACATATTACATGGTAGCGGAAAATAATGTAAGAACTACCATCTTGTGTTGACAAATCATTTATTGAATATTCACAAACTTTGATAAGTGGTTAAAAAATTAAATGCCCTGCCGTAATAAACTAATGTTAATCATTATAAATACTCCCCACCCTGAAGAAAAATTAATGAAAAAATAACTTGATCAAGACAACAGCCAACTAAGCCCGCAGACGACACATTTTTGCTGAGCTGTCTATCACATCACAACAACACTCTTCAAAAATTAAACCACACTGTAATCTGTAATAGTCATAGGTCATAGGATTGTAATTGTATTCATTTTATAACAAATATATATATTTTTTCAATAAGGCTGCTGATTTTATTTCGATAATTAAATCATTAAAATTGGTAGCCTATCAAAAAAAAAGAGTACTAGATCATGTAGATCCAGATCTACTCTAGTACTAACTATATATTATTAACTAGCTAGTGTAGTTAGACTAGTACTTAGTACTTAGTACAGTAGTAGTAGTGTAGTAGCACTAAGTTAGTACTAACTAACTTTAGTAACTAGACTAACTACTACTAGAATAGTAGTAGTAGTAGTAGTACTAGATCTAGTAGTAGTAGTAGTAGTAGTAACACTAACTCAAGTATTCAAGTAACTCACAGTAACTAGATCTATCTAAGTATCTAGCCATTTTTCTAGGCCTACTTGACTAGTTAGTAGTTAGTAGTTTATCTGCAATATCATGTTTATGAGTTAGTAGTATTCTATGTGTCGTATAGTTTCTCTTACTACCGTATACGAGTCTCAGTATAGTAAACATATATTCGTACAGTATTATCATACTCTTAGAAATAGTAAGAAATATATTATAGATCTATATGAAAATAAATCTAGATTTAGTCATACCCGCAATAACATCGTCGCTTATTTCCGTGTTTAGATTTTCCCCCATTTTGAAAAACAAAAGTAAAGTATATCACGTGATAGGTGTTTGTACGGGAAGCAACCTAGGTCTATAATAGTCTATATACTATATCTGCCGAGATTTTGGGGTGAGGGGTGGTTTACCATTGTGGGGAAAGTTGATGTGATTGTTCAAGAAAATAGTTCTAAGTTCATACAAAAACAACACATAATCAAGAAGCCCTCTCAGAGTACTATATCCACCTCAACTTGTGAGGATAGACAACAACAAATAATGATGTCGGCTAGCAAACTGGATGAAGCTACGTTCAGAGTTTCTTCCAGGCATCTCTTCGGGCCCCCCCCCCCCCCCCCGAAATTTTTTTACCGCCCCCGAACGAAATGAAATTTGTGTAATTTATATAGACAATATATACTTTTAACAGTGTCCGCCCCCCCCCCCCCCCAAAGAAAGTCTACCGCCCCCCCCCCCCCGAAAATTTCAAGTCCCCCCCCCCCCCCGGAGAAAAAGGGCGGAAGAAACACTGGCTACGTTCCCTATACTCATACTGACTTAGTGACTATACTGTGAAAATATTCAAATAGCTCAGCGAGATGACTGAGCTCGTTCTCTCGAACTATTGGAACATTCTAATCCTAACACCTTGCAACGACAACGCAATGCAATAAAAGTTATTCTACATAATGTAGCGTTTCGACGGGGAAAAAAGGTCGTCCATGTCCCAGTGGTCGAACGCTTTACTCACTATGACACAAGGGATAGCCCTTGGTATATATATAAAAAGTATGAGGGGGGTGCAAATCGAAAGTTTGAGGGGGGGGGGGGGTGCAAATCGAAAGTTTGTCTCCGGGTAAAAATTGGACCCCCCCTTGAGACGATCCTGGCTACGCCACTGGATAGCACACAACCTGTCGCCGCCCCATACACCAACCAAACAACAAAACACCATTTGATCCTTGGTGACTCTACACTTAAGGTCTCCGTCCTGATATAATGGCCTCGGATCATTATGAGCGTGTATCGGTAATAGCGCTGCCTGGGGCGAATTTTAAAGAAAAGAGTAGGGACGTTATATAGTAGCCGCTCACGTTAATCTAGCACCTCAACTGTAACCTTATATTGTAGTGTCAACGACAGTCTATCAAAAATCAGACTTTCACAAGCTAATATGCTGGAAATACTGAGATGTAGGCCTATCAGTCAAACATTTCCCAACGCAAAGATCCGATTTGTATCTATCGTACCCAGTGTCAGTGGCGTAGCGAGGTCGGGTGTCACCCGGTGCGGTACTAAAGCCCAGACAATGATTTGCTTAATCAAGGCTTACATCCAGAGTATCTTCCAGTTCCCGGCATCTATATCAAGTCTTCGTTCCCCCCCCCCCCCCCCCCCCCCGGAGAAAAAAGTCTTGAAGAAACGCTGCTTAACTGCTTACATCCTTTTATGGGGTTTAGTCATCTCTTTGCTTTATCAAGCGACAAATTGTGAAAGTGTAAGATGTTTTATTGATTCTGTTCACATTTGTACTATAAAAAAATTCTTGCATGTTTCAGTTTTGTATATTTTATTTCATTGGTATTTCATTTTCTTCATGCATTGTCTATTTTTATCATCCTGGCCCTCCCAAAGTGGTATAAAATTAGGCCATTTAAACATATCCCGCATACTTAACACCATGAAGTTTTAAAAATTTTAAACAATTTTAACAATCCTTTCCATATCTTTGGGCCAGAGGCGTAGCGACTACTCCCGGCGCCCAGGGACAAACTTTCAATTCCCCCCCCCCCCCATATATTTTTAATATTTATAATTTAAAATAGCAGCTAAAATTAGCTTTTGGCGCCCCTAGGTTCGGCGCCCGGGGACATATGTACACCCCCCCCCCACCCCGTTGCTACGACTACGACTCTGCTTTGGGCTCTCTGAAACTAGATTACAATCTTTTATAAATGATTATGAGATTTCCGTCGCTGATTATAACATTATACGCAGAGACCCACCATACGCATAGAAACTTGGCTTTGTGTCTATGTGAACTCCTCAATTCGTTTCAAGTAAAGAAAAGATAATATGTCAACCGACAATATTGAATGTATATGAATTGAACTATAAAATAGCAAAAACCATCCGGCAATTTTAAATTTGCTTCCTTTATAGAAATCCCTGCGAAAACATGGAATGCAATTGTCGTTTTGCACCATTATTGTTTCCTTTTTATCTTCTAACAATGAATAGGACGTATATCATATTGGGAGATTTTAATATCATTTTACTAAAACCTCAAGGATTTTGGCAAGATAGTTATGATTCTTTAAACATGAAACAATTTGCACACACGGCTACCAGTGTCAATGAAAAATCAAGCACAATAATTGATCACATCTACGCAATACCTGACTGCAATCTGATAGAGGTCTGTGTCCCCTATTGATATGTTAGTGACCACTTCCCTGTTTGTTGTACTTTTTTGCCGAAAAGATTAGCTGTACCTTCGCGGCAACAAATCATTTTAAATTATCGTTCATATAGAAAATTTAACGAAAACCTTTTTCTTGCGGATTATGATTAGTTGCCCCCTTCTGCAACGTATACAACTACAATTGTCCCGATCTAGACATTTCTGAATGGCTTCGTATTTTCTATACTATATATGACAAACATACACCTAAAATCTCTAAAAGAGTTTAGAACAAACAAACCTTCTTGGTTTAACAACAAAATCGAGTCTGAAATCACTAAAAGAGACTGGCTTAGACGTTATGGAACTACTGAGGACTTTTGTAAGCAAAGAAATTAAGTCAAACTGCTTGTGCTTAGGTCGAAGAAGGAGTATTTTAATAAGTTGTTGTCAGGCAAACATAAATCCAAATCTATTTGGACTGCCATAAATCAAATACTTAGGGAAAAAATACACATCCCATACAGCTGTACATAGTCAGATATCTCCTGATGAATTCAATAATCATTTCAAAACACCTGTAGCGCTAGACACAGATGTTGACTACACAATCAGTGAGGAGCTTAAACATTTCTGTAATTCCGCTCATCGTTGTAGGACAGAGCTGATAATTCCGCTTCTCACTGTTCATGAAGTTTATATTAGGCTAAGAAGATTTAATATCTACAGCAACTTCGTTTGATGACATCTCTATTAAATATTGAAGATTTCAGCTCCAATACTATCTGAATATTTTACCTATTTTTTAAAACCTCTGCATTGCCAAACAATGTTACTCGAAACATTTTAGGCATGCTAAGGTTATACGACTTAACAAAAAGGTAACATTCAAGATCCAAATAACTACATGCGTCGCGAGGCAAGGGTCGGGGGTGCGGATCGCATCAGGTGACACCATTTTAGGGGGTGACACCTAGACAAAAAAAAATTGCAAAATGATATTGAATAAAATGCTCTTGCCAGTTAAATTAACGATTAATATAAGTTAATCCACCTGCGCGAATAACCGAATAGAGATAACCATCTTTACTATAATATGTGCATACTTTAATACTACTAACCATGGGGGATGTCACCAACTGCAAAATTTGTAGAGGAATAAAGGCTTATCGAGTATTTTGAATAATAGATAAGTCAGTCAAAGACAAGAGAGGGGTGACACCAAAATCTAATAACATTTGATAAAAACAATGAATTAATAGGTAGATTAGCGCCATTATGCAAATTAGGAAGGGGGTGTCAAACATATATATATATATATATATATATATATATATATATATATATATATATATATATATATATATATATATATATATATATATATATATATATATATATATATATATATATATATATATATATATATATATATATATAAATATATATATATATATATATATATATATATATATATATATATATATATATATATATATATATATATATATATATATATATATATAGGCCTATAAATATATAGGCCTATATATATATATATATATATATAAAATGTTTTATTTTAACAGTGTCTTATTTCTTCAATATTAATTAAGCTAGGCCTGCATTAAAGAGGACCAGAGGTGTCGCGAGGCGGGGGGAGGGGGTGCGGACCGCACCAGGTGACACCATTTAGGGGGTGACACCAACACGAACAAATGCAATATATACAAAATAAATATGTTTTGCCATTTCAATGAATGTTTATTTGAAGTTAAAAATTATTTAACGTACACAATGACGATCCCGGCAAGTGGGGGTGGGGGGGGGAGGTGACACCATCACGTAAAGATGCAAACTGTATAGAGAAAACTATGCTACATCCAGCAGTATTAACAACCGACTATAGATAAACATCGTTAGTATTAAATGTGAACAATTTAAAGCTGTTACCTGGGGGGTGGGGGGGTGACACCAACTGCAAAATTTACAGAAAAAAGGGGGTTGACACCATGAGGTGCCGCACCGGGTGACACCCGACATAGCGACGCCACTTAATAGGACTATATTGATTAATTTGTGGTGCAGTTCACAACAATTGATTGAAATAATTGCAAATTTAAGTTTAAAAGTGAAATTTTAAAGTAAAGACAGCATTAGATGCAAAGCGGAGTCGGGGAGACTAATGACGCTAATCTACGGTAACCCAAGAACGACAGCGGTGCTTATCTGCATAAGCTTTTAGGCAGCAGTAAAAACTACTAGCTTCACCGCTGAAAACTAGCATGCAAATACAGAGGCGTAGCGACCCTTCCCGGCGCCCGGGGACAAACTTTCAAATTGGCGCCCCCCTCGGAGGCAAATTTTTAATTTGCACCCGTTTCAAACTTTTGATTTGCACCCCCCCCCCCTCAAACTTTTAAATTTGTTTTTACAACCCATTTGGCGCCCCCTAAGGTCGGCGCCCGGGGACATATGTACCCCCCTGCCCCCCCCCCCCCCCCATCGCTACGCCTTTGTGCTAATACTAATACTACGAAACTTTTTTTAAAAAGATATGGGCATCTCGAAATGTGGCTGCGCATGTTCGTTTGTAAATTGTACTGGTCGACATCGGGGGAACGGCTCATCTATATGTCCTTATCTAT